AATGGCACTGGTGTTCATGCAGTTGCTCAGGCCAACAACATAGGTGGCAGCTTTGATTTCTCTCTTCCTCTCGCAGTTCACAGTCAATCCTTGAACAAATGCTGACAGCAGTAGCTTCATAACATTGGCAGATTCGGACTGCTTCTCACCACCTTACCCACAGCACCATCATCTCTTACTTGCCTTATTTCAGTAGAAACCAAAGTGGTCTCCTCCATCGCCGGTTCTCCATGAAGCAGCTGGAGTGAGCTTCACATCAATTCTGCTTACAAACTTTCAATGGCTGCTTATCACACTGAGAATAAAATGAAATCTCCACTGCCATCCTCCATGAACTGCCCTTGTCCAACAACCACTTCCCAAATGGCTCTTTTTCTCCCTTTTGCCATGGAGTCTGCCCTTCCTTTGAATTGTACATACCTCTACTTCACTTCAATTGTTGATGCATTTGTCCACAGATGGTTCCTGGATATTCCCATGCATTACACTCTCACTTCCTTAAAGTCTCTCCTGAAGTGATGCGTCTTCTAAGAAGCCTTTCTGTTCACCTGTTTTATTTTTCTTCATGATACTTACCACCATCCAAACTTGCATTGTCCATTTAGTGGTTCATTAATCTTTTGCACATCCAGTCCCTAGAATGTATACTCATTGAGGGCAAGGAACTGGCCTTTCCATTGTTATTTACCTAGTGCTAAGAACAGAGCCTGGCATAGAGTGGGTTCACAGTGACTTTCTCATACAATGAGGATGTTATTCCTTTTTGTTTAATGAAAACAGGTAAAATTATACAGATAATTTCAGGACATATGCGTTAGTTTCCCAGACGGACACTCACCCTCAGTTGATTTTAGGATATATTGTTGAATATGCATTTTGAAATTCAATTCCTGCCATTATTCTTTGACCAGAATGTATAATTTTACAGTTGACCTGCAGGGAGCAGCTCGTTAGCAGTTTGCTGGTCCCCTAAGCTCTTGTATGCTCAGCCTCCCCCACTGCCCTGGTGCAGGCCTGGCTAAGTTGGAGGGTAAGAGGAGCCTACTCTTCCCCAGCAGACAGAGTCTGGAATTAATTTTGCAGTCCTAAGTTAGGTATCCTGGGATGAGGGGAGGCACTAGTTTTTCCACTGAGATGCAGGCCAATAACCTGTCTCAACAGTGTACCTCCACTCTATATAATAGATTCTATCCTCACTCTTGATTTTTATTCCAGTTCTTTATCAGGCCTGGGGCTTAAACATAAATCCCACTGCATTTGGAAGAAGTCAATTATATTCTGTCAGATGCTAACCTTTCTTCACAACCTCTTTTATTTCTACTCCACCTCAAGCGGCATCTGTCAGGGTCCCCTTTAGGTGAGTGACCAGTTACTATATGCCATCTCCCTAGAGTGAACCCTGTCACTGTTGTCCAGAGTCTACTTGCTGAGCCTCTTAGGGCGTCCAGACCACACCCCCCAATATTGGACCTAGTTCAGATTAGATTTTAATTTAGCATAACCTTTTATATATTATGTGCAAGATCAAGCTTTAAGCTCTGCACCTAAACCAGATGAATTATCATACCCAGCCTAGGGACCATTTGATTTACATCCCCAAAGTGTTGCTTCTTGAGGATCTAAGGTGATTCAGATCCTGTGAAACAAGAAAACTATTGATATTAGGGGATATTTGGCAATTTGTAGTAGTTGAACAAATCTGTTGCATCTTTGTGGTTATGTAACAAAACTCATAGACAAAGCTATGTAGACAAAGACAGATACTATATTTTTCTTTGGTGGTGATTTTTCATAATCCAGGTCAGAAAAAAACTGCTTAAAATATTTGTTAGTTATCATGGCTTTTTTTTCCCGTGGAAGAAAAGTTTCCTTGTTTACTTGCACCTAACTTGCCTCATGAATATTCAGCTGCCAATGGAGCTGCAAGCCAATATCCATAGAAACGAACTCATTAGTAGCATTTTGTTGGCTGCTATTTGATTCATAAAGTATGTAGAAGTATTTATGATATTTCATATTTTATTTTTTGTTGATTTTTGAAACATAAAAAGGATTATTGATAATTATTATCCCAGATTTTCACAGTTGAGCTTATTTAGTTTTTCTCGTATTTCTTGAATGTATAAGGAAAAGATATTTGACCACTTACACCAATTTTTACAAAGTAAATTATGAATAAAAAGTCATAAGTGACTTAAAAGCAGTTTAAAAATGTTTTACATATTTATACATATACAATATTTGTTTTTCTTAGTTGGTTATTAATGCCATTGATGTAGTTTGCTATGTGGATGATGTAAAAAAGAATGGTTCTCCTTTTTGAAGGCCTTCTTTAAAAAAATTTTGCTGATATTTAATGAAAACAGCATTGAAGAAGTATATTTGTTTATAAGAAATAGAAAAAAACAGTAATAACAGCAAACACAGACATTTACTCTTGATGTACCCATTACTTTACATATATTAATTTGTTTAATCCTTACAGCAAGTCTATAGGAAAAGATACCATATTACTCTTATCTTACAAATATCGAAACTCTGCCCCAGAGAGGTAAAGTTTCTTGTGTGGTCACACATCTAGTAGTTGGCAAAGTTGGGATTCAAACTCAGGCAGAGTAGCTCCGGAAAACTCTTCACCACTTCATGTTGCTGACTTCTGTCATGTTTTGGTAGAGACTACAAACTGGACTGACTGTTCTCCCAACACATTCTTTCCCCACTGATTTGAAGTGCCACCTGTTTCAAATGTAAATTCTACCTACTCAGGATATTTTCTGGACTGTCCCTGTGCCATCAATCTGTTAATGCTTGTCCGTATCAGCACAGCATTAACCGTTTTCATTCCTTTATACTAATTTCTTTTAGGAATAGAGTATGAGTCTAATGAAAAGGGAAAGGAAACAAGTTTCAGACTAAGAAAGGGTGATATGTTGTGGGTAAAGACAATATTTGGTCATGAGAGAAGGAGAGAATATGGTGAGTCAGAAAGGGCCATAGGATACTGACATGTATTTTTAAGTCATATGTGTTTTAAGGGTAATGGTGGACAATTTTAGAAGTCAGTTTTAAAGAAAAGGTAAAGTAGGTGCCTAAGTTTCTGAGGTATAAAAGTTGGAGACAAAGTGATATGGTTTGGCTGTGTCCCCACCCAAACCTCATCTTGAATTGTAGCTCACATAATCCCCCCATGTCATGGGAAGGACATGGTAGGAGGTGTTAGACTCATGGGGCAGGTCTTTCCCATACTGTTCTTGTGACAGTGAATAAGTCTCATGAGATCTGATGTTTTTAAAAAGGGCAGTTCCCCTGCACATACTGTCTTGCCTGCCACCATGTAAGATGTGCCTTTGCCCCTCCTTTGCCTTTTGCCGTGGTTGTGAGGCCTCCTCTGCCATTTGGGACTGTGAATTCATTAAACCTATTTTTTTTTTTTTTTAGAATTATCAATTGAATTTAATATGGTATCTGGATAAAAGATCATTTGCTAACATGGATTTCTACTTCTACATATCAGCAACAAATAATTAGAAATTGACATGAAAAAATTATATAGTGTAGGAGACATCAAATATTTGCAAATAAATTTAATGTAAGTTATGAAAATAAAATTTGTACTTTATACTAAAAAACACAATTCAATACTAAGGGAAATTAAAGTTCTAAATGAATGGAGCAATATATCGTGTTCATATATTGGAAGACTCAGTACTATAAATGAATTAATTCTTCCCAAACTGAGCCATACATTCAGTGTGATTACAATTAAAACCATATCATTTTCAATGAAATTTACAATGGATTCTAGATTTATTTATAAATAGAAATAACTTAAAAGAGTCAAAACAATCTTGAAACAACAACAACAAACCAGGGGACTTACTCTACCAGACTGAAGACCTGTTTTGAAGCTGTAGGGATTAGGAGCATGTGACATTGATGCAACGGTAGATAACAGACCAATGGTACAAAATTGAAAATTCAATAACATACCAAAACATAAATATTCACAGTTTTATGAAAAAGATGACTGCAGTGAAGTGGAAAAAAAGGTAGTATTTTAAATTAATGGTACTGATTAATTGGAATATCTGTATATAAAACATGAGTGTTGACCACTACCTCATACCATACAAAACGTCAATTCCAGATGGAATTCAGATCTAAATTTAAAGAAAGAATGAGAAAACTTTAAAAATGAAACAAAGAAATCTTCATGACCTTAGAACAAAGGTTTCTTAAAAAGGATATACATGGCCTAAGTATAAAAGAAAAATATTTGATAAATTGGAGTGTATTAAAAATTAAAACTGTTTATCCAATGACACTACTAAGAGAGTAAAAAGGCAAGCCAAGCTACAGAGTGGGAGATACTATTTTTCAATATGTATGAATATATACATAGTTTCAATACAAAGGATTCAGAATATTTAAAGAACTTTTACAAATCAATAAGAAAAAGACACATAGCATATTTCATTTATACAAAGTTCAGAAATAGCACTCCAAAGCTATTGTGTAAGAGCAGAATAGTTCCCATCCTTGGCCAGGCTAGTGATTGATTGGCAAGGGCCATTAGAGGGGCTCCTGGCATTCTGGAATTGTTCTATTTCTTTTTTTTTTTTCCCACTGCATCCAATTTTAGCATGACATAAGACAACTGGTAATATGCAACATGACTAAAAACACCTTCTAATTAAATTTGGTTTGGCATAAGAATAAACATAGATAAACATATTAGAATTGAGAATCTGAATATAAACCTGTAAATTTACAGTTAATTGATTTGCTGTTCAGTTCCCATGGCAACTTTCTTTTTTTCAATCCCTCCCCAACTCCTTACCCTCCACTGTCCCTTCCCTAGTCCCCCCCGCCGACAGACCTCAGTGTGTGATGCTCCCCTCCCTGTGTCCTTGTGTTCTCATTGTTCAACACCCACCTATGAGTGAGAACATTTGGTATTTCATTTTCTGTTCTCGTATCTTTCTTTATAAATTACCCAGTCTCCGGTATGTCTTCATAGGAGTATGAAAATGGACTAATACACAAAATAAATGTGTTTAAAGAATACAATAAATTCATGTTAATTGAAACAAATATTTATTATGATACCAATTTATAAATCTTTCTTTTATACCTCATGGATTGCACAGAAAGTTAGATCAGAGTGTAAGATGAAGGGGGGCAGTGGCCGTCAGTTGGAGACAGATCTTCGGGTTGGGATCCTCATTTGTTTCTCCGGGTTTTCCAGCATTAAATACTTTTCCTTCCCCACTGCTTATATTTCCCTTTCATGAGAACTACGTTCTTGAATAACGACTTGAACAGGAATAGTGTTCTGCACTTTAAATTCGGGAAATGACCAGTTTCCTGTGCCAGAGAAAAATATGTGCTTGAGAATATTATCTATACAATGTACTTTGTACTTCCCGCTCAGCCTTTTCTTTCATCGTGCTGTGTTGTTCAAGTGATCTGATACCAATGTAAATTCCTGACCAGCACAATATGAAGTATTATTATATTGGAGACATAATAGCCTACTGGCATCTCTGTATAAATATTTGTATAATATTAAAAATAAGCCAATTTAACAGAGACATTAAGAAAAAAGTTGACAAATATCTTCATGTAACCTTCTGAACTGCATTTAGAAATCCATTTTACTTCATGTTTTTCACCAGCTGACACTGTGGAACATACTTACGTATGAAATGATACAAGAAAAATTTGGAATATGTGAAATATCTTTATTTCTTTGTTATAATTCGGAACCTCATTAAAAGTTTATTTTCATCTGACATTAAGTTTCTTTACAAATAGGATGACTTATGATACATAAATACATTATTATTTAAATTTTGTAAATCAGTCTTATAAATCATTTTCATTTAAGTGTTCCATTGGTGCCATAAAGAATTGATAGCACCCGGAAAAAGCAGCTTCGAGAGGAATAGTCTTCTTTTCTGAACCTGGATTTTCTATAGAGGTCTTGTCAGATTAGCCTGTCATTTTACTTCCAGCCTGTGTGCTTCTGGTCCATGCCCTGATCTTGTGACATCTCATTGAAATTAAAGCTGTGGTCTGACCAAACTTCACATGCATTGCTCCTTTTTTATTAATACCTTATGATCTAAGTTCTTTCAAGGATTGAGGAGATAGGCAACAATTCCTGCTAGCATCTTAGAGTTTGATCCTCAATAAACTTTTTGTGTCTTCTACTCTTTGTGAATCCCCAAATTTCTGAAATGGGTGGAAGATAAATAAATGAATAGAGAGATTGACGTGTATACCAAACGTCTGGGGGCTAGCCTGGGATCCTGAGCAGAAAAGATTCAATACATTGTGGAAGATCCAATAGTTAAAAAATAAAATTTTTTGCCACAAAACCTTGAATTATAATACTTGTTCTGATATCAAGGACTTCTTCAGAAGGTAGAGTCTGTTGAATTGGTTTACTGTTAATATAGGAGCAGAGATGAGAAGACAGGGGCCTAACTTACTCTTTAGTTCTGTTCTCTCCAGTGTTAGTAATAATTATAACTGCATTAGAAGTAATGGAACTATGGCTGTGGATGTAGTAATAGTGGAGAGTGATAACCGCCGCAGCAGCAGAAATATCAGGTAATATTTATTAGGCTGTATTTGTGTGCTAGCGCTTTGTAAACTGCCAACTAACATTGCCTCCATGTAATTGTAATTTTCTCCACTTTTCTGTGAGGCATGTATGATTATTAACCTGATTTAATGGATGAGGAAACTGAGACTTAAGAGCATTTGGCCTGTCATAAATACTCACCACAGAGCTAAACTCCACCCCCGGGAAACATCCTATATCTGTATGTGTTTGAGTGGGTATTTCTAGGTGTGCTGGGGGAGGAAGGTGGTGGGTTAATTTTGAAGGCTTCCAAACACCCCACTATAAGCATCATACACTTCCTAATCTTCATTCTTTTTGAAACTGATTTCTCCCTTGGGTTTGGTGTATCCCTGACTATTCAGGAAAGAGACATCAATCACCCAAAACAATACAAGGAACACAAGATCTTCATGAACCAAATGATACTTGGAATGAATACACCAATAAGAATTTATTGCCAAAATGTTACTTCATTAAAAAAATTTTAAAATAAAGAACATGGAATTATTTCAATCCTTGAGAAAACTAGCTGTATACATGCCTACCAGAGGTATCTCTAGCAAAATATATCACTTCTAAGAGTAAATGCCTCACTTAATTTTAGATTCCTTGGGGAACTAAGAGTTAAGTAAAATATGCACCAATTTTCTTAGATTTATTTTTAAGTATTTTCTTTTTTAGCTTATTATTATTATTATTTGCTCTGATCATGGGAGTGTACATTTTCACTGAAACACAACTCTGGAATTATCAGTATTAAAAATTTATGAGTTAAAAGGACCTTGACAAAACCTTGGGACTGTGGCTGGAAATGGAAATGGCTACAGAGATTCCTAAGTCAAAAAAAATGAGTAAAATGGGCCTTGTATTAAAACAAAAACAAAAACAGAAACAACAGTACTGTTAGAGTACATGGCAATTAACATTCAGCTTTGTTGTACAGGACGATAGGGAATAGTGGCAAAATGAAGGGAACATGTGGCTTCCTCAGCTCCATCTTACTATTATTCAGATAGATAGGCCCTGTGTTAATTTTCTCCAAGTGTTTGAAGAGAGGCTATAATTTTGACTTTTATGTGAATACATTTATTTTTAAAAATGTTAGCAATTGAATCAATATTTTAACCCCATTGTGCTATTTTAAAACATACCTCTACTGCTTTTGACCTCTGCTTTAGATTAACTCATTGCCTTAGGCCAATGGAACTTAAATATACTGTTAAAAAATTATTTTATAGACTGAGCTGTGAGATGAATTTTTGGCAATGAAGACTGTGGAAATGAGCTAGAAGTTAAATGCAACAAAAATTTAAACATTTAAGAAATTAGCAAAATACACACAGGATTGTATTTCACTGCAGACATCTCAATAAATTTCCTAACTTTCACCTTTAATTTTAGTAACTTTATGCATAATCGTAATTGTATCAAAAATGGTCCTGATTCCTATTTCATCTTCTGCCCAGTTTTGCTCCTGGTGTTCCTGTCACCCAAGTATTAAATATCTCCAAAACTCTTTGCCTTGTATGTAATGTACCAGTCATATGCTGACAAATGACGAATTCTTTCCCCTGAAAATTCCTGAAGAACTCTGTTCTTTCATATGTATTTTCTGTTATATTGAGGTCAAATAGAATGCGCTATGACAATGTGGTAATTATCTTCACATCTTGGTCAAGTTCCAGCCAAAGGAGGTTTTTATTTTTATTTTTTGATTTGGATGGAATAATGAAAAATTATCTTCTCCTAAGCTCTGAGATGATAGTGATATCCATTTTGAATTAATAATTGGTCTGAAAAATAGTAAAACATCTTTTGGTGAGAAATTGAGCAGATATTAAAAGACTCAATAACTGACACAAAAAATCCTTTTGCTTCTGAATAACAAGGAAACAGCAACAATCAAAGTGTATAGAATCCTTCACGTATTTTTGTGACTAGGCTACTAATTGCTTCCTTGATTGATATAAGCAGGATTAAATGTGCCAATTAGCACAGTCTGAAAGGGCACTATAGATGCTGGTTGTTAAAGGGTGATTTTGAAATTACCTATTTACTTCCAGCTTTCAGAAGGAAGACTTAAACCTCTTAAAAAAATGTCAAACAGTTTTCATGATTTTGTGTTCTGAGCAAAACATCTAAAATCTGTCTTCACTGTTGTATAAAATGAGGACCTTGGGAAAAAGAAATGCTTGGTCAGAAATGCTAACAAGTTCCAGATTTCCTTTCGTATACAGTCAAACAAAAAGTTCCATATTGTCACGGAGGATAAGAAGATAAAAAGTCAGATAAAGACATGGTTTACTTTCTTAGTTTGTATGTTCCCTTCTAACTCATATTTTGATTCATTATTACTACTTGCTCGCTTCAATTTATCCATTTCAGAATGTGATTGAGTTCAGTTTATGAAGAAAAGGTTTATAAATGCAGAGGTGAAGTTTAAGCTTTGCTTGCACGAGAGGTTACCTGTTTACTATGTGGTCAATATGAAATGTAAACTGTGTAAACTAGGCAAATAAACCACCATGTAGTTTTAAGAGTAAATGGAATGAGATAAAGAACATTTTTGCTATGAGTATGTGGAAATATTCAAGAAAAACAAAACTAACACAAAAAATGAAACCGAATAATACTAATAAAATGAACTCTTAAAGTTAGAAAATTCTAAATCTTTTTTCATCTGTTATTCTTTAGAGTTCAAAAATTGTATCACATGTTTCCAATAAGCAAATTAGAGTGACATCCAATAGATATTCATTTTATTTATTTCAGCTGATGTTGAAGGGTTGGGCCTATTCCTTCTGATCTGATGTTGTAGTTACAGAATCTGAAACATGAATTGATTGTATCAGGAATAAATGTGGTCCTGAGTTCATGCTAGGAGTGAGATCTTGTGGTTCATTTGTTTTATTTTAAATAATCTTGTTTCTCTTTTTATATAAGTTACAACAGCTTATAGCTAAATATTCCAAACATTAGCAAGTGTACAAAGGTCACCTTCCTACCACCTAAAGGTAACTCTACCCATTGCGTGTTGGTAAATGCCACCTACTTTTTTCTCAATATCAATGCACACTTATATTATCCATGAGTATATATGTATATATTCTTACGCATCTGCATATATTTATGTATATAGCAAGTATGCCACTTAATAAATGTTTCCACCAGACAATATTTTATAGACATCCGTTGTATACACATGTGTATATATATTTTTATCACATTCCATTTATGATTGCACTTTTGCTATAGTCTAATTTGAATGTATAATAATATGTTTAATGACACTTTTAGTGATGGGCATTTGGATTGCTTCCAGTTTTTCCACTTTGGTAATCAATACAATGATTCCCCTTGTTTAAATATTTTTCTTGGAATAAAGTCATAGAAGTAGTATTGCGGGGTTCAAGAAAATGCCCACTTATTTTTCTTTTCATTTTTTGAGATAGGATCTCACTCTGTCACCCAGGCTGGAGTACAGTGGTGTGTGTGATCATGGCTCAGTGCAGCCTCAAACTCCTGAGCTCAAGTGAACCTCCCACTTCAGCCTCCTAAGTAACTAGGACTTCAGGTGTATGCCACCAGGCCCAGCCAACTTTAAAAATCTTTGTAAAGACGAGGTCTCACTGTGTTGCCGAGGCTGACCTCTAACTCCTGGCCTTAAGGGATCCTGCCTGGGACTTTCAAAGTGCTAGGATTATAGACCTGAGCCACCATGCTGGCTGGAAATACCGATTTAAAAATTTGAGATATGTTGTCAAGTGGCCCTCTTAAATGTACCATATTATTCTTATTTGCCATGTCCTGAGGGTGATAATGGATTGTGTCTTGAGGACATAAACCAAATTTGCTAGATGGAAATTCTCCTCTCCTTTTTCTCCTCTAAACTTTCTTTTTCAAAGTTCAATGTAAAGAAATTATTCTATTCTTTTTCTTTGTGTGTGTGAAAATAATAGCTTATTTAGCCATTGGCCAAAACTTAGTGACCACTGAGAAGATTCCAAATCTTTGAATTACTAAAGGGCTTATTTGCCTACCATAGAGATATGGAGAGCCGGGACCTGAACCCAGAAATTTAAATTCTTGCTTCTTAAAAGGCTGGGGGTGGGGATGAAGGGGAAAGGAAATTCTTTCATTCCTTCTTGAAGTGTCTTCCTGGGAAATAATGGCAGGGATATCTATCTATCTATCTATCATCTATTTTATCAATGAATCAATCAACCTATGTATCTTCGATCTATCTATTTATCTCTAATTCCTAAGAGAATCACTTCAGAATTTCTGGCCCTTTTGTTGTTTTATTAGAAATGCAATTTTCCATTAAATTTTTGTCTTCTTGCGCTTTGCAAGTCTCAGAAGTTTAAGAAACATGTGACTCTAAACGCTTACTTCACAACTTTGAGATCCTGGTTGATAAATTTAATTTACAAATACTTGATGATTTCAGGCCCTGCCCCAACATTGTAAAGGAAGTATAATTCCCAAATAGAAGCAGCAATGCACAAGGGTTTCTGTGTTACAACAAAACTATTATAGCAACAATTGCATTTTTACACTTTGGTTTCTTTTTTTTTTTTTTTTTTTTGAGACGGAGTTTCACTCATGTTACCCAGGCTGGAGTGCAATGGGGCGATCTCGGCTCACCGCAACCTCCGCCTCCTGGGTTCAGGCAATTCTCCTGCCTCAGCCTCCTGAGTAGCTGGGATTACAGGCACGCGCCACCATGCCCAGCTAATTTTTTGTATTTTTGGTAGAGATGGGGTTTCACCATGTTGACCAGGATGGTCTCGATCTCTTGACCTCGTGATCCACCTGCCTCGGCCTCCCAAAGTGCTGGGATTACAGGCTTGAGCCACCACGCCCGGCTACACTTTGGTTTCTTGTAAAAAAGTTAGTTTAATTCTGCTCACCACCTAGTCATTTTATTAACCTAATGTTACTTTTGTAATATCTTCTTGTTTTATGCAGGCATTCTTACACCGAATGAACCAGTGTGCAGCATCAAAAGTTGACAAAAATGTGACAGAAGAAACAGTGAAGGTGAGGAGGTACAATTGGCCCTCAACCTGAGCACAAGTTTTCTAGAGATAAAGTTTGCCGGTGGCATGGTACTTCACAGTCCTTCAGTTGATCAGTAGTTCCAGTATAAATTACTGTGCCCATCAGTTGTATTGGTAATAATTTTAAAAAGGAGAACTAGGGTTTAGGAAAAGAGACAGGAGGTTACAAGAAAGGCAGAGAGGTCAGAGATACTTATTTTTATTAATTTATTTATTTTTACCAAGGCCTTGGGAACATTTGAACAGAGGAAGAAAAATAAATTGGAGGCTAAGAACCTCAGTGTCTTCAGGAAGGAGGGAGCTGAGCTATGTAAGAGGATTGTTAGAAGTGGCTCAGGAAGGCAGGGTGTGGGCAAATGCAACTTCCAGTGTCTGTGATCACTAAAGAATGAAAGATTTCAGTGGTTCACTTCACATAATATCCTTAATTGAGAAACAGACGTATAATCATTTCTTTAAAACTGCAAGGAAGGAAAATTGTGAAGAGTTTTGAAAAAAAAAAAAGATGCTAAATGAAAATTAATTATACTATAATGATTATTCATTTAAATTATAGGTAGTATTCTTGATATTTATGATGCTAACTTATTGTTTTATTTTGCTGGAAATATAAAACCTTCTAAGGATTTTTAAAGGTTCTTCTGATTCTATTTCCCCATGAGTAAAATACCTAACTTTCAAATTCTCCTCCCAGGAGAATATTTTAGTTAGCTTGTTTTTGGTTGTAAGCTGTAGAAACCTCTTACTCAAATTGAATTGAAGACACTTTGGCTCACATATCAAGGACTCCAGACAGAAGAGAAGTATGTTTAGCACCTGTGACCCAGAGAGGCCAGCAAGGTTGCTAGATCCTCTCCAGCAAATCACTGCCAGCAGGTTATCAGCTTTGTGTTCAAGCTGATTCTTCCTGTGGCTGCAGAATGACTCTGCAAGCTGTCCCATCTTTTACTTCTGCATGTGGCATCTTCCGGAGGGAAAAGAGGAATGTCCATTCTGGTGTGTCCTTTTTAGGAGCAAAGATACCCTTCCCAGAAAAGCCTGCCAGCAATTCTGCTGGTTTCCATGCAGCCCAGCCTTGAGAAGGCAGTGGGATACCTGGCTTGGATTGGGCCGCTGAGGCCTTGCCCTGAGAGCCAGCCAGGGGCTCTTGGTTCCCAGAGTTGTATCTGTGGCCTGGAGTGGAAGTCCAGACAAAATCAAGGCTCTGCTGGCAAGGTGGGAGGAAGGCATGGATGTGCGATTTTCAGGTTAGAGAGAGAATACTATGTGATCATAAGACTTAAAAAAATGCTTCACTACTGAGCTTACTTACACATGTGTTTATTTACAGATGTTGTTCTCAAACATTGAAGACATCCTTGCAGTACATAAAGAATTCTTAAAAGTTGTGGAAGAATGCTTACACCCTGAACCTAATGCTCAACAAGAAGTGGGAATCTGCTTTCTTCACTTTGTAGGATACATTTCTGTTCACTTTAAAAGTTCCTTTCCCCTCAATTTTAAGATTTAGCTTGTGGCATAGTGGTATGTGTGAATTCAGTATTAGAAATAAAATCTGACACCAAAAGTTTGGGGTCTTTTAAGGCCAATGAAATCTCCCACTTAGAGCCAGAAATGGGGAGAGTGCCTCACATCATCCATTTTACTCAGTGAAGAATAAACAGCCTTTTCTTTTCCCTGACAAGTTAGTTCTTCGCATCCTCTGTAGCTTTGAATTCTAATGAATATTCAGGCTGTTCATAATGAATGAATTTTTATGTTTCGCTCAAACATAGAGCATTTTTCTTTTGAGGCAGAAAATCCTCACTCCTATAATGGCACGATGAGCCTTTTATTAGTCAGAATGTTCCCTTGTTAACAACTTGTGACAAACCTGGAGTTGAATAAACCCAGTAGCAGGAATTTTCCCCAAGGGTTTCTCAGAAGATTGTACTGAGCAGTGCGGCTGCAATAACCAACCAGTACTCATTTGTTTCAAATTACACATCCTATGCCAGGATGATCATTTTTGTCTCTTTATATATGATGCCCTGAAATTATTTATGCAATTAATTTGCAAAATAAAAAGACACCTGTGTAGTGAAAATTGTTTTCAGAGCTAAAGGGCATCCACACCAAAAAAAAAAAGTCCTGCTATTTATACCATTGCATTGATGCTAATTTTGAGAATACCAGTTTGAATCCATGTGCTTATCAAAATGCTAGACAATTAATGTTTTGTTTAAAAATGTGTAAGAGTAGTCATAGAAATCAAGTTTTGTGTATTTTTAATTTTCCATCTAGTCTTTTAGAAACATTTCGATAGTTTCAAAATCTGTCTTTATGTAGTGAGCCGGCTCTGTGTTCTTTTTGTAATCAGAAAATATTTCATGAAAATAATTATATTAAAAGGAGAGGCTCACTGGGTGTAGGAAGATCAAGCTGTGTTTTTCTTGGGCACAGCTGGAAGCCACGGGTGTTTGTGTCCACTCACTAAAGCCTACTTGATTTCACGAAGGAATCAAAAGAATCAGAATCTTCTGCCAGCCGGAGTAGTTGCTATCTCAGTCCAGGGCTGCGCCTGGGAATCTAGCACCCTGACATCCATTTCCTTAGTAACACTTTATGAATCTGTCATCCCTGAATTTAGCTAAACTATTTCTGAAGTTGTTTTTTTTTTTTTTTTTTTTTTTTTTTTTTTTCTGGCTCATGTCATTTCTTGAGATAAATGATTCAATATATTTTCTGCTGGTTGTATAAAGCAGCACTTAATGTTTCTCAGTGCATGCCTTTGAAATTTCACTGGGCACCCTTTTGTTCTAATATTTGATCGATAAATTTTTTGTGCCTTTCTTTTATTGGTGCTCTTTGGATGATAATACACTTTAAGGAAATATTACAAATGAGAGGGAGCTTAGAGATCATGATGTCACAAATCCCCTTGTTTTGAAAGAATACCTTCTGTTTATCTGTGAAGGCTATTTATTTTGTTTCTACTTTAGTGACAGCTCTGTTAGAAAATCTCTATGTTGATCCCAAATCTGCCCATAATTGCCCTTGCAACATCCACCTAAAGATCCTAGTTTTATATTTGGAGCTACATAGAATTGTCAGTCCTTTACAATAGAATGCTGTTTGAAAGTAGTCATGATTTCCTGACTTTTCTATTTCTACAAATATCACTATCTGAAACAAACTCTCAGATGTGGTATCTTCAGGGTCTGTCATTCTCTTAGTTGCTAGATATTCTTCAGGTTGTCAGTGTCTCTCTTAAGCACAACTGTCTAGACTGGTGTATATGAGCTGCAGGGTCCTGTGTGTCTCTATTTCTGTACAATCTGGCACTTGCTTTCCCTTCACCAGAAGACTTTCTTCCCTCTCCCTGCGTAGGAATCATGGATTCATCTCCCTGGACCCTGCTCAGATCGATTGACCTTTCTCCTACATAGTTTCCTTCTTCAGTTTTCACAAATAACAGCAAGAATATGTATGCAATTTCTTCCTCTTTTTAAGCTGTAACTGAATCCTCATGGCAAAGTTCAGCCCTCTCTTTTCTGTGCTTTGCCACCCTTTGGTTCATTTGTCTACAATTGAATTCATCAGGGTGGAATATAATTGATATATGTCTCCCTTTCTAGGCTATTCATCATGGGTCAAGGAAAATAAATAAAATTTGTATATAGATGCATACACACCGTATAGCTCTTAACACGTAGTAAACAGAAAAGTTTCTTTTTGCATACCACATAGGTTAAAATTGCAGAATGATTAATAAGATAACTCATTTATTCTTACTTGAATTCACAGAAAGACAAGTTTCGTATCTATGATGAATATTGTAGTAACCATGAGAAGGCACAAAAATTACTTCTTGAACTCAACAAAATAAGAACAATCCGGACATTTCTTTTGGTAAGTGTATATTTCTATGTGACTGCATGTTGATATGTGTTGCTAGGCCTAGTGAGAGCCAGTGAATAGCATCAATATGGTATAAACAACTATGGGATAACTCTGTTAGCTTCCTCAGGCGAGGAAGCAAGAGTCCTTTGATAAAAATAAAAGTGAGAGCTGGGATCAGCTCGTGTTTGGGGTAGCACTGCTAATGCCCTCTCGTGGTTGATTATGAATTATCTGTGAGACCCCACAGGTTCCTAGTGAGAGAGGAACTTCTGCCAGAGTTCATCACTGCTTTATAGCCCCAGTTCCCTTGGGCATCCTTATGTCTGCTGAGAGAGCTGTAAGTAGGGCAGTAATAGGAAGAAAGCAAATTGTGGATATAGTAGAAAATAAGTGTAAAATTTAACCTTTTTCCTGCATACATTCAGTATTTTTTTTCATAAAAACAACAAGAATATATGTTTAATTTCTTTAGCTTAGCACAAATAAATGCATATTTTGGCTGTCACATGGGCAAACTAATCGCCAGTGAGGAGCAGATTGTAATTGTGCGATCCAGTGATATTTAGCAGAGTGTGGAGTAATACAACCGTATCCCAAATTCAGTTTTAGGTCATTTTTGTCACCTCAGAAAGACTTCCATGTCCCTTTATAGCCTATGTCTGTTCCCACCACTAGCACCGGGAATACACTGATTTGTTTTTATCCCTATAGATTGCATTTTCTGGTGATTTTATATAAATGGACTCATACAATATAATCTTTAGTGCTGACCTTCTTTCACTCAGTAAAATGTTTTCAAAGTTCATCCTTGCTATAGCATGTTTCCATGTTTCATTCATTTTATTTTATTATTTCTTATTATTACTTTTGAGACTGAGTCTCACTCTGTCACCCAGGCTGGGGTGCCCAGGCTGGAGTGCAGTGGCGCAATCTTGGCTCACTGCAACCTCCTCCTCCTGGGTTCAAGTGATTCTCCTGCCTCAGCCTCCTGAGTGGCTGAGACTACAGGCAACCGCCACCAAGCCCAGCTAATGTTTTGTATTTTTAGTAGAGATTAGGTTTCACCATGTTAGCCGGGATGGTCTCAATCTCCTGACCTTGTGATTCACCTGCCGCAGCCTCCTAGGGTGCTGGGATTACAGGTGTGAGCCACCATTCCTGGTCCTCATTCATTTTAATTGCAAAATCACTTTCCATTGTATGGATATGCTGTATTTTGTTTATCTATTTGCCTGTCAGTGAAAACTGGGCCTGGGTCTAGTTGGGCTCCTATAAAGAATGCTGTTATGAGCATTTATGTTCAAATCTTTGAGTGGACATTATGTTTTTATTCTTTTGGATAGACACTAAAGTGGTCTTGAATACTGTGATAAATGATAAGCTCAAGTTTAACTAATTAAGAAACTGCCCAACTATTTGTCATTGTGGCTGTTGCATATTCACTGGTAATACACGAGGATTTCAGTTTCTCAATATCTTTGCCAACACTTGGCATTTTCAGTTTTTCTGATTACAGCCATGCTAGTGGGTGTGTAGCACTGTCTCATGGTGGTTTAAATTTGTATTTCGCCAGTGACTAATTACATTAAGCATGCTTTAATGTACTTATTAAATGTTCATGTCTCCTTTAATAAAATGTTTATTCAAATCTTTTACCCATTTTAAAATTGGGATGTTTGTTGTATATTGAGCTATAAATGTTTGTTATTTCAGATATAAGTCCTGTATCAGGCATATGATATGCAAATATTTCCTCCCAGTGTGGTTTGTCTGTTTTTAAAATATCACCTTTTAAAAATCAGAAATTTTACATTTTGATGAAGTCTAATTTATTACATTTTTTTCTGTTAAGACCATGCTTTTATTGTCATATGTAAGAAATTTGTATTCAGGTCTTGTAGTTACTTTTTTTTCTTTGTTTTCTCCTTTTGATGCTATTGTGATTGAAATTATCTTAATATTATTTTAAAATTGTTCACTGCTAGTATATAGAAATTTAATTGACTTTTGTTTATTGATCTTGGATCATTTGATCTAAATTTATGTGTTTAAGTAGTTATTTTGTAGCTTGTTTAGGATATTTTGCATATAGGATCAATTATCTGATAATAAGGATGATTTTACTCCTTCCTTTTCATTGTGGATGATTTTTTTTTCTTGTCTTATTGCACTGACTAGAACCTTCAGCATAATGTTGAATAAAACTTGTAAAAGCAGGCACCCCTGCCATGTTTCTGATCTCAGTGTGAAAACATTCAGTCCTTCCCCATTAAGTATGATGTTAGCTATTGATTTTTTAGTAGATGTTCTTTCTTATGTTGAGGAACTTTCATTATATTTCTAGTTCATGTTATGTGATGTGAATAATAATGTTCATATACATCGACAATGCCATGAATTATATGCACTGATAATTCTATGAATTACTATCCGTATTATTCATATTGTTTAATGATCCAATTATTGAGAATGAGACATTGAAATCTCCATGTATAATTAATTTATATATTTCACCCTTTCATTCTGTCAATTTTTGTTTGCTGTATTTTCAGTCTCTGATGTTAGATATGCATGCATTCATAATTGTTATATTCATATTTCTATTTATCATCATGAAATGGTCTTCTTTGTCCCTGTGGTGTTTCTCCTGTTAAAGCCTATTTTTCGTAATAATATTATAGCTAGGAGAGCTCTCTTACTGTTTGTATGTTGTATCTTTTTCCATTACTTTACTTACAAGCTATTCATGATCTTTGAAATGACTCTGGCAGATGGCATATTGTTGGATCTGCTTTTTATCCAGTCTGACAGTCTCTGGGGCCCTCGGTTTATTTGCTTTTAATGTAATTATCAATATGGTGGTATTTACATGTGACATTTTATTATTTTTTCCTACATGTCTTTTTTGTTTGTTTCTCTGTTCTTCTTTTACCACCTACTTTTGTGTCAGTCAAGCATTTTTTTCATGTACTATTTTGATTCCTCTCAATTTTTAAACTATATTGTTAAGAGTTTTTTAGGTGATTGCTCTAGGAACTACACTATGCATCTTAACATATCAAATCCATATTAGGTTAATATTGACTTAATTCCAGTTAAATATAGGGGAAATTTGGCTACAATATTTCCTGAATGGAAATGGAAAATGTTCCATTTCATCTCTCCTCTATTGTGCTATTATTGCCATATATATTATGTTATATATATTATAAACTTCACAACACCATGTTACAATTATTGCTTTCTATGTTCTTCTACAGCCTTTTATGTTTACATATTTATTTACTCTCTCTGGTGCTCTTATTTCTTCCTGTGTATTTGACTCTGATATTAGGCTTTTCAGCCTGACGTACTTCCCTTAGCATTTCTTGTAGGTCATTTCTGCTAGCAATGACTTTGCTCATTTTTTTTTTTTTTAAATCTGCGAAGGTCCTTGTTTTGCATTCATTTTTGAAGACTAGTTTTATTTGGACATATAACTTTTTGATTGATAAATTTTTTTCTCAGTCAATGCTTTGAATATATCATTCTCCTACCTTATGACTTCCATTGTTCCTGATGATAAGGCATCTGCTTTAATTGTATGGTTGTTATACTTTATATGATGGGTCATTTAGCTCTTTTTTGCTGCTTTCCACATTTTCTCTTTGTGTTTGTCTAGGTGTGGATATGATTATACAGTTTTTATTTATACTTGAGCTTTTGGAATCTATAGATTAATTTTTCATCAAATCTGGAAAGATTTTAGCCATTATTTTAGAAATATTTATCTGACCCTTTTGTTTTCTTCTTTGGTGACTCCAATTACACACATGTTGGTAAGCTTAATGTTTTCTCTTGGTTCCTGATGCACTTTTTATTTTTCTACAATCTCCTGGGCTCAAGTGGTCCTCTTACCTTAGCCTCCCAAAGTGCTGAGACTACAGGCATGAGCCACTGTGCCTGATCAGGAAACATATTATTTATATACGTATAAGGAGCTGGCTCTAATAAGCCAGTCTAATGTGATAGCCAACCTTTGGTATTATGAATTGAGTTCAAAATCTATACAGTACTAATACACAAGACAATGTAAGTGGGCTAGAGAGCCCTGAATGATTTTAGGGCACTTCAGTCCAGAGGTAGGTGAGGGATGCCTGCTTTACAGGGATGCTAACGTACTGGAATGGAAACATCCTGGAAATATAATGAGATGTAGATAGTTGTGTTTCATAGGATTCCTCTGGGGGAAAATACCATACAGAGTTTGAAAGAATATTTTGATAACCTGATTGCAGTAGGGAGTGAAACTTCCAAAGAGCATGCTTGTGTAAGAGCATGTATTTACTGCTATGCCTTCTGAGGTGTCTGGGTGGAGTTACATTCATAGCTCTGATTTTGCTGACTTAGACACACAAATTGAGGCTGATACGCAGTTTCACAGGACAGCAGAAAATTGTTCTGCTACCATCGTCTTCTTTTGCACCCTTTCCTGATCAACACTTAGCCTCTCCTCTCAATGGACCTGAAACGGTTTTAAAAATTGTAGTATGAAAGTTGCTAACTTAGTTTGATATTTGAGGGGCTCTCTTCTCCCTCTGTTAGATATTTATTAAATAGTTTGTCTGTTATAGAAACTGCAGAAAGAGGCTTAGGCCGGGCATAGTGGCTCAAGCCTGTAATCCCAGCACTTTGGGAGGCCGAAGCGGGCGGATCACAAGGTCAAGAGATTGAGACCATCCTGGCCAACATGGTGAAACCCCGTCTCTACTAAAATTATAAAAATTAGCTGGGCGTCGTGGCACATGCCTGTGGTCCCAGCTACTCAGGAGGCTGAGGCAGGAGAATTGTTTGAACCCAGGAGGTGGAGGTTGCAGTGAGCCGAGATTGTGCCACTGCACTCCAGCCTGGCGACAGAGTGAGACTTTGTCTCAAAAAAAAAAAAAGAAAAAAAAAGAAAGAAAAAGAAGGTTTGGGCAAGTTTCAAGTCTGTTTCGTTGCATGTTCCTTATTAAGGTGGAGGCTTTATTTATCAGAGTCCGTTTTCTCTTGACCACCTATTTATCATCAGTGAAAGCTGCTTCAGTTTTACCCCACTCTGATTCCTGATTTTGAAATTTCTTCATTCATCTTGCCTCTGTGGAGATCCTGGCTGACCTCCTTCTCTGACACTGGCTGCCCAGTGTCTTTAGTGCAGTGTGATAGCAAAAAGTGACTCGGAGATCACTTTCTTAAAACCTACCCTATTTATGGAGAGGAAAACTAGAATTCTGAAGTCAGTTCAATTTGTATAACTAGTCAGCTGCAGAGCCTGAGTTAGAACCCAACTGTCTTGAAACTTGCTCTTTTACAGTATACCTTTCTTTATAAGCAAAATCAGTCTGTTTATCCATCCACTTATCCATCCATCCATCCATCCATCCATTCATCCATTCATTCATCTCTCTATCTCTTTCTCCACCTCTTTTTCCTCAGACTTCACACTCAGGAGAATATAAGTGCATTAATTTTTAAGATACAGATTGAAAACAGTTCTGTAACTAGCATTTCTCTTTGTCTTTCTGTGAATATTTGTGACTGAATATGCTCTTCTTAGAGAAAGGAAGCATATATAGACATATGCTTTCACTAGTTTTCAGTATTTTATGGTAGAAGAAAGTTTTACAGCCTGAGATTTTAAAAATGTAATTAATTATGATTATTTTCACCCCAGAACTGCATGCTGCTTGGAGGACGGAAGAACACAGATGTTCCCTTGGAAGGATATTTAGTAACACCAATACAAAGAATATGCAAGTACCCTCTCATTTTGAAGGTATTTTATGTGCTACCTCACTATTGCCATTTCCTTGTACCTGCATATTTTGCTGATGATCTTTTTAAAAAATTCTTTTAAAGAGTCTGTTATTCTAAAGGAAGGGCAGATCGTAAGTATTGGAAAAAAGTGGCCATTTTATCACACATTTATATATAGTATAGGAAACAGATTTTCAGTGGAAAAGCCACTGAAAGAGCTTTTAGTGCTCTTCGTATAAAACACATTTGTTTGAGTTTCATTTAGAGGAAATGCATTAGCTTCAAGATAGATCCCATTAAGTTAATTATGACTAGTTTATATAGCATTTTGTAGGATCTTTTATTTTAAATAAATTCACTGCTGACATATTTTCGATTTCCTCAAACTTTGATGACTTTGCGATGCTAATGAAATTAAGGTCAAAATTACAAAATTGCAGAACCAGGATTTAAAATTATTATTACAAAGGAATAGAGGCCGGGCGTGGTGGCTCACGCCTGTAATCCCAGCACTTTGGGAGGCCGAGGAGGGTAGATGACGAGGTCAAGAGATCGAGACCATCCTGGTCAACATGGTGAAACCCCGTCTCTACTAAAAATACAAAAAATTAGCTGAGCATGGTGGCGCGTGCCTGTAGTCCCAGCTGCTCGGGAAGCTGAGGCAGGAGAATTGTCTGAACCCAGGAGGCAGAGGTTGCGGTGAGCCGAGATCGTGCCATTGCACTCCAGCCTGGGTAACAAGAGTGAAACTCCGTCTCAAAAAAAAAAAAAAACAAAAAAAAAACCAAGGGAATAGTATGGGTCACATGAGCCAATAAATGATAGAATGTAGAATGAGATTGCTAAGAAAACATTGCCTCTAGAAGATGTAAAACATCCTACTAATGGTTTTAGGTGTGTTGCCTCATTATAGTAACCACAATTTTTATTATGAAAAATATACTGTATTGTGCCAACTACTGCCCTTACTGCAAGGGACCTATGAATAGGTCAAGATAGCAATTTTTGAAACTACGTTTTTTGGCACCATAACATCAGGTTAGGCAGTCTGGGATAGTGGTTAAGCACATAAGCTCTGAGTTTAAATCCCAAGTATTGTGCTTACTGGGCATGTATATATGTAGGAATATATAATGATAATGATTAAGTATATAAGTCATTTAGCATAGTATGTGCTTTATAAGTGTTAGCCGTTATTATTCATATCTACTTGATCCTATTTTAATGTATTAGTTACTACTTGGCACAAAACTTCAAAATATACTCAGAAGTACTAGAGACTTATTAACTAGTGTTTTTATTGATTTATTTTTTAAGAAATAAATGTTGAATTTGAATTAAAAATATAGCTTAATAGAATTCTTGTCAATTCTATAAATTGGATATCTGTGTAAATTTTGTTTGAAAATATTTGCTCCTTATTAAGTAAATAAAAGTCTAGCATTGGTTGGTTAAGCCATAAAAAGCCACAGAAAGGCTGACACAGGAGTCCCTAACTCTACAGAGGGAGTATTGGTGCAAATATGTCTCTTTTCTTTCTGAGAATCTCTATAGACCTCTGACTTGACTCAGTTTGCATGTGTACTCATAACTGCAGTTATTCCTGACACTGATTTTGGAATCCCAAGGGATTTGTTTTTTCTAAGAAGGGATAGGGAGATTAAGAAGGTTACATCATGACAAAGTGGTTATTCTAAATTACTCATTTGTGATTAGAGATGAACTCAGGTATTTGAACTGACCTCTCAAAAGATAGCATCATGACACATGCTTTCTTAGCCAGAAGGTCAGTTCAGAGCTCCTTCAAGCAGTGGATGGATGACCTCCTTCCCCTTTTCTGGTAGATTATCTTCATGAAGAAACATGAAAAAAACTGTTAGCTCATGTAGTAGATATGTTGGCATTGATATTTGTCTCTTTTGTATCATCAGCTGAAAAATTCTGCTGGGATTCTCTTTGATTTAGGGTGGTTTTATTTATTCAGGGAAAAATATTATATGGATTAGGCTATAGTATTAGGAAAAGATACATTGGTATTATTTGTGGAGCTTTAAATTACTGAGTTGGTCAATCAACATTGGGTAGATAGTGAGTAACTGCCAAGAGATTGTGAGTGTTGGTCTTGTCTTGCTATTTCACATTATGTAAGTTCATATTCAAGTCCTTAGATAATTGGACCCCAAATTATGGCCTGCAGATTGACTTGACCACTCCACATAATTTACAGGTGCTTCTACTCTAGAGTTTCTGGAGAAGCCTGCATGTCTCATTTATGGATTTGTGATCCAGCATAAATTTTAAACCTTGTCTTGGGAGTGATATAATGTGTATTTCTCTGGTGTTAACTCTGAGAACACGGTGTGAACATAATGAATGCAGGGCCCAAGTTTATGGCAGAATTTTCAACAATAATAGAACTCAAAAGAATATAATGACTGCATATTTTCCCACTGTTTTGTTGAGAATTTAGAAAATTCAAGACTTGCCTCAGGATTTCAGTAATTGTGCTAGTTACGTGATGATGGCAACCTTAGTAAAGAAACACATGACTAATTAAAAAGCAATGTGGTTCCGACTGTCTAGACAGTGGGTGAAGATGTTTAATTTTGTGCTTTTAAACAACAACTAACAGGACCTTTTAATATGTTTAAGAGATTAAAGATTATTCTAGTTTCGATAAGTGGGAAAAGATACAAATAAAAAGACCCTCCAAATCCCCTAAATACCAAAAACAAAAAAAGGAAGCTATTGAGGGATATATGGTAGTTCATTCATCATGAGAATAAGCCTGCGTAATTGGACAAAACAGCAGAAATTGCTCCTTTAATGATGGAGTATTGTAGAATTAATAAATTATCTTATTGTAGCATAAGACATTATTTAAAAATTTTACCTTATGACGTTTTTATAGTTTCTCAAAAACATTAGAAAATAAGATGTTTAAATTATTTTTGAAATTGTGACATACTTAAAGATTTGTTATTCTGTTAAACACTCTAGAAAAATGAAATTAACATGTAAAGACGTGCTTCTGTTAGAACCAAAGTCAAATTATTAAAAAAAAATAAAAATTTTTGCTCCTGGTAAGATATTTGACCATTTGGAAGGAGGAACCTAATTTAATTTTTAAAAACAAAATGAGTTTAAGGAAAAATTAAAGTGACTGCACAAATGTGCATTTGGGTTATACTTACTCATTGATTCCAACTTTTGTTTTTGATCTTAATCTTAGAGGAATTTGTGATGTCACTTATGGAAGTGGCTCTCACGATCTTTGCAGTTTTCATTTCCTGGTCACTCTGAACCTGCTGTACCAGAAAGCTGAAGATCAAAGGGCAATTTGTTTTTTTGTGTATAAACAGGAGTTGCTGAAGCGGACTCCACGGAAACACCGTGACTACGCAGCAGTGATGGAAGCTCTTCAAGCCATGAAAGCTGTCTGTTCCAACATAAATGAGGCCAAGAGACAGATGGAGAAGTTAGAAGTGTTAGAGGAATGGCAGTCTCACATTGAAGGCTGGGAGGTACATCCACTTTGCTCAACAATCAAGCTTAAGATAGTTTCACGTTGCAGGTCATGGGAAGAATTCCTGGCATTGGATGGAACCATAAATGGTCATTTTCTTACATGTTACTTGAGGACTATAGTCAATTCTGAAAAGTGCTCACTTTCATCATTATTTTAAAATATGTTTAAGGTGGTAGTTAATTGGCTTAACCTTGACCCAAGAAGTTTGTGATGGAGCCAGTATACACTATGTATGCTATAAGCTTTAGTATTTTGGCTTTATGCATCATGATGATCCTGTTCCTCTCTTAACTTTGGCCATTAAATACATAGCCTGGATTCTGGGAGAGTGAAAAAGGGAAGGAAAGTTCAGTAGGTGTGCTGTGGTATTACTTTCAGAGTCTAGATGTTTGATGCTGAATTTCATTTTAAGTTCACTTAACCTCTTTGTTTTGATTTCTTCATTTATAAAATGAAGGAACTGGCTATGATCTTATTTTTAAGGTTTATTCAATATGAAAAATGTTATGGCTTCCTGAGTCATGAAGGAAATATTTTTTATGCCAAAAAAAACAAATGAGTATGGTTTGCAATCTGTAAAATGTTTTCAGGTAATGGTAACTTTGATTCCCAGGTATTTCATGGGGTTGCAGTCCTATGTTACTTTAACACTATGCAAAGTATGAACTAAAATTCTGCTATTACATTACCTTAATTTAAATGAGTATAAGCTTTGGACTAGGTTAAATTTTTTCTTGTTATAAAGTAAGCAAGATAATTTTTAAGTGTAGGAAAGATTGAAAATGCTCCTAGCCAAATACTGAATCACAAAAACCAAGTGGATTGCTTTTGTCTTTAAGGCTTTAGGTGAATTTGTTTCTTATGTTCAATATGTTAGTTTTCATTCAGACCTAAAATTATATCCACCCAAATATGCAAAGAAACCTCAAACATTGACCTTAATGAATTCTCCCATTTGTCCATTCTCTCCTATGAATCTTTTAAAATGCTAACTGGGGTTGACCTTGCTGCTTCTTTGCCTAACTTTCTATTTCAAGGATCCAGAGTGCCCTTGCATTCAGCATGAATGCTGCCTCTTTCAGTTGGCTAAATTGGTTGTGTGTTTTACAGTTGATTCATGATGATAATTTCTTTCCTGGGGAGCTGTTGTCCTGCTGTGATGAGAAAAATGGACTCAAGTTTGCTTTTGGAGTTCTGTTGTCACTCAAACACTGGAAGAAAAACCAAACTTGCTTTAAATTGCAGAATTTGTCAGTGAAATGTGCTAGGCCTTTTAATACAACAAAAACTTTAGAGACCTTTTTCGGCACTCTAAGGAAATGGAATCTGTCATAATTTTGTTTCATTCTGGTGTATATCCTAAAAATTAAGTCTACTGCAGAAATGAAAGATTCCTTAAAAGTTATTGATATTGTTTACACAGTATACACCAGTAACTCAAAGGAAGAATGAATGTAGGTGGAACTATGTCATATGTAACCCACAACAGAGGGTGCCTGACTTCACCAGCTTTCGTGGTTTTACAACATTCTGAGTGCAAGAGAAAATGGGGATGGAGTTAAGGAATTCTGTGGTGTATTCAGAGAAATTAGAGAGGAATGTTGCCACCTCTCATAGGTGTATAAGAACTCATAGAAGTTAAATAGCTCTCATTTTTAAACTCTGCAGTCAGAGTTCCAGGAGGCACAGGGGAGATAATATAAAAGCTGGGTTCCAAGAAAGTGGGTTCCAAGAAGTGGCAACATAAATTCTACTTGAGTAGGGTTTGACAATGATTGAGAAAGACAGCCATACAAACGTTGGGAGTTTTGGGACTTTGAGGGAATGTAGTTTGGAGCAGGGCCCAGTCAGTGGGTTGGCAATTTGTGATAAGAACTCCATTACCCATCCCAGTTTACCACCCCATTGAGGGGGGAACTTGGTTGTCAGGCCTGGTCCCTGCTGGGGAGTTTAGGAGAAATTGCTGGTCTGGTCAGACTCTCTGTAAGGACAGAGGCTGAATTCAGGCCTTGGGAGGAAGCAGTAATGAGCTAAAGAGCTGTCTTTGACTTGCTGATGGGGATCCTTGCTCAATCTGCAGAAGCTTTGTGTATCTGTGGAGAGGCAGCCTTAGGGTTAGGACAGGGAGAAGTTCAGCTGTAGGGTGGCATGACAGTCATGGAATGCAGAGTTCCCTGAGGAGTTTCTAAGTTTGGGAGCCTTCCATTCATGCTAGGAGACAGCTCCCTCTCCACGTCCTTCCACGGGCTCCTGCAGACCACCTTCAGGACCTCCTTAGGGAGAACACTGTTTCTTCAGTAACTACAATTCTATTTGATGGGATCCAAGTCTTATACACCATTAATTTTTATTGTTTCCATTATAGGTGGATTATTCTGTCACTTAATTATCTGGGGACCTGATAATTTACTGTTAATCAAATGAAAGCTTTTATTTAAACAATAAAATCTCATAGGCACAATGTGCCTATCTAGTATTTTGTGCTGCTAAATTATTTACATTCCTGAATGTTGAATTTAGGTAAACAAGCAATTGAAATTTATTGTTGGCAAATCATACGACAATGAGAAAAGCATGGCTTTCGATGAGTTGGTTTTTAGTCTGGATTCTAACGCTTTGTTTTGGTGTGATACATCATACCTCTCCTATATGGAGAGTGGATTATTGCAGAAGTCAAATGAAATAAAAGTGCTTTGCACATGGTAAAATGCTATGCAAATATGAGGTAGTATTTTAAAGCTTTAAAAAATTCTCATTTGTCTAATATATGTACCTGTCTACTGCAGGTATTATGTTACTTAGGGTTATATGGTTCTAAGCATCAGAACCTAAAAGAAAAATTAATTTAAAAGATTGGGTAGCTTGCAGAGTCAATAAAAAGCTACAGTGTCAAACCTGAGAAAGTTGTCTAAGCAGCTGAAACTATTTGACAGTCTCATCCATGCCCTAGCTAAAATGAACAGGCTCTAATAATTTTTTCCATCTTTGTATGACTACACTCAAGACTGAAGATCAAAATCTAAAATTCAACTAATGTTGCTTGGGTAAATTTGCTGAGGGAAGGGCAGAGGTTCTTGACTGCCAGTCATTCAATTTCTTTTTGGGGAATTACTGATTCTCCATTGTATGCATTATAATCACATACAATGCATTATTATCATCTCCACAGTTTGCTGAGATGCTATACTTCCCATTGAACAGATTTAATAAATGAAGGCTATTTCCTGGGTTCTTTTACCTAACAGGTGACAACATTTAGATCTGAAAATAGGCAGCTTGATTCTAAAGCTTATATTCCTTACCACATGATATTATATCCACTCAGATACAAATTTGGCAAATTCTTTGGATTAAGTTTGTTTTCCTGCTTACCTTTTAAAAGTAAGTTAATTATTGAAATCAGGTTTTGGTCAGCATTTATGTAGTAATTGCCACCACAGAAAATCTATAGCGTATGTTTTAATTGTTCATTTTTGAAGTTATGCCTTCTATTAGTGTAATTTGTTATATCTCAGTCATATATCTTATTCAACATTCAGAACATTCTACAAGATAGTCTGCTGAAGGTAATTGTGGGGCAGTGATTAATATGCCTTGGAAGGGAAGTTTATTAGCTGTTTAATCAGAATCACTGGTTCATTTCATAGAACAGGACCATTCTCTGTGTGTTGGTTGATTGATGATGTTGTAATGATAACTGTACCCTTTGGAGCTATACGGACATATTTTGACAAGGGAGTATCAATAAACATTACATTGTCAACAGTTCAGCTTTAAGGTCTTGATATGCCTGTTTGGAATTGATCTCTTAAATATGGAAAAACGATTATGCTAATAGCTAAGAGAAGAAATTATTAATATATGAAAGCGTTGGGATAAATGAGATTCAAAATAAAGATTGTGTTTTAGAAAGTTAAGAGAAGCAGAAATAAATTAGACATTTCTTTATTACCTTTTTACATGGAAAAATACAGCGCTACAGGACCATTTAAAAATTACCTCTTGTTGGTTTTGGAATCTGTTAGCTGCTTCCATTTGATTGAGTTTCTGCCTGACAGTGTATTGACTTCAAGTCATGTTTCTTGTTATTTCATAGATGTGAGTCTTCCAGATATTAGTGCTGGGACTTTTTTCCTTTTGTCCTCTATACAAGGTGATTTGGCAGATACAAATTCATCTTCTACCTTGAGATAGAATTGATTTATATAGATAGTCTTTGTTATTTGAGGATAAGTGGTTCTGGAAAAAGACCACTGAAAATGAATCCACTTAAAGAGGCACAAAATTTCAATTAAGTGGGAGGTGGGGAAGGTTTGATGGGACTTTATCTTTGGAAAAATGAAAATTTATATTATTTCTTTTATATGTCACAGAAATCAGGTTATAATTTTAGTTAATATTTTTAACCTTAAAAAGAGTGAATCGAATGCTGAGTCTTTTTTTGGGGGGAATCAAACATTTTATGATAAAACAATATAATATTCTTAATTTTATGTTTGTTTTCATAGTATTTTTTAAAAAACTTATCTTCGTAAGAATGTTCAAATGCTTCATCAATTTTTTTCAAGAGACTCCTTTGATATCAAAACTATTCTCTTACAAAGCACCATCTAGTTATCGCTCTTGTCAATTTTCTTTTCTTCGACGGTGAATGGATCTAGCCCCGTTAGATCTTTGTCTGCTGATGCATTGTATATGAGTGGGGACATTTCAAGGCCTCCTGTCATCTTTCATCTTTTCCAAGATTGTAGTTTCTCTCCACAGATTCCAACATATCTGTGGTTAAACAGTTGTTAATGATTTTTGCCTGCCATTATCATAGAGATAATGCACAGATTAAATCATGGGAAATCAAAGGCACAGTGGGCATTCTTTATAGTCTAAAAGATAAATGCAGTGTAAAGGAAAATGCTGTAAGCTGCTGTGTTAGAATGATATTTTTAGACAAACCTGCACATTTTGACATAGAATCCTTTAGTGCATTAACAATTTTCAGGGAATTATTTGATTACTCATGGAAGATGTTTCATGCCATGATGATATATTACTGTGGTAGAAGATGGTGAAAGGTGATATTGCACTAATTTTTGAAGCTTGCTTTAAGTGTTAAAGGTGCATCATCTCGGTGACAGAGACATCTAAGTCAGATTAAGTAAAACAATCTGACCAATGTTGTGCGTATATTGTGAGATATATTTTGCAGCATAATCATAAATTCTAGAAGCTGTCGATGGTTGTGCTTGTCCTTGTTTTCTGAAAATGTGATTAATAATTGTCTAAACTGATGATTTAAGTTGTTTGTAAAATGAAGTGTTGACCTTATAGAGGTCAGTTAATTTTACTCTGTTTTTTGATCAATCAGGAGTAAGAAGCTGATGGGCACTTATAATAATGCCTTAGATTGAATAGATCTACCTATGTCAAGCAAGGGACTTGAGAGTTTCTTATATCCTTTTGGACTGGGTGATTCAAAAAGTCAAACTAAAGCACAAGATAGAGGAAAAAGACCTAGTAGTTTGATTGATTGTAGTGGCACTTTGAATCAGTTGTAAGATAAGGATGCCATTATAGTTAGCTCAGTTTTATATAAAATACTCCTTGCATTTATTAAGAAAGGCAATTATCAACAAGTCAGGAAATGCATTGTTAAGAATGTGTCTACTGATATCTGTATGTGTTAATTTGAGATACTCGGGAGATTTACTTAATGTGAAAATTAAGATAATATCTGCAGTAACACTTTCATAATGTAAAAATTTATCATCTGGGGTTGGTTTATATGGGTCATCATAAGAAATGGTCTAAGGGAGGGCTATTCTGTACATTTTGTGAAATTGCTATAAATTCAAACCACTTTGTTTAATGAACACATGACAAAGTACGTGAAATTCTGTAACTTTTTTTTTTTTTTGCCAAATCATTTGCATATCCACTTTCAGGATGAAAAGAAATAATAAAGGAAAATGTCTAAAATTTACAATATGAAGAGAATCAAATTAATACAAAAAACTATTAATTAATTCCTCATTTTGGAGTTTGAGTTGTCATTGTAGGTATGAGTTGTCATTTTAAATTTTTATGATTGACCAGAGAAACTATTATAGTGATTATCATAGAAATATGAAATTAAAAATTAATGTTTTAAATGTTAAATATCAAACATTAAAAATAGAAAATTGAGTTAAAGAAAAATTAGAAATTTACTCCAGATTTAAAGAATCTAAATATTGTTGAAACTGAAAGTCTCTTGCAGAGCATGCATATAGATTTTTATGGAAAATGTCCTTTTTCTTTTTTGTTTTGTTCCAACTCAGTACATTATTTATGATAGATTAGGTTGTAGAAACAAATGGCCTATAATATTTATAATGGCTCAAAATAGGCCTATCTATGCATCTCCCACCATAGTCTGATGCTCGTGCCCTATTGGGGGGCAGTTTTCCTGTGTTGAAGATTCAGGGGCCCAAGCTCCTTCCCTCTTGTGTCTCCTCTTCACTTCTAATGGCCAGTGTTTGTGTTAAGAATCACTTTTGTCACTAGTCATATAATTTTGATGGGGATGCTAGAAACACTTATTTAATAAGTGAGTGTGCCTTTACCAACTTTTAATAAATAGGGTAAAAGGCTCTATGTAAAGTTACTCCCTTTAAATAATTTTTAAAATTTCTTTTCTCCATATCTAGGGGTGGACATATAAATTGAGACCTGTTAAAAATTTAGACAATTTCATGTACTTTGTGTCTGTGGGGCCCCTTTTTCCCACATACTGGGGAAAAAGAGAAAAAAGAGAAATTTGAATTATGAACATTATGGATGAATTTGAAGTAATCTTTCAAAATGACATAGGTAACACGTATTCTAGATGCTTGTGTATGTGCATATACACAACACATCTGGAAGGAGACACGGAATCTCTTAACAATGGTTCTGCCTGCTCAGACTCACCAGGGCAAAACTGGGAGGAAAGGGGCCCTCCACTCAGTGCATTAACTATCTCTGCTGTTTGAACTTTAGCCTGTGCATAGATTGCTTCTTCAAATCAAAACGACCGTAATTGTAAGTAGAAAAATAATTATATGCAGAAGTTTCAACCAAGTAAACAGACATTAATTGCATTTCTCCTGACTTAGGGGTCCAACATCACTGACACCTGCACTGAAATGCTGATGTGTGGAGTCTTACTGAAAATTTCTTCTGGAAATATTCAAGAACGAGTGTTTTTCCTTTTTGATAACCTTTTGGTGTACTGCAAAAGAAAACACAGGTAAGATCCTAAGCAAGTCACACTTCTGAAGTTGTTTATCCAGTTCACAGTTTCTACCTTCCCTCTGTGCTTCCCAGAACCCATCATCCATCAGTGCATTTTTTCACATATGTTCAGTCTGCTCTCTGATTGTTTGCTTCACCTTCTTTTAAAATCTAACTGAAATGTCACTGTCATCTGATGATGCTGGGTCCTCAGAGCCCTCTTGTGGAGAGGTACAGTTTGTTCCTAACCCACGTATCTCAGGCCCTGGAGAAGAGGCTGGTGTGTCTTCCTTGATTCCTAATCCTGTTTCCCAATCATTTCCCACTCTTCCTTCAAGATCCTGGCACATGTGAAGTTCATGCCATGGGTCTTCCCCCCACACTGCCTTTCCCTCCTCTCTCCTTCATATAACACATAATATCTCACTATCACATGTAAATTTAGCTATTTCGCTAGCTCTTGCACCATTTTTTTTCTACCCTACTCCTGTTGCCATTTTGGGGTGTTTAAAACTCACATGGATGATTTATCCAGAATTTTTTTTACCTGAAAGCCCACTGTCTCTTCACCTGCAATGAGCCTTTCTGCCATTACACCTGAGTCACCTGTTCTAGCACCATACTTTTACCTTGTCAATACCAAGAGCCATAAAAATGAAATCTCCATTTTAAGCATCCCACTCTGAATATCAGCCCCCATCCTCCTAGCTTTCTTCCTCTGGTATTCTCACTTCAGCTATTCTGACTCCAATATTGTCAAAGATCCCCAATCTCAAAATTTAAAAGTCCTTTATCTTGTGTCACACTGTCGCCCTTCATAGCAGACTTTCTTGGCAGGAGTTTTATGTTGTCACTTTTTCTACTTTCTCACTTGTTATTCTGGCATGAACAACATTCAGCAAGGTCTTCGTTCACGCTCCTCCACTGAGCTACTCCCATCAGAATGGCCATAGACTGCTGGGCTTCTTACTCACGTGGTTACTTCTCTGCTCTTTAAGGTTTTGCTTGTTTTTGTAGCAGCATGTAACTTAGCTGAGCAATCCTACCTTCCCCAAACACTCTTCTCTTTAATATTATTACACCCCATTCTCTTGGCTGGATATTGCAGTGCTATAATAGGGCCCTGAATTTGACTCCTTTTCCCTCTTCATATTCATAGACTCTTCCCAGCTAATTTTATCCAATACCATCACTCATGTCCCACATCTGTGTCAGTTGCTCTCAAATCTCCATCCTTAGCCCAACATTCTAGACTCCTACATCCTGCCTGCTGTGATGCGCATGAGTAGCCTCAACCATAACATGGAAGAAATGGGATTCCCCTTTCTAAAGTCACTCCTCTCCCAGCTTTCCCTTTCTGTTGGTTTTCTCAATTCCAAAAATTATGAGTTAGCCTTGGTTCCTATTTTTCCCTCAACATCCCACATCCAATTAATTAGAAAATCTTCCTGAATCTGCATTGAAAACATACATGCATCTCTCCACATCTCTCCATCTTCATCACTACTCTGCTCCAGGCCACCAGGATCCCCTTTGGTGACAACGGTTTTCTCCTAACTGATGCACTATATCTTCTCTTACACCTCCACAATTTATGCTCTCCACAGAAACCAGAGCACCTTTTATAAAACAAATCAGATCATGTTGTCACCTTGCTCAAAGTCTTCATTGGCTTCCTAGAATAAAGTTTTTGTTTGTTTGTTTGTGGTTTTTTTTTTTTTTTTTTGGAGACAGGATCTCGCTCTGTTGCACAGGCAGGATAGAGTGCAATGGCATGATCATAGCTTACTACAACCTTGAAATTCTGGGCTCAAGCAATTTTCCTGCCTCAGGCTCCCAATTAGTTGGGACTAAAGGCTCTTGCCACCATACCCAGATAATTTTGTTTTTCAATAGAGGCAAGGTCTCACTGTGTTGCCCAGGCTGATCTCAAACTCCTGGCCACAAGCAGTCCTCCCATCTCAGCCTCCCAAAGTGCTGGGACTACAGGCGTGAGCCACTGCACTTGGAGCCACCTAGAATAAAATTCATACTCCTTACCCTAGTTTACAAAATTCTGCCTCGTCCAGCTCCTGCCTGCTTCTGACATCATCACATCCCACTTCGCCAAGCACAACACCTCCCCTCTTTGTTAGCCTTCTCTTTCTCCTGTTCCTTTTTGTGCCGCATATGCTCCCTTTTTAGGGCCTTTGCACTGGCTGCTTCCCTTCTCAGTGTGCCCTGTCCTTTGAGTTTTCCATGGCCAGATTCTTCATGGCTTTCAGATCTCACTTAAAAATCATTCCCTCAGAAATGTCTTCCCTGACCATCCCAGGGTCAGGGAAGACACTGATGCAGCCTCCCAGTCACTGTCAATTATCTGGAAAGTGCTTGTCACTTGCTATTTCTTTCATTATTCATTTGTTTGTTTCCTGCCACCTTTACTAGATTATAGACTGCAAGGTCCATGAGAACAGGGGCCTTATTGCTCTTTCAATGCTATTTCCCTGGAAATTAGAACAGGCCTGTGGTCAACAGCTGAGAAATACAGAATCAATGAATGAGTGAATGAAACGCAAACTAGTCTGCTATAGAGCTTAGCCATCATTAGTGTAAATAATTTTTGTATTGTTATTGATATAATGCTATTTGTTTTAAAGCATGAATATACTTTTTTCTTGAGAATGTTCATATTTTATGGGATGTTTTCTTGAATGCTTGGGAAATTTTTTTACTTGTTGATTAAGCAAAATAGTAGAGTGACATTTAATTGAGAAGTTTCCTGAGCCTTTACATGCTTCACCCTAACTATATATAGGACACATTTGTTTTAGCGAAATGGTACCAATAGGCTTCATTCAATTTAAAGGTAAAGCAGTAGTTGAAAGCACAGGATTTTAAGTGACTGTTTATTCCAGGTTTAGAATTTGGACAACTATAGTCAAATATTTTCTGTTAGAGTGAGAATTAGAGATGCAAAACCGACTAATTTATAAGATAGACTTAAGGGAGAATTTCTTCATCTTGTATATTGAGTTTTCCTAAATCAGTTATCAAGATGCCCAGAGCAAGTTAGCAAACATTTGGCAACTATCCTGATGATAGATGGTAATTCTGCTACATGGATTGTAGTGTTAGAATTCTCCAGTAAGAGATGTTAATTCAAAAATGCGATTATATAAGCTGAGAAAATATAGGAATGCAACATGTATCTTCATGAGAGGGAACAGATTAGGATTAAAGCCAAAAAATAATTAAATTGTTGACATCTCTATCCTAATGAGTTTTTTAAAATTTCTTTTTACCACATGTGAAAATGAATCTTTTATTATGCTCTTCTAAGTTCTCTGTGTTTGACAGCGAGATTGAGATTAATAGAAATAATGTTTTGGAAGATGTAGGAGAGGCTGTTATTTTACTTGTGTGTTATTCCTTAAGAAACTGTAATGTGAATCAAGGTGTTTTAGTGCCGTTATTAAAGGCCTCCATTTGAGAATGAAATCTTTTTTCATTAAAATTAATCTCATCTTTATCTATGCCTGCCGTAAAGACCAATCTTCTGCAAAATTAACATTAGTGGACAAATCATGATATTATATGATCGTATGACTGGAATTGCTAACTACATTAAACACAGGAAATGTTTAACAAAATTAAAATCCAGCTATTTAGCAAATGCCTCTAATGAATGTACTATGTAGACCAAGTACTACATAATGTTTAGAGATGGAAATAATAGTTCAACATGTCTATTCTCTTCCAGGACTGGAGAAGTTGTTTAAATAAACCATCTGTTCCCTTCACGTAGAATACTTCATTCCCTTATGAACTTCACCTCATCATATACTTTCTAAGATGTAGAGATCTTTCAGAAAATATGAGTAAATGAAACCTTTTCCAAACTTCCATAATACTGTAATTATATGAACTAGGGGCCTGATGAATTTAATTGTCGAATTACATTCTTTAAATAATGAAGTGCTAGCTTAGGCATCCTAGCTCTGGTTATTTTTAATATTATTAATCTCAGGAGAAACTAGTTTTTTTAAAAATGTGTGATGTAGCATTTGATACACATAACATGGTATTGCTTAGTTTTGCTTGTTTATGAGTTTTAAAAAAGCAGTATCATAGTGTTTTTAGTTTTTTGCAATTTATAATTTGTATTCAATATAATTTCTAAAAATATATATCCATTTTGCATGTAGCAAAATTGATTCATTTTACCTGCTGCACAATATTTCCTTAGTTGAATGTGTCACAATTTAATTCCTCATCCTCCTATCGGCTCTAGGGCTCTTGCCACTTCTTCTGCTGTTGTATACATTCTTGTATATGTGTCCTGGTTACCATGACAACACATAATTAGGAATGAAATAATAGAATCAAGACTTTTAAATATGCAATATTATAACATGCAGCATAATTATTTTCAAACCATAGGCTTTTTGGCCTTTAAACTTCAATAGAGCAATTTTCTGAAGAGATCAAAATCTAACTGAGCTAAGTGGTAGAGAATTGATCAAACACTTACTGGAATTTCATATTGAGTATTAATATTTGCAACCCAAGAGAAATATACAAAGCACATATAGAGTTCACAGTAACATCATAAAAAATTAATGTGTTGAAAATAGGACTAAGTGATGGATTCTTTTTTTTTTTTCTTCTTCTTTTTTTATTGCATTTTAGGTTTTGGGGTACAGGTGAAGAAGATGCAAGATTGTTGCATAGGTACACACATGGCAGTGTGATTTGATTTCTGCCTTCCTCCCCTTCACCTATATCTGGCATTTCTCCCCATGCTATCTTTCCCCACCTCCCCACTCCCCTGTCCCTCCCCCAATTCCCAACAGACCCCTGTGTGTGGTGCTCCCCATATAATCCATGATTATTTTGCCTGTGACTAAAACTGTTAAGGATATTAAGCCTTTTCAGCATGATTGGTTTTAAGTTAGATGTACCAGCTCACAAGAAATTCTATTTTTCAAGACACCGTGATATTATTTCCCAGCTGGAAATAATACCTGCATATTAGTTACCTGCATATTAGTCTGTTCTGCATTCCTCTCTATATTCAACCTCCTGTGAGGCCAATTTTCGTAGCTACCTGGGCTGAATTTCTAATTTATAGCATTGATTTATGTCTATTAATGAAGAACATTTAGAGGTTGCTTTCAAAATGAACAGGAGGGGTGCAAGGTGATGAAGATCTGGGGCTGACAAACTGTCCAGTCAGACTAATAAATTGATTTGCATAGTCTTCTTTAGTAGAGATGAAGGACTACTAAGTTTTGATGAGGCTTGAGGACAGCTAAGTCAAGAATATGAAATTTTTTCCAAGGAAGGAGCTCAGAGAGTGTGATAGCACCTGGAGACTTGTCCCTATGCCCACCCTATCCACACCAGGGCAGGTATGAAATGTTTTGGGTATTTTAAAAATGAATAAGGCCTTTACGAAGGATTACAAATGTATTAAGTTACCTGTATGGTGATTATATTATAAACATAAGCTATGAGAAATATTTTTATAGCTGGATATCACTGAGTTTAAGAACCTTCAGCACAGCCAATTCTTCAGAGGGATCAAAAATACTAGCTGGGAATTACCAGCTAGTTACTGAAAACTGAGTCATTAAGGTGAAAAAAACTCAAATGAAATTTTAAAATGACCAGTTGTTAGTGTCTGCCAGAGTCTGATTGGGCACCACTAATGTCTTATGTTGAGCAAAAGCACATTCAAATTTCAAGTTAAGGATAGTATACAGGTGGGAGAGTCCTCACTGCTTACTATCCTGATACTATCCTTACAGTATACAGGTGGGAGAGTCCTCACTGCATACTATTCTTATGCTATCCTTACAGTATACAGGTGGGAGAGTCCTCACTTCATACTATCCTTACAGTATACAGATGGGAGAGTGAGTACTTAGCTTGAAACTTGAATTTATTAAAATAATTAGTCTTTAAGTTGCATCTCATAAAGCAACCAGTGCTGTTATGAATGGGAGGACAAATGTAAAAATCTTCAGGAATCTGGCATTTGATATTGTTGATTGAATTTGGTGTCTTTTTTCAAAGAATTGCTTAAAATATATTGTTTTGACATTGTTTTACATTGTTTAGTAACAAAGTATTGTGATTTTATTCCATCTTAAGACGGCTGAAGAACAGCAAGGCATCTACAGATGGACATCGGTACCTTTTTCGTGGGCGGATCAACACGGAGGTGATGGAAGTGGAGAATGTGGATGATGGCACTGGTAAGTGATTTGTAGATTTTAAATGGTATGCTAATAGTAAATTCTCTTGTAAGACAGATTTCTCACTTGGATAATTCACCTTCCATGAATTAGACCTTAGAAATACTTGGTTAGCTAAAGTCGTTTGGTAGAGAAAAGAGAAAGTTGAGATAAGGGAATGGAGGATTACTGTGAACGTGGAAAGTTGTATATAGCCAAAACACACTCACATGAAACATGGATACAGGGAAATGGCCAAGCAGTGTCCTGCGGCATTCACAGATTGGAACAGAGAGTACTGTGCAGAAAATATTTAATGAATGAATTTTCTTTAGTTATACTGTCTTATAAGCATAAGAATGATGTTTTCTTCCTATAATATATTGGCTGTAGAATATAGCAAACTCTACATTTGTCTTAGCTATGTAGTTGTTATTGATAGAGCTAGGTTGTCAATTTGCTTGTAAAGTTGAAGATGGAGGTGGTTTGTGTAATTGTAAGTGCCTGTTTTAAATATCTTATTACTCAAAAATGGTAACTTTTTGTTCTATATATTTGAAAGTATGGGCTTTTATAAGCAAATTTATGAAATCATGATCAGTCACAAACATTAAGTAAAATGAATTTAAAATAAATTGTACTTTCTGTTTGAAAAAAAATGTTGTCTCCAAAATAAATGCTTAGTAAAGTGAATTCCATTTTTTCCCCAATGATTTTAGGTAGAGCTTAAAAAATATGCTTCTAGGAGAAAAGACAAGATGAAATGCAATATATTAAGTGTTGCTAATGGCTTTTACTTTCATATAAAGAAATACTTATATAACATTCATTATATAGATGGGATTGGGACACAGATCAGCTCCCTCTACCTCTTACATACCTTCATTGTCACTCTGGGGTCTCAGAAGGGAAAGGAATATTTATAATCTGTCAGAAGCACAGGATTTCAAATGCTCACCTCTAGGGAACTTCTCAATACCATTGCTAGCATCCGAATAAATTGTCAAGTACTTAAAATAATTAACTGCCTTTGCTGCAGGTAAGGGAAAAAGAAATGCAATGAGCAAAACTCATGTGGTACCTGAGATTGAGCACTCAGCTTAGGAGTCATGCAATTGTGTTCATCCGGTAGAGAGGTTCATCCCTGGCTAACTGTGGAGCTGCCAGACAGCTGACACAAATAGATATCCAGTTTCAAATCCCTTTCCATGCTAGAGACTGTAATGCAGTTGCAGACACTCCCATGCTAACATGTGGGGCCCAGTTGGCTACCTTTCCATAGCAGGAGGTACACATTATTTTTTATAACGTAGCGGTAATTTATTCTGTGCTTTCTAAGAAGATTATATAATGACATTTAGAAATGTTAACTGTCTAAAATGCTAAGAGCTATCTTGCCTCTGTAACCTGAATGTTCAAAAGAATACCCAAATGCCCACTTTGAACCTGAGTTGGGAGGAAGTCAGACAGTAAAAGAATAGTAAAAACTTCTACTCTGTTCTTTATTGGCCCTGACTACCCATAATGGGACCACCTCCCCACTGATGGTTAGGCACTTCCTTTATTTTCTTCCACTTTTAGGCTTTCTCATGGGAATAGGGCCCCTGACCTTATTTCCTGAGAGACTGAACATCCACCTCTTATGTCCCACTTTCTCCCTTTGCCTCCTGTGATGTGAGTGCCCCCATTAGTGCCATCTGCATTGGTGGTCTGACTGAGTTGTGCTAGTGCTCACTCTGATTACTGTGCTTTTGGTCGGCTGGAAAACTAGATAAAGAGATGTAAGAGCCCAGGACCTTTGGAGGCATGGACATAAACTGCTGTCTTCCAGTGCATCTGTGTCAGATGGTAAGGGAGTGAGATCTTCTAAAGGGTGACTTGAATTGCACAAATGGTCCTTGGATTCAATTCCACCAAAAGGTTCTGTTGATGCTAGTAATATTCCAGCCTACAGATCCTCAGTTCCTTTGGGCAAAAGCATCGTGGAAGACTGGGCCTAAGACCTTGTTGGATATGAATTAGAAGCAAGACAAGACATTGCAAGATATTTAGTTGTCATAAATTAGCTGTCTGATGGAACCTGGACACAAATTCACAGAATTGACTTTCTTTAAAGTAAGATCAAGATATTTATTAGACTTTGTATTATTCAATTTGGGGCTTTCCCCCTCTTTACTTTTTCTTGAATATGTATAAGCAGCACGTAGCAAGAATTTGGCTGTACATGGTTGCTACAAAATCACTTAAAGTATTTTCGAGCTGCAACTGGATACCATCTCCTAGTTTCCTGCAAGGGAAATTTAGATTTCTCATGGGTATATCCACTAGGTTTCTCGGGGGAGTGTGCATCACCTCTCAGACTTGGAAATTCAAAAATAGAAATTTTAAAGATGGATAGGATCTTGATGATTAATTAATGTACCCCATTAGCATTTCAGATGATAGGAATGAGGCCAGGTTTAAGAACTAACTTGCCCATGTTTACCAAGCTGAGTAAGGCATAGCTGGGGCTAGAATTAAGTTTGCTGGGTTTCCGTACACATGCTTTGTGACACAGAGAGGGACCAAGTGAAGAGCAGTGAAGGAACAAGGTATCAGTGTATGGAGGCTGAGTTTGGTTGTACCCAGAAATGATCTGGGTGCTGCATGACCTTTCTCTCTTTGTTGTTTCCTTGGTCCTTTCCAGCATAGAATCTTCATTTCTTTTTGATGAGCTCAGGTTTTAAGTCTGCTTTATTTTTTACTTTGTGCATGAAGCTCTGATGCAGACAGATTTCAGCAGAGGTGATTAATGTCCCTACGCCAAGTACTCCCCATACTTGGTCCCTGGATAAGCTAAATGTGGGTTAGACAGACAATATCAGGCTCATCTGCCATTGCCAAAAGCAAAAACAAACACCTATACCATATTTAGTTCTAAATAATGAAATGGGTGAACTGATATATATAGTTTTAAGCATACTTAGAACTTTTTTTTTTAATTGACACAGGGGTGGTGGTGGGGAGTCTCATTATTTTGCCCAGGCTAGACTTGAACTGATGATTCTCTCAACTCACCCTCAGTAGCTGGGACTACAGGCATGTACCACTGTGCCTGGCACTTAGAACTTGTGATGGAAAATGGAATGGAAAAGTTTTTCTTCCATTTGATTTATACAGATACTGAGTATTTTTGTATACTCTAGGTATAATAAAATACTTTTTAAAGAAAGACGCTCTACTAGATGACTAATTGCATTGATATAGCTCAAAACTTGGAGAAAAAATAATTGAACTTGCAATGAGATGGAAGTGAACATCTCAAATGTTTTGAAAAATAATATTATCGTAACTTTATTCATAATACATAATGACTTGGTTTATATCATAGTTATATCTTAGTATAAAAAGAAATTTAATTAAATGATGGTATAATATGCAGAAGTGCAAAAATTGTATATGTATTTATTTAAGTCTGCCCATGTTATTTATTAATTCCTGTATTCAAGGAAGATGTTGAGCTTTGCATTTGTGGCCATATTTCCATTCCACCATTCTTCAGATTTCAACTCTCAGTGAATCTAACTAATTCTTTGAAGATTCTGGGACTACTAGTTTGATCATGATGCTATAATGAAAATCCAGCTTAAAGGCGATAGTAGGAAAGCAATTGAACTTCTTAGAATTAATTTTCATGGTAATTTTTATAGTGTATGCCTGGAAAGCCATTCAGAAGTTATTAGTATTCATCAGATCATTAGTATTCTCTCTTATGCACCAGTTTATTTCTGTGGTTGGAGAGAGGGCAAGAATGTTGACCTTTAGAAAGTGTGGTCTGTAGTTTAGTGTTGGACATACCATAGATTTCAGTACATTTGTCAAATTTGAATTGGATAAGATGAAAATTTTTACTCTTAAGGTGTTATTTAAAAGTAAGTTAATTTAAAATTTTTAGTTCTCCCTTTTGATATAAATATTTGAAACTATTTTCATATATTGAATACATTATTTTAATAAATTAAATTGTGCTGATTGAAGAAACTTTGGAAATTGCAAAAAAAATAAAGGTGAAAAACAGTAGATAATGTCATACAAACACAAATACATAAGACTATATAAACAATATTTCCTGCAATTTTCCTTTTAATGCATAGATTTTAAAAATGCTTGAAAATGTGAAACTTGGTAATTTTGTATCCTTTTTCACTTAAATCAAGTACCTGCATTATCTCAGTGATAGTTATCTTTATCTTCATGCCTTATCACCAAAAAATAGCATTTATTGTTTCATACCAGTCGATTGAATAGATAAACCAGTTACTTTAACAACTGTAGTATTGATGCATAAGCTAGCTTGACTATGTTCTTAATTAAAAAGAAACAATGGCTTAATAATGTTGAAAAGAATGTAAGAATATAATAGTTTTTTTCTGATAAAATTACATTTTCAATATTATTAATTTAAGAGAAAATATTTGGGAATTCAGAAAGGTTAAGAGATGAACTGCTTTTTAGATTTTTAAAAGGAAAAGTCAATTAGATTCTCCCTCCCCCTTTTTTTGCCAAAAATAATATATGCTATTTGGGATGCTAGAAATTTTTCTTCTATTATGTGATAAAAGTCAAAGATTTATTCAAAAAATTTTTCTCAATGTTAAATATTTATGAGCAAATTATAAGTTGTAAAGTTTCCCTTAGAAATTTATGCATTCACAATGTTGATCTCCAGGATAAGAATTGAATACATTATTTAGACATCAGTTTCTTGATGTTTTCAATAAGATAGTCTGGCAATTTCTTCTGTTTCTTAGCCTTTTTATAATACTTGGATATTGTCCATCTTATTGAAATGCAAATTTAGTCAAAGGATACTGGCATGTCCACTGATATTTATAGTCTATCAGTTTTGGAAAAATCCCACCGCATTAAATGAAACTGTACTGAAATAAGAGCATGGAATTTGCAAACTGTATAGCTTCAAGTAATTAGTGACTTGTTCAGGTTTGCCCCTTGGATTTTTCTATTTTTGGAAGAAATCAGTGACTAAAGGCTGTTGAATTTAGATATTCCACATTTAAAGAATGGCGATTTAAAATCTATTCGTCCTATAGAATTTAACATTTTAGATTCATTGAAGCTTGGAAAATTCCTGTGTTTGCCATTTAATAAATTATTTATTCTTTCATTTAAATGTTTTAAACACAATTATGACTAAGTACAAAGCAATGTTAGACTTTTTAATGATCTTAGTGAGGGTGTTCTTTATGGATAAGTTTAATTTTTATTTTGAAGTATGAAGATATTGAACAATGTGCTAGGATTAAAACTGTGAAGCTATTTAAGTGTCACTGTATCTTTTGAAAAAATGAGAAGCAATTGCTTATTTTGCATAACATTTGATAATTTTGTTGCTCTTATGAAGTATGTATACTACATTTTCAGGCCTGTTGTATGCATATTCAATTGTGTATGTGAATTTATTTATGTATATATGTTTAAAATTACTTATGATTTTTAAAATTGGTGTGATAGAAATTAGCTAGCAGATGAACTTTAAAAGAGCATTATTTCTTCATCTAAAATTATTTGACACAAGCTGTTCTTTTAAAGTATTAGTGCCGCAATTAAGCTGTTATTTGAGACAGTGGATGAATTAGAACATTCTTGCACTGCTATAACTATCTGAGACTGGATAATTTATAAAGAAAAGAGGTTTAACTGGGTGACGATTCTGTGGGCTGTGCAGTACACATGGCTGGGAAGGCCTCAGGATACTTAATCATGGTGGAAGGTAAAGGGGAGGGGGCATATCTTCTTGGCCAGAGCATGAGAGAGGGGTGGGGGAGGTGCTATACACTTTTGAACAACCAAATAACTCAATGGCATGAGAACAGCACCAAAGGGGAAATTCTTCCCCATTATTCGGTCTCCGTTCACCAGGCTCCACCTCCAACTTTGGGATTTACAATTTGATATGAGATTTGTGCAGGGACACAGACCCAAACCATATCAGTATATTTTACAGTCAGCTAATACTCTTGGTTTCTGTACAGTGAAACAATAGCCACATGTGATCAATCACGTGCTCACTTATATTATTCTGAGTTGAGTTGTGTGTTTTCCAAAAGAAATTTGGATGCACAGCCTCAGTTGGTCAGGCCAGGCTTCCTGGAGGAGATGGGTCCACTTTCAAGAGGAGTAAGAGTCTGTGAGGCATAGGGGAGGGAGGTAGCTTGATGAGAAACTCAGCCTGGGGAATACATAAGTATTCACAAGATAACCAGGAAGGCAGCAGAGAAGCATGGTGGGAACACATTAGAACATAGTGAAAAATGGAACAAGTTAGACAGAGTTGAGTTAGTTTGGGAAGAACCTTTAAGGCAAAGTCTACATGTAGTTTTGGCTTGATTCAGTGGTGAGATACCCAGTGGGTGGCTTTTGAGATAAGAAATGTCCTGATGAAAAATATTTGAGGGATGGCCAGCAAGATGTGAAGAGGCCAGTGACCAGACTCAAACCAGGAAGGAAGACCCCCTGTTACCAGACATGGTGGGCCCCAGGGTACACCCGTTTGGTGGCAGGAGCATGACCCTGATGATTTTGGCACATGAATTTGTGTTTCCCTGTGCTCTGTGGAAGGGCTACACTGTGTTCATTTTAGATGTCCAATGTTTATGACTGTAGACTACATTTGGCTACTGTGATTTACTTTATCTAGAGTAATGGTTAAAGGTGTAATAACATGAGTGGCCATGTGGGATCTTTTAAACTGTAGGTGTAAGGTTCACTTAACTAATCATGGCCTGATTTGAACAGAGAGAAGACAGCCTGAAAAAAAGCTTGGGCTTGTTTGTGATTCTGGTCTTGTTAGGTCACAAGTGGTTAGGGTTGGGGGAGTGTGCTAAATGTGTGGAATTTGAGAATTTCTGAATTTTTTTTCACCAGTTTATCATAATTTGTCAGTGGATTATTTTATAGATATTAAGGAGGGATTATACTGTTATTATGAATTAATAAATCTTATTTTCCCACTAATGCCCATGAATACTTATCTGACATGAATTATGGAGTTTTCTTACTTTGTGTAGGATGGGAACGTGAATTAAACACATAAAGGTAAGAAAAGTACAAAAAATATTTTTTAAAAGTACTTGTAATTTTTTGGGAGGGAAGTCTCTGCCAGCTTGAATTTCTATATTATCAGAAGTCATTATTGATTATTCATGGATTATGACACCTGTATAAAATACAGACTAATGTTTAATGTCGTTCTATTCTGACTCAAAAGTACTTTGGAAGTTTTAAAGACTCCACAACTGAACAGCATCATTTGATAATGCATCTATGGTATTATTACTCTGACCTCATATAATGTGTAGTGATTTTGGAGCTAATGAAAAAGACTATGAGAACCAGATTTGGGGAGAATGAGCACCAAGCACATCTGTTTCTCCTAAAATACTTTCTAAAAATAATAGATTATCCGAGAAAAAAAGAACAAAACAAGCAAAGTGCCACAAAGTCATTTTCTAAACCACCTTTAATGTTCTTGTGGCGTACCTCCTCAACACTGCGGAATGACTTTCAGGAGACACACAGGAAAAGGGTCACTTTAATTGGCACAGGTGCCAACTCAGGCCCTGTCACAGGTTTTTCCCATCTTGGAATCTATGCTTTTCAGGGACTGTCATGCCAGTAAAGGTCACTTGCAAGTTATCTCACTATTCTCTACCTACTGTTAGGCAGAGAGCTACTGTATACCATTTGCTATTGACATTTTCAAACGCAGCATGACCCTTTACCCAAAATTATGGTGAGGTATCAAAAAAGGCAATTAAATGTCAATTTATCTTCTAAATTTTTATAAGTTTCCATTTATGTGACTTAAACAGAGTGAAGTGGATTAATGAGTGTATGTCTCAACCATGTACAACGGTAATGGTTTGGCATTTGTATGTTTCCATTTATTGTAGTTTTAGGTAATTGCACTCAGTGTGTTTCATTGATGAATTTTTAGCATGCAGTTCATTAAATAATAGAGAATTGTTCCTTGGGATAAAGACTGTCTCAGAAACTTAGAATACTCTTTCAAAGAAATATTAGAAAGATAAAATAAGTAAGACATCTTGAATGAGAAGAAAATTTCTTGTATGTTATTCTTTTATGCTTTGGAAACTTTGACAGTATTTTTGATCATAGACCAAAAAGTGTTAATTAGTTTGTAGTGTCTAGTTTCATGTAATATATTAACACTGTGAGCTAGAAATGTTCTGTTATTGAGCACTAACTGCATCCAATATAAAAGCATTGTTAAATTTTTTAAATGTTTACTTTTTTGATATACATATATAAAGCAAAGATATTTTGAACAATTGAGTGGTTTTGGAACTCTTGTATATTGAATGATTGTGTTGATATAATAATGTGTGTTACTATTTGTTCATTTGCCTTTACCCATTAATTTCCAGCTGATTTCCATAGCAGCGGACACATTGTTGTTAATGGATGGAAGATACATAACACAGCAAAAAATAAATGGTTTGTTTGTATGGCAAAAACACCTGAAGAGAAGCATGAATGGTTTGAAGCTATTTTGAAAGAAAGAGAACGGCGGAAAGGTGGGCGTATGAATTGGGCACTGTTATACTTTGTGAAGATCGTAACTTAGCGTGGGAGCAGAAAACAGAAAAGCATGAAAAAGTGAAAAGGTTTATGAAGGTCACGTGATTTATTAGGTTGGTGCAAAAGTAATTGTAGTTTTGACATTGAAAGCAATTACTTCTGGACCAACTTAATATAATATCATATGATGTGAGCCTTATACTAAAAGACTTATTTGATACTTACAACATTGTTATGTAATACTTACAGAGTTAGCAAAGTAATTATGTTATGAATGGTAGTGTCTTTTAAATAGTTTTTTAAAATAGAAAACTATGTTTTAAATAGTCTTTTTAATAGAAAATGATCAATTTTCTTTGCACTTTATTCTTGCTATTTCTAAGCCAGCATTACCAAATTTTTCTTTAAGCGACAAGCTTCAATAACATAATGCAGTGTTGAAGGCCTCCAATTGTTCTCTGTATACTTAACAGAACATTCAAATTTTTAGACCCAGTATGTTAGCTTCCTAATTATAGATTAAAGCACTTTGGATTTATACAAACTTTTAAAAATTGGTAGGTCTTTGAACATACTATAATGTGACCCAATTAGTTGCTTGTTCATATGAGGAGGTCTAGCTCAAAAATTTGTTTTTTGCTTTTAGAAAAATTTGCAAAAAGAATTTGGCCTGACTATATTCAGTTGTTTGAAGTTTATCTGCAAAACGGCATATTTCTATAACTCAGCTCAGAAATAGAAATGCTTGCATTTCTACTAATTAACAATTGATTTCTTAATTAAGAAGCATGTCATTGTTGATTACTTCTGGAGACCCAGGAATAAAACACCTCATTGGTAATGAAATTTCGGGACACGAAGAACTCTTTCTATCATCTTCAGATGTTTTCCCCCGAAGAATATGCAAAATTGCTACATTGATTAAAGTATTCATGGTACATACTTGTAGAATTTCCAAAGCATTTTCAAATACTCCTTTGACTGATTTTGGATAAAGAACCAGATAGAAAATTTTAAAACAAAGTTTATGAATATATAACTGACTCTAAGTTTTGTTTAATGTAGCAGTCAATTCAAATAGCAAACAAATAGTTAAAAGGTGAATCAAGCTTTTCAAGTTGAATTTTTTTTTAAGAATGGCTATGATCCACCCAAGACAAAAAACAAAACAAAATAAAAACCCCCAAACAAAAGAAAAAGCACATGCTCTAAAACTGCATATGATCTTTATCTTTATATTTATCTTTATTAGACTCTATTCTTAAGGGATTATTTATGAATAAAGACAAATATTAATGGCTTCAGCATTGTCAAAAATAAAGTCCTGGTAGGAAATTTTGCAGCTAGATGACTAAAAAGAATACAAGTATTTCTCTTTCTTCTGCAACAGCTCCTCATCGGCCCTGATTAAGTGCCAGTGTTCTAGGATGTTAACCTGGGCACTGTTTTTCTCTAAGTAGATTCCTTGCCTGAGTTATCTATTCCCATCAGATTAACTTCCACTTGTACACTGCCGATTTGCCAACCCTTATGTCCAGCCTTGCCCTCTCCCTTGAGATGCTCATGTTTTCAACTGAATTCTGGACTCCCACCTGAATGTCCACACTAGGCATACTCGGTGCCCACCGGACTCCTGGTTACTTGGATGCCTTCACCTGATACACCTCCCTGCTTCCATTCAGTTACTCTCATCAGAAGCCCGGAAGGCATCTGGCTTCTTCTCTTTCCTTCCCGCCCACATTTAACCAACATCTTATCAGTAGCGCCTCTGACCTATTTCTCAACTTCATCTTCTTTGCCCTATGACCCTACCCTTATTTGCAGTGAGTTGAACTTGCTTGAGTTTTTGAGGTTTCTCCTAACAGTGTCCCTCTTTTTAAATCTTTCCCTCTTCAGTTTGTTCTCCACACTATCCTCCGAGCTTTGTTTCCAAAGCAATACAACTTTTTTTCCTGTACTACCCGACCGTTCTCCTCCCACTGGTTAAAACACTTAGATGGATGCCCAATACTTAAGGAATGAAATAGATTGGAACTTCAGGTTGAACAAGGATCTTGCCTATCCTACCAGCACATCTCCTATCTTTTCTCTTAAAACCCATGGCTCTGGGCTTCCATGTTGCTTCAAATGAGTTAGCTCTGCTTTCTCTAGAAATCCCCATTCATAACTGTGAATTCAAGTCAAGGTCCTTCTGTGAAACCTTTCTTAACATTTCTAAGGGGGAGGTGCGGTGGCCTGAGTGTGCCTCTTTAATATCACATTTCCTCCCATCCCTCAGAACTGTCTCTAGGGCTACCGTGTTCAGTTATGCTGATCTAACCCTGAACAAGGATGCCTGGTCCAGGGCTCAATGGAGGCTGGGACTCAGCTGCTCTTCTTACTGTCCTTGCTAAACTTTTATGCCTCTGGGGCACAATTTGCACAAAGGTGACATATACCCTGGGATTTTGCCTTCCAGGTCTCCCTGCCCCCCACCCTCCCCCAGCTTCTGGTACACCAGGACACTATTATACAAAGCTCTGTATCCACAACCCTCAGCACATGGTAGAGCTGCAACAAATGCTTGCTTAATGAAGGCATGAGTGAATGAATGAAGAGAGTTTTCAGTTACCTCTCATTTCTCTCATTTTTGATAGGTTTAAAATTAGGAATGGAGCAGGACACCTGGGTCATGATCTCTGAACAGGGCGAGAAACTTTATAAAATGATGTGCAGACAAGGAAATCTGATCAAAGACAGAAAAAGAAAACTGACTACGTTCCCTAAATGCTTTCTTGGAAGGTAGGGTTGGGAGTTTGGGTGCATGACTTTCTTTTATATTCTCACCATCTCACCTGTTAACTTTAATTAGTTTTCTTTTAAATGTATTCCCTTGGGCATTTTTGAAAACTCTACAGTTGCCACTTCCTGGGCTGTGGCAGGATGAAGGAATGGATAGAGAGCCAGGATCATAACTAGGAAACTCAAGGGATCCATCCATTCATTCATGACTTCCACAATTTCTGATATGTCATGATCCCAGAAGAAAGGGAGGTTCGGGCCAGGCAGGGAGGGACAGGCAAGTAGGTTTGCCTACAGGGGGACAGGATGACTGGTTGAGTATGGACATGCATATAGGGCCTGAAAGTTGGAATCAGAAAGACAAGGAGGATAAGAGACAGTCTGAACTCTCAGTTAATTCAGAATTTAGGCAGCTGGGCTCAGGGTAAAGGATGTAGGTGAAGAGTCTAGAAATGTGGGTCATGTGAAGAGACAGGCACCAAGCAGCAGGCAGAGGGTTCGCTTTGGTTTTTAGAGTAAGCAGATTGACTAAGTGTTGTTTGGTTTGTTTAGACAGCATTCAGTGAAATTCCCTGGCTGGTTTAATTAGCTCAGGGCCAAAAAGAAGGTTAGCTGCCTTCAGGTAGCTCTTTTTAGACCAGCCTCTGTGCTGACTTCTTCCTATACATTACTTCTAATGCTGGAATACATACTTAGGTAGGAGTTAAATACCTTTATACTTTCTTAAAGATACAGAAACTGTGGGTCAGGGAGCTTAACAATTTCATATGGTTAGTGGCTATCAATACCAAGTTTATAAAGTAGACTGGAGTAGTAGTTAACAGTCCAGATGGCAATCAAACTTATCTGTTCAGTTCCTAGCGCTACCACCAATTTGTTGCGTGATTTAGGTTAGTTAAGTTTCCATTTTCTCTGAAAATATGGAGATGATGGTAGAGCTTACCTACAGCACTCACTAGGATGTCTTTTTAACCAGTGATGGGAACATACAACGTAATCATAGGTTACCTCTGCCTCCCTCATATGTGTTGGCTGTGTCCCCATCCAAATCTCATCTGGAGTTATAATCCAAATTGTAATCCCCATGTGTCAGGGGAGGGACCTGGTGGGAAGAGACTGGATCATGGGGTTGGTTTCCGCCATGCTGTTCTCATGATAGCAAGTGAGTTCTCATGATGTCTGATGGTTTTATAAGGGACTTTTCCTCCTTCATGCACCTTATCTCATCTGCTGCCAGTAAGGTATGCCTGCATCCCCTTCTGCCATGATTGTAAGTTCCCTGAGGCCTTCCCAGCATGCAGAACTATGAATCGATTAAACTTCTTTCCTTTATAAATTACTCAGTCTTGGGTATTTCTTAATAGCAGTATGAGAATGGACTAATACACCCAGTTTCAGGGAAGTTCTTTACAGCAGTGTGAAAAAGGACTAATACACTCCCCAACCCCCAACTCAGAAATACATTGGCCAGGAAACCCTCTGCCTGCAGGGCAGCATCTGGCTTTCTTCTTCACTAGGAATGATCCTCACAGCAGGCAACACATCTGCCAGTGAGCCATACTGTTGCTTGTAGGTAGCCCTCAGGTGGTAGGAGCTCTTGTGCAAGGAAAAGAGAAGATGTGAGTTTATCTTGGCGTAGAAGCCCTGTGTAGCAAAACATGCTATCTTTTGTACCCACTCCATGGGCATAACTTTCCGGGTCCTCACCAGGACGTGCCCACTTGCAAGAGAGTCACTTCAAGTTATGACTCCCCACTAGGCTTTTATAGGTATGCAAATTAGCCACCGGGGTCATTTTTACCATTGCAATGCTGCCTAATTTAGCAGTTGACAGGTGTCTAGGGGAGCATAGCTGTTATAGAAAGTTAGCCCAGGGTCAAATTTTTTCTTACGGAAGAATAGGTTTTGCTAACCCTTCACCCACACGATGACACATGGTAATAGTGCAAGTTCATTGTGATGGTATATGAAGCTTCTCCCAGATCACCTGATAGGTAGGAGAGGCTCAGTAAATGTTAGGTTATTGTGGCCTTTTCCATCACAACACACTGTTGCTGCTTACAGGGCAAGTTTGAGGTCATTTCTGAGTGGGTCAATGTCCTTTAGCAGAGTGTTGATGGAATCTCTCCGTTCCCTGAGTAGTTCCAATGATAAAGCTACTCACTGGGTTCCTTTACTCTTGACTTCTCACTCTTCAAAATATTTCCAATTTATAGCAATATTTAAATTGGCTTTTTCCTCATTTTAATTTGACATTTTCAGAAATCTAGTGCCTGCAGAATAGATAATTATGCCTTAACTACATAGCAACCATCTCAACTCACTTGTCAGTCACGAGTTAGTAAAGCTCACTATGCACAGGCCCCGTGCTGAGTTTCTGACGTCTATCATCCCGTTTAATCCCTTGGCTGCACTGTGACACTGACATTCTTTTTTTTCTTTTTTCTTTTTTTTTAAGATGGAGCCTCTCTCTGTCACTCAGGCTGGAGTGCAGCGGCATGATCTTGGCTTGCTGCAACCTCTGCCTCCTGGGTTCTCCTGCCCCAGCCTCCCTAGTAGCTGGGATTATAGGCATGTGCCACCACACCTAGATAATTTTTATATTTTTAGTAGAGATGTGGCTTCACCATGTTGGTCAGGCTGGTCTCAAACTCCTGACCTCAACTGATCTACCTGCATTGGCGTTCCAAAGTGCTGGGATTACAGACGTGAGCCACTGCACCCAGCCTGACATTCTTAATATTGTCTCTATGTTAATGATGAAGAAGCTGAGGTTTAAAAAGCTGAATTCATAAACTGCTAGTTGAACAGGTAGTGGAGCAGAAACAGGATTTGAATCCCAGTTGTCTTATGGCAACTACATGATATTAACTACTACACTTTGTTTCACCTTTTCTTATATTTTCTTTTGAATTTGTTATGCAGCAATAGGAAACTAACGGTTTTGAATGGTTCTTGTTTAATAAAAGAATAAAAATATTTAACAACTTTTGCTGCTTTGTATTTGTAGTCTAGACAACCCACTTAGAATTTTATATCCCTCAATTATTTGACATTAGCCATTTTTCTTGCTTTTGTTTTTGAAATTAATGGAGAAATAATTTCCTGATGCAGTCCATAGCTTTGTTTCTCTGGCCAAAAAAGAAAACCAGTCTACAACAAATTCAGTTTATATAAAAGTTCAAATGTTAGACTTTTAAAACATGAGCAACGCAGTGTTTTTTAAAAAAATATTTTATTGCGTTTTAGGTTTTGAGGTACATGTGAAGAACATGCAGGACTGTTGCATAGGTACATACATGACAATGTGGTTTGCTGCCTTCCTCCCCATCACCTATATCTGGCATTTCTCCCGATGTTATCCCTCCCCAACTCCCCATCCCCCACTGTCCCTCGCCTAGTTCCCCCACAAAGACCTCAGTGTGTGATGCTCCTCTCCCTGTGTCCAAGTGTTCTCATTGTTCAACACCCGCCTATGAGTGAGAACAAAATGTCTCTATATTTAATGTTCTCTTAATGGAACCAGACGACCTTTTTAAAAAAATTGCTGCATAGCTGAGGCTCTCCTAAGTGATACAAACATCATCCTTCTTATCTCTGAGGCCTGGGGCTGCCCTGCAATGGTGACAGATGTAAGCTATAATCCACTGTGGCCTTCACAGCTGCAGCAGTGTGTGGTAGACAGTTCTGATGGATGCTTCTGTGCTGGAGTATTCCTTATAGATGACAGTTTAGATACAATAATGAATTTACCAAGTAATTTAACATTTTCAAAACAATGTAGTAAAACTTTTCTATGTCTTTTGGTGTGCACTAGTTTTCTATTGCTGTATAACTAATGAATATATACTTAGCAGCTTAAAACAACGCTAGTCAGAAATGGGGTGAACCATATATTTGGGAACCCAGAGAGCTCAACTGGGTTCTCTGCTTGGGGTTTCACAACCCCAGAATCAAGGTGCTGGCCAGATGGGACTCTTATCTTGAGGCTCTGGGGGAAAGTTCACTTTCAAGCTTATTCAGGTTGTTGGCAGGACTCATCTTGAGGTTGCAAATGAAGTCCTTGTTTCCTTGCTGTCAGCCAAGGTTTGCTCTCAGCTTCTACAGGCTGCATGTCTTGGTACCAGGTCCTTTCCGTCTTCAGAGATGGCAGTGGCACATTGAGTCCTTCTCATGAGTTTAATTTCTCTGACTTCCTCTCGTGCCACTAGCCTGAGAAAATTCTGCTTTAAAGGGCTCCACTCACTGAGTCAGGCCCACTGGGATAATTTACATATTTTAAAGTCTACTGACTTGAGGTTTTAATTACATATGCAAAAATCCCTTCAGAGCAATACCTAGATTAGTATTTAATTGAAAAATGAAGGGGAGGGAATCTTGGTGGGGTGGGAGGGCAATGAGAGGATTTCTGTAGACTCCTACCTACCACATGGTACATGCGGTTTTGTTTTGTTCTTCCTTCTTGGATCTTTAAACTCACTGGTTGTTTGTGCCTGGGAAGCCACATGAAAGAAAGTTTAGCTCTTTATATTAAGCTATTACTATTCTATTCAGTTCCGACTTTAGCTAGCTTTAGGATCTGTTGCAATCCTTTAGTCCCACATTTGCCTTTAAGTTAATGGTAACCTTTTAATTAAAGCTACTCTAAAATTTTTACTTTGTGTTTATTACAGGCCTCCACAAGTTGAATAGTTTAAGTATGGTTTAGTAATGTATGAATGTACAGACATGGATTTTCTAGAATAGAGTTCGATTTAAATGACTGTAGGCCTTACATATGTAAAAAAATAATCTGTTGAAATGCATTGAAAATATTCCTTTATATTTTGAGACTCCTTTCATAGTTTCTTCATGACTGCATGGCATAGAAAGACTTTCTGGGGAAAGAATTAAGCATTTAGCTTTTTCACTGGCTTTCTGTTGCAGCGAATTTGTGTCATGGCTGTTGGAAATTGGAGAGATTCACAGGCCTGAGGAAGGCGTACACTTGGGACAAGCATTATTGGAAAATGGAATCATCCACCATGGTAATTATTAATTACTTATTTACTCCATTTATTCACCATGTGTATCTTAATCCCATTCATCAGTTTAGTTTATAATTTCCACATTACAGTTGCTCATTTTTTTAACAACATTTTCAGTACCTAATATGTGTAGAACAGTGTTTCAGGGAGTGTGGCTTTCACGGGCTGTATTTGTTAACCTTAGACTGAAGAGCTGTAATACAGGCAAACATTAGAAAATAGAGAAGTGGGATTGTGGAGGAAGGGATGGTTAGTTCTATAGTAATTGGAGTATTTGGGAGTGCTTCATAGAGGACAGGACATGACGGTGATGCTGGGCATTGCAGAATGAATAGAACTCTGCCAGGGACAGCAGGGCAGAAGGGCATTCCACTTGAAGGAAACAACAGCACTCTGGCACAGTGGAAGGCAAATCTGTGGTGGCTTCTTTGTGGACCAGCACAGAGCCTCACATGGGTCCATGGATGAACATACTGGTGAGGGCAGGTATGGCAAGAAAGGCAGGCAGAGCCTGGATTCCAGAAGATCTGAAGTTTCCTGCCGTGGCATGTGGGCTTATACTGAAGTGGGCCAGGAGTTGATGAATGGTTTTAAGTAGAGCCATGATCAGAACTTGGGTCCACAGCTATGAGATGCAGCAGCATGGAGCCTGCAGTGGAGAGGTTCAAGACTGCAGAGCACCAGGCCCCTCAGGGGACCCCGCTGCACCCAGGAGTGGCAGGACAAGGGCCTCGGCAGGTCTGTGTCCATGGGCATGAAAAGACCAGGCCACTTGGGGAGTTACTGGTGAAGCTGAAACAGCATATTTGATAACTATTTGGATATGGGGGGTGAAGAATAAAGAGAGAGATTAGAGTATTCTGAGCCTTCTTCTCTGAATGACTGCATTAATTCAGGAGGAAGAGCAGGGTTGAAAGAGAAGATGCAGGCTTTGCTATGGACTGTGTGAGACAGCCAGAGGGGAGTGGTGAGCAAGTGGTTGTAAACTTGGTTTGAAGCTCAGGATAGAAATGGGGTGAACCATATATTTGGGAATAATTCCAAGAGAGTACGAGATCCCTGGAAACACTGTCAATGAACAGACAAAAACCACGAAAGCAGTGTTAATGGGACCCAGGAAAAAAGCTTAAAGAATTTCTAAGGTAAACTGTGGGGGAGGAGAAAAAGCCAGTGACTTGTTAACAAATATGGATATTTGGCAATGGTATTCTGATGTTCATTTCCTTTCATAGAGTGCTGTGCAGATAAACCAGGTCCATCCCATCTTTCCTCATCACACCAGTGTCGCCTACATGTTGGTACCACCATCCACCCAGCTAGGAATCATCTTTAATTCCTTTCTCTCCCTCATGCCGTCAAGCCCTGTGAGCTCTACCACCAAAATAAGTGCCTAAACAATGAATTCTCTCCCTTCCAGCATCCCTACCTCTTTCTAGTCACCATCATCTCCTCCCTTGCTTCCACTTTTGTTCTCCACTCCCGTAGTACACTCTCCAGGTCACAGCCGAAGAGACCTTTAAAAATGCAGATATGATCAAAGCATTTTTCCATCTATAACCATCTAATCACTTCCAGTCAAATGTAAAGAAAAGTTCAGACCTATTACATGCCCCACAAAGTCCGATGTGATAGGGCCCCTGACTTCCTCTCAGAGCCTGAAACCTCGATTTGTACCTAACTTGCTGCACTGTGGCCACCCTGACCTTCTGTCTCTTCCTTCAATATGCCAACATGACTTCCTATTTAGGACTTTCGCTTCTGCTTTTCTCATTCCACAGTTATTTATTAATTCCTCGTATATGCCAGGGGCCTTTCTACCTGCTAGAGACAGAGCAGTGAATAAAAAGACAAAAATTCTTGTATATATGACTCATGACATATGACCCTTTCACTTTTAGAACTCCATCCTGTCCTGTGATTCCAATGTCCTATTTTTTTTTTCTTTACTTTGAAATCTTTCTTCATGCACTTATCACTCTGAAATTATTAGTTTGTTTTACTTGTGTCTTTGTTTATTAACTCTTTATCTCCCTATCCCTTACCTGGCCTCCAATAAAAATATAAGCACCATCCAAACAAAAGCCTCATTTGTTATATATAGCAAATGCCTGTCATTCCCAGCCCATACAGGTTCTCACTAAATATTTGCTGAATGAACGAATAATTAAATTTTGAGTGAACAGATGACACTTATAAATTGTATATGATTTTGTGCTTGTTTCATTAGCATCATTAAAACATCTAAAAGCATTATATGGCTGCTTTTAGCATCTGGTAGGCTAAAAGCATCATTTAAAAACTTAAAAGGAAAAATAACATTATGACAATTACATGCTAACATTATAAAATGCTAACAAGTATATGTAATAGTTACCCTGACTTTAATAGACTTGCATAGATCTTATATTGACCTGGAAACTGTGCCTCAGTGGCAAAAATTGATTAGTTGTTTACCAAATTGGTTTAGCTTTTGTTTGTCATGGATATGCATACATTGCATTTCTTAGTTTTCCTTGCAGTCAAGGAAGGGGAGGTGGTGAAATTCAGTTGCAGCCAAGGACATGTCCACAAAAGTGATGCACAAGGGAAGTGTACAGGCTATTAAACAAAAACACAAAACACAAGGTGTCCTTGGGAGTCCTGCACTAGGGATGGCTGGGCCTCTGTCAAACTCCAGGTCCTGCATGGGGAGAGCCCCATAACTCCATCCTCCACCACTGATTGGATCTTACCTCAATGAAAAATTAGCTTCTACAGCATAAGTCACTATATTGAGGAGGTTTGTTTGTTACAGTAGCTAGTGTTAACCAGTGGAAAATGAGCGAGCTTTTCTTCCCAATATGTCCTGCGGAAATGAGTTCTCCCATCCTATCCTAGTCTATTTCTGCCTTTCTAGAAGGAAGTATGAGACCAGCTGGGTTTCCTTGATGGACAGAGTAAAAAGACAGACTTAAACTACTAAGAAATAAAGTTGCTGGTTCATGTTGACATGCAAACTAGGGGTAAGAGAGCATATTATGCGATTTATCATTAATAGAATAATTCTATTAGAATGAAGAGACATGAGCCAAATGTGCTAGTATCATTGGCATGTGGTTCCAGCTGCATTTTGGTGAAAATAGAATTCCTAAAATAAAGTTGAATGAACCATCTGTTTTAAAGAGAGCAAGCAAAAAAGAAGTTGACTATTATTGGTGTTATTCACATTGCAAATATGATTGAGAACTTCGTCATCAGCAAAGCCTGCTATAGCAGGAACTCTAGGGTTGAGGCAGCGTATGCTTTCTCTGTGGTACACTGACAATATGTATCTTGTCTGGTGCTACTCTTTGCAGTAGGAATGTTTATGTGAGAATTCAGAGACCTCATTTCTTATCATTTGTTTTATGCCATGATGTGATGAAGTTGGTTCATATAGGCTCCTGAGAGCTAATAATTAGATACATTTTGTAGGCTGGTTAGTTTATAAACTAACGATTACTAATAATTAAATTGCATAAACATATAAGTGCATAAATTATATTGCAAAAAGGGTAAAACATTCTCTTTTAGGCGTTTGGGAGGGAGGATCTTGCTCTGTTGCCCAGGCTGGAGTACAATGGTGTGATCATGGCTCACTGTAGCCTCAACCTCCTGGACTCAAGCCATCTTCCTACCTTAGCTTCATGAGTAACTAGGACCACAGGTGCATGCCACCATGTCCAGCTAATTTTTTTTTCTTTTTTAAATTTGTAGAGATGAGGTCTTGCTATGTTGCCCAGGTTGGTCTTGAACTGCTGGGCTCAAGTACTCCTTCCACCTCAGCCTCCCAAAGTGCTGGGATTACAGGCATGAGCCACCATATTGGACCTGTAAAACATTCTTAAAATGTATCACTTTCTCATTATTTTACAATGTTTACTATTATCTGTGCCCTTGAGGTTATTTATATCTATTGCTTGTATATAGTGGAAATATTGTGTAATGCGTGGCACTGCACCTTTAACTCCATATTCAGTGCCTTTAGGTTGGAAGGTTGAAGTTGGTCAGAGTGGGAATATTTATACAGTAGAAATTGGCAAATGCTACAAGTCAGAACTTCTCCTCTACTCCCCCCACCTTCACCACCTAGAGAGCCAATTGTTAAACATCTGCAGTACATCCCTGGTTCTCTCACACAATGATTTAAAAGATCGCATTTAGCAACTTTCTTCACTAGAGGACCTAAGCTGTAGTTAATGCACCCATTTTCCATGGTAGAGAAATTGGGAGAGTAGATTTGAATGCAGAACAGTTCAGGGTTTTTCTAAGACAACAGCTAAGAGTTGCAGGCTAACCCAAGGTTCATTATCAAGGGTACAAGCATTCACCTTGCGGCTAACCTCTCCATGTTGAAGAGGTTAGACTACCACTTGTTTCATCCTGGCAAAAACATTTGGATTCAACTTCATGAATTTTGAAATATCAAGGCAAGTTATTTTAATAATTATTAAGGAATAAAAATAAGAATAGGTAGATTGCATAGGAGAAATAAATTCTGATCTTAAAACATGCTGTAGAGTTTCACAGTATTTCTCATGTTTTTATATTTTTTTCATACAGAATTTTTTATGTGTGACTTGGCTTGGGGGAAAAGATACCAAAAAGCAGAAATGGTATTGACTATGTATCTTTTTTTTAAACAATTTTATGGCCATAAGCCATGTAGAACATTTGGATGGGCTGGGGCAAAAGAGCTGAAACTTCACAAATGTGTGTGTGTATTTATCTGTGTGTATTACCAACTCTCTTGATTTCCTTCTGGATGCATCAAATGTTGTTAATGAGAATTCTGACAACTTTCTTTCCTCTTTCAATATTTCTGGCAAAAAATAAAGGTGGTCAAAATCTTTCATTTAATTGTAAAAGTATAGCTCTTTGCAGCATGTTATCTCTTCTAGGAATGTTACATTTCCTGTAAATAAAATATTTAAATATAAACTCTTTGACTTTCAATTTGAGGTTTTTACTTTCTAAAACAGACTTTTTTTTTTTAATTAGTCTGTGTATAAAATAACGTAGCCTGAAAAAGAGAAAACTTAGAGATTTAGTAGGAGATTCCCTCCCTTGGCTCCCAGCTTTATAGAGGTGTAATTGACAAATATTAATGGTGTACAACATGATGTTTTGAAATATGTGTAAATTGCAAAGTGATCACCACAATCAACCTAATTAGTATATTAACCACCTCAAATAGTTATCACTATTTGTGGTGAGAACATTTGAGATCTACTCTCTTAGCAATTTTCAAGTATGTAATACATTATATCATATTTTCTCTATCCACTCAGCCACATGGAAACTTAGGGTGACTTCTTGTCTTGCTATTGTGAGTAATGCTGCAGTGAACATGGGGGTTCAGATAGCTCTTTGACACACTGATTTTATTTCCTTTGAATTACACAAACAGAAGTAAAATTGCTGGATCATATGGTAGTTCTATTTTTAGCTTTTTGAGGAACTTCCATACTGTTTTCCATAATGGCTATACGAATTTACATCTCCACCAACAGTGTACAAGGGTTTCCTTTTCGCTAGATCCTCACCAACACTTCTGTCTTGTTGATGAAAGCCATCCTAAGAGGTGTCAGGTTATATCTCACTGTAGTTTTGATTTACATTTCCCTAATGATTAGAGATGTTGAGCAACTTTTCACATAAAGATGGCCTGTTGGCCATCTTTATTTCTTTTTTTGAGAAGTATTTTTTTAGGTTCTTCACCCATTTTTAAATGGGTTATTTGTGTTTTTGGTATTACATTGAATTAATTTCTTATATGTTTGGAATATTTGCCTCCTATTGGATCTATGTTTTACAAATATTTTTACCACTCCATAGATTGTCTTTTAATTTTATTGATTCTTTCAATTGCTGTGCATATGCTTTTTAGTTTGATGCAATTGCATTTGCCTATTTTCATTTGTCTATTTTTGCTTTTGTCACCTGTGCTTTTGGGGTCCTCTCCAAAAAATTATTGCCAAGACAAATGTCAGGAATGTTTTCCCTAATCTTTCCTTCTAGTAGTTTTACAGTGTTACATCATATGTTTAAATCTTTAGTACATTTTGAGTTTATTTTTATATTTGGTGTGAGATAAGGGGTCCCATTTAATTATTTTGCATGTAGTTACCCAGTTTTCTCAACATTATTTATTGAAGAGGCTGTCTTTCTGCATTGTGTATTCTTGGCACCTTTGTAGAAGATCAGTTGACCATAAATCTGTGAATTTATTTCTGGGATCTGATCTCTATTCTGTTCCATTGGTCTATGTGTCTGCTTTTATGCCAGTACCATGCTGCTTTTATTACTGTGGCTTTGTAGTAGAGTTTGAAGTTAGTAATCTCATGTCTTCAGCTTTGTTCCTTTTGCTCAAGGTTGCTTTGGCTATTGTGGGTCTTTGTGCTTCCACACAGATTTTAGGATTGTTTTCTGTATTTCTGTGAAAAATGCAATTGGAATCTTGATAGAAATCACATTGAATCTGTAGGTGGCTTTGAGTAGCAGGGATATTTTAACAATGTTAATTCTTTCCTTCCATAAGCATGGGATTTCTTACCATTTATTTGTGTTTTCTTTAATTTATTTCATCAGTGGTTTATAGTTTTCAGTGTACAGATCTTTCACCTTCTTATGTTATTCCTGCTATATTTTATTTTTTTATTCTATTTTAAATGAGATCACTTAATTTCTTTTTTCCACAGTGCATTGTTAACATATGGAGACGCTACTGATTTTTTAAATGTTGTCTTTGTGTCTCGCAAGTTTATTGAATTAGTTTTTGATGGAATTTATTATGGTTTTCTATCTATCAGATCATGACATCTACAAATAGAGACAATTTTACTTCTTTCCAATTGAATGTCTTTTATTTCTTTTTCTCCCCTAATTTCTCTGGTTAGGACTTACAGTACTATGTTAAGTGGAAGTAGAGAGGGTAGGCATCCTTGTCTTGTTCTAGAGAAAAAGCTTTCAGCTTTTGATCATTGAGTATTATGCTAGTCGTGGGCTTGTCATATATAACCTTTATTATGTTGAGGTGCATTTCATCTATACCAAATTTATTGAGAGCTTTCATTATGAAAGGATGTTGAATTTTGACTAATGCTTTTTCTGTATCTATTGAGATCATCATGTGGTTTTTGTCTTTTATTTTTTAATGTGATGCATTGTAATTATTCATTTGCATGTGTTGAACCACCCTTGGTTCTGAAAGATAAATCTCACTTGATCATGGTATATGATCATTTTATTGTGCAGTTGAACTTGATTTGATAGTGTTTCATTTAGGATTTTGGCATCCATGTTCATCAGTGATATTTGTCTGTAATTTTCTTTTCTTGTAATATTCATATCTGGCCTAGTAAAATGAGTTTTGGAAGTGTCCCCTTCTCTTTTATTTTTGGAAGAGTCTGAGAAGGACTGGTATTAATTCTTCTTTAAATATTTGGTAGAATTCACCAGTGAAGCCATCAGGTCCTGGGAATATGAAAGTCTTATCTTGAGGATGGTAATGAACACTCTTGTTTTTCAATGAGAAAAAAAATTAACTGACATGTGAAAAAGCAATTCTTAATGTAAGAACAGTTACAATTTTGGAATCAGTTAGATACTAAATTATTTTAGCTATTCTGGAGGTCCAAACACAGGATAAATGTCAAGATTGGTGTATGTGTGGTCTTGGCCTGATCACAGTGTGATAAAGCAGATACATGCTAAAATTTATTTGTAGGGCTGAGATTCAAATCACAATGCACTAATTTGAGTATTTGCTCTATAAAGGGCACTTTTTGCTTGGCTTTGTAACATTGTGAAGAAACAGAAAATACAAAATCATATATTTATGTAACTGTGCATACTGTGTGTACCTTTATACATACTATATACTCATGTGCATATATAAATACATATATTATGCTAGCTGAATGTTGCAAACTTCTATTTATTTCTCAAATAATTATATGGAAATTAATATTTTAAATAAAACATGAATCATGCTGTTAAAATACTGGATTGATATTGCTGTGTTATAAAAGCAAACACTTTTTTTAAAACTAAAAGTTTTAGTATTTGGAAATTTGTATTTAATAAATGTATTTGTTGTTTGTCCCCTTTTAGAATATAATTATTTTAATATATTATTTCTATGTTCTTAGTTACTGATAAACATCAATTCAAACCAGAACAGATGTTATATAGATTTCGCTATGATGATGGAACGTTTTATCCCAGAAATGAGATGCAGGACGTGATTTCAAAGGTAATGATCTGTCCCACAACCTCTTCGATAGTAGAATGCATGTTGCCATTCTTCAGGAAGATAAAAGGCAGTTGAGAAACATAAAAGATTTTTCTAGTTCAGAAAATCCTTCGACTATATATACAAGCAAACCTCTTTATTTATTTTTGGTATTTCAAGAATTCTAATGTTTAATTGTTTCTTCATTCTTTACCTAATTCTAAATGATAGTAGTACTGCTGTATCACTCACAAGGTTATAGCCATTAAAAACTCTTTTACATGCAGCAACATGTCATCAAAATACTTGTATAAAAAATACAAATATGTAAAATAAATGTAAAGCCACTTTTTTTGTACAGTTGACAATACTGATATGTGATGAACAAGTAGTATAGATGTATTACTGTGTTGGTATCTTTGTTTATGTTAGAAATTTTATATTTTAAGAAAATTAATTTGGAGAAAACTTTGTTTATGTGTATGTCATATATATGAGGAATTTATAGCACAATTTAATCCTATTCTTTAATAATTTAAATCATATTATTTTTATGATATATCATGACATTTGAATAATTTTTAAATTGGTTGAGATTTTGTAATGATTCGAGAATAGTGACAGTGAATTAATTTGTTAATTCAAAATTTCATTGACATGTCCCTTGGGTGATCTCACTCTTTTTTGATATATCTTTATTTTACGTAGGGTGTAAGATTATATTGTCGTCTTCATAGTCTCTTTACTCCAGTGATAAGGTGAGTCTGGCTTTTAAGTTCTGGGAAACTTAAATGGAAATATTTGTACTGTGTTTTAGGTAAATTGTATTCAGCTAGAACTTGTTGGCTTATTTTGTTTTTCTTCCAAAAGTGAAAATTTTTCTTTAAAATATTATTTTAAGGAATAATTTGTTGTAAAATATCCTGATATTTTCCTAAGATTCTAATTTTCCACTCTTTATTCCACTCTAATATGCCACTCTTTATTATGATTTCTAAAATTATTTTGCCATTAGTTCATAGTAAATTACACACTTGAAATAGTCCCCTTTGTGCTAATATTTAATAAATAAAAGTTGATTGATCAGGAGAGGATTTGGAAATAATGTTTACATATTTGCCACTATTATTACTTGTATATTAACTTTTTAAGTTAAATTGTATAATCAAATATTGGCTATGTATTTTATTTTATGATATTTCCACCTCATAATCTTTTTTCCCAAGAAAAGATTTTGTACTTGAAAACTAAGAATTATTTTGTATGGGTATAATTTTATAATTTTATTCTTTATCATGTTTTTCCTTCTGCAGAGACACACTTGTTTTAAAAGAGGAATCAGGATTAATTTTTGGTTTATCTCTTTAGAAAGACAATAGAAAGCTTTGAGGTCTGCATTATGATTAATAACCAAGTAGATCTTCAGGGAATTGTACTTTTGCAATATACACTGATATAACTTAACTGATAGAATGTTAAACTAATTTCAAATGGTCAAATATTATTTGGAGTTTACTGACTAAATCATAGTCCACAACAAAATATGCATGTACTATTTCCAGAATAAATAAAAATGCTTTTCAATCTTGGCTATAAAATCCAAATGTTTAGTGTTTCTGTTTTTCACTTTGGTTTGTAATTCCAAGAAAATGCAGAGCTTAAAACAATAAAGATTCCAGATGTTGCTAAGTATATTGGAATGCCCACTTTATACTGCATAGAGAACACACTGTTTGCAGATCCTGGAGGAGGAAACATGATCTTATTCACAATCCTGAAAATGTCCTATCTACTTTCACAAGTAGGCTTCACAAAGTGGAAGAAGGTGAAGAAGAATAAATATTTGTTGACTCTGCCATAATTCTGTCACAGATATTTGTAAATACTTTTCTGCTAAACTAAGAGAAAACAATAATGTTAAAACATCATGTAACTGGTGTATATGTAGATTTTATATGAGCAAAAATGTGTTCTGAAAATACATTTTAGCCATATGAGATTTCTTATCAAGAAAGCTTCACCTGTAAGAGCTGATAAGAAATTTTTCTTTGGCTAGAAATGACAATTGTTTTCGAGTTGTCAAGAGAAAATTTATGGGAAAAAACCCATAAAATGGAATGTATTATAGTCATTCTTTTAACATGTGTGAACTCAGCTTATAGGAAGAAAAATTACTTAGCATGAAGAGACACAGATTCACATGTGGTCTCTAATAGACTACATTTTTTCTTCTTACTATGCTTATAGAAACCAAGATGAAATATGTGATGAGGTGTCGGAAACATGGAGACAGATTTAAAGAACAATGAATAAAAGTAATTATTAGTCACTTCAAGTCTTTTGCAGTTTGGAATTTTTGACATTTTATAAAGACTGCCACATTTTCATTCTCTTATGATCTAGGTGGATTTCTGCCCTTGGGCATTCAGTTCTGATTATGAGATTTGGTTGGTACCTAACAAAACTTTGAATGATCTCTCAGTTCTGGGAAATCTGGGGAATGGAAAGTCTGAAGTGGAGAGCCAGTTGATCCTCTTGGTTCCCTGGGGATGTTATATCACTATGTCCATGACATGATTGGAAAGACAAAAATAGCAAGTTCTCAATGTATCTACTTCAGGACAGACCTGCTGGTTTTCCACTGCAGCAGAACTGTATGAATAACACTGTAGTGCAAATCTAGCCTTCCCGGAGCCTTCAGGAACAAGAATAAAAGATGTTTGTTTCGTCTCCAGATTTTGAGATTTTTAGTATGATCTATTGTGATTTAAAGAGAAGAAATTCTATTTTATTATTATTATATTAATATGATATTGTATTGTAAGTTCTCACTTAATGTCATCAGTAGCTTCTTGGAACCTCCAACTTTAAGTGAAATGTTATATCATAAAACCAGTTTTGCCATAGGCTAATTGATATAAACAAGAGTTAAGTTCCTACAGCATCCAGTGTTTCATTTCACTTAAAGTCACAGTTTCCAAGAACCTATCTACAATGTTACATGTGGACTTACTATATTTCTAGCTAAATTATTACCAGATAATATAGCAGTAATAATCTATTTGGATATAAGAAAATGTAAAAGAAGAGGTGTCCTGTTTGGGTAACGTTGTGGGTCTCTTACTTTGGTATAAGCTGGTAGATGATTTTTTAGGTATTCTACATGCTTCATAAAATTCTCTTATTTGCATGTTTTTGGGCGATTAACTCAGGTTGCAATGATAAACTTTTCTGTTGCATACTGATACTAAATGAAAATATTTTCTTGTGCTCACATATCCCCTTGCTTAATGTCTTTTTTTGTTTGTTTTTTTTCCTTTATAGAGATAAAGATTACCATTTAAGGACCTACAAATCTGTGGTCATGGCCAACAAACTAATAGACTGGTTAATTGCACAGGTAAATAGATAAATAGAAGTTGCTGAGTTTCACTTGCTGCTGCTTTAAACTTTGAGCATGTGAATTAGGTACTTTTCCTCTTCTTCATCTGCAGCAGGTATTTTAAAAAAGAAATATATACAGCTAATAGGAAGCAGAGTTAGGATTTGAACCTAGGTAATCTGATTTTAGAGATATCAAACTTCATTTTTAAGTTATCCTGTTTCTCAAGAGCAAGATGCTCCTATTTTTAAGATATCAGCTAAGACCCATCAAAAAATACTAATTTTAGAATCTGAAGAGTAGCTATGCTCATCTATTAATGTTTTTTGTGTGTTTTTTACACTTTGTTTTAAAGTTCTGTTTATTAATGCTAGCAAGCTATTTTAATCTCCCTGTGCATTTTTCCTTGTTAGAAAATAATTGTGCTTTGATAATAGGAGCTTCAATGTCTGTGGTATCTATTTTAAAACAGAAAGGAATTTATTGTTGTTATTGTTGCCCTGCTTCTCAGGATTTACATGCTGACAGCTAGAACTGAGAAAGTGTCATTTGCTTATAAGTAAAACAACTTAGAGCATCTAGTCCATCATAACAGACATTCACCTATAAATTATTCAAATATTCAAAAGTTTAAATGTTGGTATTCAAATATTTAAATGTTTTATTGTACTAGATTAACTAGTAAATGATAAAGTGTATTTCACTGATTAAAGAAAAGATGAAAACTGATACTCACTTTAACTGAACTTACTATTTTGGGAGGGGGATATTGCTTGGTCGGAATGCAAGTCATTACATTTAGCTATGTGAGTCAATGTCATACACAGCTTCACTTCTTAAAGAGTGGCTTTCTTTCTTTGTTTCAAGTAGATAAAATTTGCTAGTTTGTCATAAAATGTTTATTTTTAATTTTATTAATAATTATTAATTATTCAGTAATTAATAATCTATATTTGGTTCGTCTGTACACTTACATTTTGCTAATTTATATTAGTTAATATTATTTTTAGGCTGTTCAAGACCACCTATTTTTATATTTTATAGCACTTACATTTATTACATTTAGAAGTTAAGATTTTAGATGAAACTAAACAATTACCTTTAGATAAAACATCAATTTATATTTTCAGTGGCTTTCCCAGCATTAGAGCCTTTCATAACACTGTGGTCAATGTGTATCATTCGAATTGATTTCTATATAATAATTATTGGAGTTGGACTTTCACTTAGAAATTATACAGTCCTAGAATTCTTGTGAACTTGTTTGATGTGTTGATTACATGAGAAACTTAAAGGAAATCTGTTTGACGCAAAAGCTGATGCTGAGTAAACCTTTAAAGTTCTAACTCAGGAAATCAGTTAACAACTTTTTTTTGGCATTTTTACTTTCCAAGAGTTAACATTAGAAGAATAGATTAAGGTGATCAAAGATGACCAAGTTTTTGCATTTTTTTGTTTTTAGACAATGTTGCCTGGGCTGGAGTGCAGTGGCACAATCTCGGCTCACTGCGACTTCTGCCTCTGAGGCAGTTCTGCCTCAGTTTCCCAAGTAGCTGGGATTATAGGTGCACACCACCACATCTGGCTAATTTTTGTTTTTTCAGTAGAAAAGGGTTTCACCATGTTGACCAGGTGGCTGGAACCCCTGATCTCAAGTGATCCACCTGCTTCAGCCTCCCAAAGGGCTGACATTATAGATGTGAGCTACTACACCTGGCCGCAGTTTTTTTTCTTCAGTTTTTCCTAGGGATTTGTTATGACAATGTCTGCAGAAATTGTGCGTAATAGAAATTGCATTGGCTGGGACTCACACAACCTAGTGTCTGATGCCAGCTCTGCTAGTAACCAGTTTATATAAACTTAGACAAATCACTCAGTCTGTCTGGATTTTAGATTTTACAACTGTTTACTGCTTACTGGAATATCTGTACATGCTGTCTCTTTTCTATCATCGAAACTTTATGACTCTGATATTGTAAAACATCCAAATGTAACTATCAACATAATCAACTCTGATTGCTTAACTTCAGATTAGGACCACACAGCCTTCCTTGAAAAAAGCAGAAATAGTAGTGGAAGGATAAGAGACCAAGGTTAAAGCTCCTAATCTAATATGAAGAGTTTTTTTTTTTTTTTTTTTTTTTTTTTTTTTTTTTTTTTTAAGTAAGGGTATCTTTCTACCAAGACTCTGACATGATAATACTGAATTTTCAGTATTGACTGAGTCACTGAATTGTTTTGGACAGTTTTAGAGCACAGAGTAAAACTACTGGCTCTACTATGATTGGAGTATATACTAGATCCTACAGTTTTTCTTTTATTCTGCAATATATTGTGTGATGTCATCTTGGAAAACAAAATGAGCGTTGTGTTCTTCTGAATACAGTTTTCATTTACTGTTGTGCTGCTTCTATTATAGTATAATAGTTTAGAAGAAAATACTCTATTTCACAATGTTAAATTCTTATTCAGCATGTGCATTAATGTACCTATGAAACATCATTCAATTCCTGTACATTACGATTTGGGTAGGGATCACTCATAGTTTATAATTAAAGAATGCCTTGCTTCTTCATATCATGTGTTCTAAATGCTCACCAGGTCCAAATGGCACAAGTAGGATTTTAAAAAGGCATAGGAAAAACAGAACATTTTAGGCTATGTTTTTTACACCAGTATGTTCAATAATAGTCTGGTCAGTGTTTCATTTGAGTAATTAATCAAATAAAGCAATCAAGTGTCAGTGATTATTAAACAAGCTTTTCTTGTAAATTTAACATTCAAGCAAGTGCTTTGATGATAGAATAAACAAAGCAGGAAGCAGTCATGATTTCTGCCTTCAAGTGATATTGGTCAATTGGGCTAATTTTCATGTATCCTCTAAGACTCTGCTCCAGCCTCATCTCCTCCAAGAAGCCTTGCCAGATCCTCTAGCCTAGGCTCGATCACTTCCTGTGGTCCCAGATCTCCAAGTATATCTGCCTGATTGGAAATATGGATTAAATTGGATATTAGTAAGATATTTACCTTTTAATGACCAAATCCTATCCTACATTTGAATTACTTCAGGGCACGGAAGTATTTTGTGCTTGAGTGGTTTAATATTTTTCTATTACTTGATGCAATATGTAGAAAAAATAAGTATCTTTTGAATGAATCCATAAAAATGACAAAACAGCTTGATTTTTGAAGAGGGCCAGATGCAGGGTCTGAAGTTACAGATTATAAGTGTTTTGGCAGTTCTTAGGAGGATTAGTGAGGATTGGAGTTATCACAGAATGAGGTGGGACCATTATTTTTGTCCTTTATAGACAAGTAGAATGTGAGTGAGAGGAGGGTAAAGAGAAGGGCATTGCAGCTATGAGTAAAAAGAAGAGTAAGAATGAGCACAGACTTCAGGCAACAGCAGGGAGTCCAAACTGACTATAGCAAGAGATATGGTATTGAGCTTTGGAGAGTGAAGCTGGAGAAGTAGCATAAAACCAAGGTATGGAAGTTTTAAAAGCCCAACAGAGAATTTTGATACATTATGATTCTAAAAGAACAGTCTGTTTAAAGTTTGGAACTGAGATTTCTGTGTAAGAAATTTCATTTAATTCTAGCTGGACACAGTGGCTCACGCCTGTAATCCCAGCACTTTGGGAGGCCAAGGCAGGCGGATCACTTGAGGTTGGGAGTTTGAGACCAGCCTGGCCAACATGGTGAAAGCCCTTCTATACTAAAAATACACAAATTGCCTGGCATGGTGGCGCATGCCTATAATCCCAGCTATTTGAGAGGCTGAGGCAGAAGAATCACTTGAACCCGGGAGGTGAACATTGCAGTGAGCTGAGATCACGCCACTGCACGCCAGCCTAAGTGACAGAAGGAGATTCCACCTTTTTTTTTTTTAAGTTTAATTGTATAACAGCATATTTTAGAAAGAGTCTAGAAAAAAATCATGGTAATTTAGAAAAGAGATTAAGAAACACCATATGAGGGTATTGACAATAGAGATGGAATAGAAGCCAGAGAGGAGAGAATAGATTTGGTAAAATACCTAAGTGCTAAAAGATAGGACTAGGGAAAAATGAGATAATACATGGGAAAAAAGCTTCTTAAACTGTAACAATACAACTCTAAGGTTACACAGTTACACACACACACACACACACACACACACACAGAGAGGGGGGGGGAGAGAGATAAATGCATGTTCATATACATGGATCCATACTTAATAAAATAGGTGTTTTCTAAATAAAAAAAAAAGAAAGAAAAAGGTTGCTTTGGGCCATTTTGCTGGATTCAGTTAGATGATCTGATTTTTTTCAGAAAAAATAATAAAAGAGAAGCTCGTATTTGCTAACTCAGCCAAACAATTTACTCATAAGGTCTTACAAGTCATCCTAGATTAATAGGTTTCTTCAGGGGTCCTTACAGGGCAAGGCCATTTGGTGGAAGGGAAGAGTTAGTTACTGAGGTCATACATAATGATTGTTTAATTAGTGTGTTGTCAATTTACAGGATATTTCCCTGTTGCATAATTGGAATACAAAATCTAAGAAATAATAGAAAGGCATCATTTATGGTAGCAATACATTTTTGTTACTTACATGTTTTTGTGTTTAATAAAGTATATTTTTCTCAAGAAATATTAAGTATTTTATTTAATGTCAAAAGAAAATATTTTCATAATAAATTGAATGTTTTGTAACAATTAGATGCATCCTGTCTTATAAAGAAATGCATGCTTTGTAAGGGAAGCTTTGTCTGAATTTGATGTTGGGAATGTTAAATACAGCAAAGCTGCCACAAAGCCTTTAGTTACCTATTAACTCCCACAGTGCTTTTTTGGTTAACAGGGAGATTGCCGCACCAGAGAAGAGGCAATGATATTTGGCGTTGGACTCTGTGACAATGGATTTATGCATCATGGTAGGGATTTTTTACTCTGGAAGCTTACAGATATATTTCATCATTTTGGTTCTTAGGATACTGGAACACCCAGTGCTGCGGTGAGGTTGTTTAGAGACGAGCCAGCGAGACTGTCTGGATCTTACCATGGGTTCAGGTTGGGTCACCACAACCGCATTCGGTTTCACTGCTGGTGCCACTCCTAGGTCTAATTGCTGTTATCTACCAATTGCCATGACATCTATCCTATTTCTCTAGCCTATGCTGATTCTAGAAGAGCAATGGCTTGAGCTAGAAGTTGTTTTTTTTTTTTTCCCCATTTATTTATTTTATTGCATTTTAGGTTTTGGGGTACATGTGAAGAACATGCAAAATTGTTGCATAGGAACACACGTGGCAGTGTGATTTGCTGCCTTCCTCCCCATCACCTACATCTGGCATTTCTCCCCTTGCTATCTCTCCCCAGCTTCCCACCCCCCACCGTCCCTCCCCTATTTCCCCCCAACTGACCCCAGTGTGTAGTGCTCCCCTCCCTGTGCTAGAAGTTTTTATGTTTTGTTTTGTTTTTAAGCTCATAAACCATTTTGAAACTATTTCAGATTAGACTTACGATTTTATTTTGAATGCCAGTATCTATTAAGACAGCATATGTGATTATTTACTGTTATGTTTAAGAAAAATGGTTTTGAATTTACCTCAGAGAACAAAATGATAGATCTTTAGGAGAAAATTATCTTTTATCATTAAATGTTAATTTTTAAATAAAATTCTAAGATTTATGAGAGTAATGAAAGTAAGTTTTTCCTCTTTGTAATATCTTATAGAATCCATAAATCCAAACAGTCTCTCTCTCTCTTTTTTTTTTGAGACACTCTGTCACCCAGGCTGGAGTTCAGTGGCATGATCTTAGCTCACTATAACCTCTGCCTCATGGGTTAAAGTGATTCTCCCACCTCAGCCTTTGGAGTAGCTGGGACTGCAGGTGCACGCCACCACATCTAACTAATTTTTGTGTTTTTTGTTAGAGATGGAGTTTCACCAAGCCAGGCTGTTCCCGAATTCCTGATCTCTAGTAATCTGCCTACCTCAGCCTTCCAAAGTGCTAAGATTATAGGCATGAGCCACCATGCTGGCCTCTTTTTAATTAGTAATATAATATGCTTTAAATATATAAATATATATTTGATAGCACTTGTATCTGTTTGTCAAAATATTTTGAAAATACTTTTAAAATATTGTTGCATTTGTATGAAGAAGGAAGTACAGCAAAGATTACAGTGATTTTGAGAGCATCCTTGGTTATCATTTTTTGGGGGGAAATTTCATCCTGTTTCCCTATCTCCAGGTCACTCTATGAGTTGTCTAGAGAAATATTGGTCCTTGAAGAACAAACCATGAATGGAAGAAATTAAAGCATATTAGGGGATTAACCCTATAATATCAAGCTGAAAACCTGCAAAAGTTTGCATTTTTTTTTCTTTAAAGCACCAACATACAGTAATTTAATCTAAGCGTTTATTATAAAATATTGAGTTACATGAAAAGTTTTTCTGACAAAAGTCTGTCAGTAAAGCATGAATAGTGTGGCTCATGCCTGGCTTTATTGATGCCTTATCTTGCTCCTTTTGAAAGACAATTTGGTGGAAGAAAACAGCTGTAACAGAAACACTGCGTGAGCTTTGGGAAACTGCTTAGATCATTAAGTCAATCTAAAATAGATTCTGGGCTGGGCACAGTGGGTCATGCCTGTAATCTCAGCATTTTGGGAGGCCAAGATGGGAGGATTGCTTGAGCCCAGGAGTTGGAGGCCAGCCTGGGCAACATAGCAAGATCCCACCTCTACAAAAATAAAAAAAATAATAACAATAAAATAGATGATCACTTCTATTGCTAGTCATGGCTTCTGTCGTTTTTTAAACTTGAGGTTGATAGTTTCATTTGTTAACTCATGTTGCCAGCCAGTCTTTCATCCAAAGATCAATAAAGGCATTCATCCCATCAACAATTATTTGCTGGAACTCTGTAAAAATAATGAACCCAAATAACTGTCCTTTTTGACTGCTTACTATGTGCCAAGTTTATTTATATTTATTACCTCATTTTAGTTTTATACAACAATAGGTAGAAGTTTTTATTGCCTCCACTTTGCAGTTGAGGAAACTGAAACTCAGAGGGTTTAAGTAACTTTTTTATGTCACTTTTAGGCCTGGAATTTAACCTCAGGCCTGTCTCATCACAAAACCTAACTCTTTCTACTGTGCCCTGGGATCACTGTCTTTCTTTTAGTATCTGGCTCAATGAATCAACCTTCAAGGTACTAAGGACAGATAAATAAGAAATGGAGAATTTTTTTTGGTAAAGTATTTTGATAGCTGTCAGGATCTCACTGAATACAATTTCTTCCTATCAGTATTTGACCTTATTTAAAAAAATACTAATAAAACATAAACTTTATTTCATCAGTCCATTCCAAGAATCTTAGGGGATTTGGGGAAAAATACTAATGTTCAGTATTTTATTTAAATAAATACTTTTATTTAAATTTGGATTTCAATCTGGAAAGTGAAGGACTTGGTTAAATTCAAAAAAGTTAGCCTTAGAAGAAATACTATTTGTTTTAAAAAATTCAAAATCCTGTAGGTAAAAGTAATTTAAAGGAGACATTGGCTCAAAATTATAGAAAGAAATAGCAAAAACAAACAAACAAAAAAAAACACAAAAAAACAAAACACACACAAAACAAAAAAACACGGGAATACTTACTCCTAGGAGTATAAAGTTGAGGTTATGGGTGAAGGTATTAATTTATAAATGTCACTGGTATTGAAAATGAGTTCAATTTTTGAATTAGCTGAAATAATTAGAATCTCTCCCTTTTTCTGTAGTCCTTGAAAAAAGCGAATTCAAAGATGAACCTCTACTTTTCCGTTTTTTTTCGGATGAGGAAATGGAAGGATCAAATATGAAACATCGACTTATGAAACATGACTTAAAAGTTGTGGAAAATGTTATAGCTAAGTCATTATTGGTAAGTTTGTTGATAGGTTATTTTTCTTGATTAGGCATTAGCAGGAGACTGTGTTAAACAGGTTTGGTGGTGATGCATATTGCTTCATTCTGTTTAACTTGTAATTTTTTTATAGTTGTTTTACCAATAATGTTAATATTTTGCGTTTCAGATTAAATCCAATGAAGGCAGCTATGGCTTTGGGCTAGAAGACAAAAATAAAGTTCCAATAATCAAGTTGGTAGAAAAGGGATCTAATGCTGAGGTAATGTAAATTAGCATTTTAATTTAAATTTATTGTCATGACAAAATAGAAAAATTCTAAACAAACTGAAATCAGTCTTTAAAGATAATCAGGCTTCAAATAATCTTTATTGAACATAATGTCTCTGGATAATCTTACAGGTTCTACTGAATACCTTTGGGATTAGCAGCAGCTGAGCCCTGTCTGGCCACTCAGGGATGATAGGGGCCGGGAGGTGGTGGGTATTCTGCAGCAGCGATGCCAACCTTCTTGGTACCAGAGACTAGTTTCGTGGAAGACAATTTTTCCATGGATGGAGGGTGGGGGCTGGTTTTGGGATGAAACTGTTCCAACTTAGATCATCAGGCATTAGAGTCTCATAAGGACTGGTCAACATAGATCCCCCGCATGCGCATGCGGAGTTCACAAAAGTGTTCCTACTTCTATGAGAATCTAATGCCACAGATGATCTGACAGGAGATGGAGTTTTGGTGTAAATGCTTACTTACCTGCTGCTCACCTCCTGCTGTGCGCCCGGTTCCTGGCAGGCCTTGGACCGGTACTGGTGCCTGGCCTGGGGACTGGGGATTCCTGTTCTAGAGCTCTATAACCATGAACTTCTTGACCTCCTGGAAGGCTAAGTGACTCATTCTTCCTCCCTGGAGCTTCACTAATCACAGACTCCAACCTGGAACCCCACCGAGACTGCATAGAGTAGCACTGTATTTTGCATTGCTGATGGTTCTTCCTTTTTTTTTCTTTCTTTCCTTTTGGGACAGAGTTTCACTCTTTCACCCAGGCTGGAGTGCAGTGGTGTGATCTTGGCTCACTGCAACCTCTGCCTCCTGGGTTCAAGCGATTCTCCTTCCTTAGCCTCCCTAGTAGCTGGGATTACAGGCGCACACCACCACACGCAGCTAATTTTCATATTTTTTTTTTAGTAGAGTTGGGGTTTTACCATGTTGGTCAGGCTACTCTTGAACTCCTGACCTCGTGATCTGCCCGCCTTGGCCTCCCAAAGTACTGGGATTACAGGCATGAGCCACCTTGCCTGTCATGTTTCTTCCTTTCTGTCAAGAGCTGTGTCTTTATTTTCTTATCACCTTTGATGGTCTTTTATATGAATATAACTTTCATTACTAAAGCACATGCTTTGACTGTTTTCTCATTGGATTAATGCTCCTGATGTTCTCTACTTCATCAGCCTTTTTTTTTTTTTTTTTTTTGAAACAAAGTCTGCCTCTGTCACCCAGGCTGGAGTGCAGTGGCATGATCTTGGCTCACTGCAACCTCTGCCTCCCAGGTTCAAGTGATTCTCCTGCCTCAGCCTCCAGAATAGCTGGGATTACAGGCCTGTGCCACCATGCCAAGGTGGTCTTTTTTTTTTTAAATAGAGATGGGTTTTACCACATTGGCCAGGCTGGTCTTGAACTCCTGAGCTCAAGTAATCTGCCCACCTTAGCCTCCCAAAATTCTCGGATTACAGGCATCAGCCACTGCACTCAGCCACTTCACCAGCCTTTTAAACAAAAAACTCCTGATCATGCATTCATTCATTCATTCAGAAATATTTATTTAGTGCCTGTTATATATTCTGCAGTGTTCTAGGCTCTGGAAATACAGCAACAAATGAGATACAAAATCCTCCACCCTCATAGACCCTACTTTTCAGTGCTATAACCCAAGTATATCTAGTTTAAAGTAACCTCACCTTCATGCTCTGCTTGGAAGACACTTAATTCTCAAGCAGATTTCTCGATATTTAGATCTTTAATGAATGTGAAAATTAACAAAGTATGGTGTTTATCTATGAACCTGTTTAAAGTTAGTGGTGAACTATCACCCATACGCCTATCTGCTAATGCCCAAAGTCTCTGTTTTGTCAAAACACAGGTTCGTGCAAGACAAAGCTTTCTGTAGAGCACACTAATTTCAAACAAAATAACTAATCAACTTATGCACTGTTAGTGGACTTGGTCAACGAATGACTATTTTTAGTACTTGTCTCTGAGAAGGAAATAATTTCTCCTAGGCATTTTCAGAGGATGTTCTTAGAGCACAGCTGCATCTGACTATGCCACTAATAAAATACCCTCTCTCAGGCTTTCATCATTTAGCTGAAAGCCAAAACAGCAGGTAGTTTATAGGCAGTAGGGCTGGTTGAGAAGTGCGTGCTGGTCGGCGTGGAGGGTTAATATCTGCCTTGTCCTCGTTGCAGCAGCTTGCACTGTTGACACAACTATGCTGGTAGGAACTCTCTTCTTTAGATTTCAGGCTCCTCTTCTCCCCTGCACTGGAGCCACATGAGCTATGTCAGGCTAGAGATGGATATTTCGTTGTCACTGATGTTGATATAGAAGTTGGTGCTCTCTGAGTTAATTGGATATAGGCAGAAAACACAGTAAAGAAAAATAACCTGGAATATGATTGTAGTTAAAAGGATGAAATAAGTAAAAGAACAGTGAAATATAACAGAAGAGTACGATGTTACGTTCAGGAGGGAAAAGGGGAGATTTTTTGTAAAGTTCTGTGTTCAAATTTGAAACAAGGCCAAAGAGAATGATAACCATGTTATCTCATCCACAGTTCTGCTTTGTTAATTTGTATAAAAGCACTGCAGGTGTGTTAAAATGTCAACATCTATAAGCTCTGAAACTTTTGTATTCTAATTTTGTGGAAAACTAAAATTCCTTATTAAAATATACTTTGACTTTTTTTTATAATTCTCTCTTAGATGGCTGGCATGGAAGTTGGGAAAAAGATTTTTGCCATTAATGGTGACCTAGTTTTTATGAGGCCTTTCAACGAAGTGGATTGCTTCCTGAAGTCATGTTTAAACAGCAGAAAACCTCTAAGAGTTCTTGTGAGCACAAAGCCAAGAGAGTAAGCTGTATGATTTATGTGTGATTTTTAAAAAGTTATGCATAGATAAGTAAAATAGAAAAGATAACTAAGCAAATGTTTAGAATTAAGCACTCATTGCTTAGAACATTTGAACCTCACCAGTATCACCAATACTGGTTTACAGATGATGGGAGAAGCTACATTGCTTATGATGCTAAAATACTTGTTACTCGAATCATGTAGTTTTAGTAGAAATAAAGTTTTTTTTTACTGCCCAAATTTTCCTGGTCTGGGTTGAACTGAGTTTTACTATGAGTGAAGAAAACTGGTAGAACGTTTGAGAATACAGAACTGTGTTTCTTGATGTTCAGCTGTAAGAATTTCTGGTGCTATCTGGTGATCAGACACCATTTGTAATTCAATACTCATAAGAGATGCAAAAAAGACTGAAAGATAATCCATGCTTGTATGTGGTAATTTGTCCATTTCTTTAAAACAATTCTATTATCTATTTACCTATGATTAGAAGAAAATTTCTGTTTATTATAGAAAATGTGGAGAATACAAATTTTTCTAAAGGGAGATATTTTTTTCTTATAACTCATAAATAACCATTGTTATTCTTTTGAAATTAAGTACTAACTGAAGTTTTTAAAGTATTGGTACACATATACATAAGAGGTACCCACAAAGGAGACCGGGCGCTATATTCTGCTTTTTAAGAACACACCATGCATATACTTGCAAAACATGGACTTTTCCTGTACAAATCATTCCTATCAATGGTCTAGTATTTCCCTATCATATTTACCTTAATTGTTTAACCAATTAATTAATTAAGATAATATGTACAAAGTACTTAGCATAATATATCAAAATTGTTTAGATTTCACTTGAATCATTTGTCAATCATGATAAGCAACTTCATTAATTTTAAAACAAATGAAGCTTAGCACTTTGAAAATAAATTTTTTTATTTTAACTACTTATTAAAATATTATAAGTATATGTAGTTTTCTTCCCTGTCCTAAATATATTTTAATATGTAAAAAGTATAATTATATATTATGTATATTCAGGAATAGCTGGATATGCTTCTGCAGAGTTTAAGAGTTAAAGTGCAGTGCAATGGGCTAGGCTGTCCCTAGTAAGCCTCTTCAAGGCACTATTCATTAAAGTCGATGATTTAGTTTCTACCAATAATTTACCAAGAGGTCTGAAAGAGTGAGCACGACACTCACTCTTTACTAATTTAGGAAGGCTGGGCTAGAGGGCAGCAAAGAAGCACAGCAATGTCTTCCCTCTAAATCTAATTATAGTCTGTTCCTCTTCCTTTATTCAACCCTGGTCTAGGATAAGACTGTCCTGGTTGCCCACCTCCTGACATTTTGAGGGCATTGAAAAGGAAGAAGACAGGCTGGAAAGGAATAAGGGAGTACTATTTCAAAGCAATCATTAGGTCCTCCCTAGGGCCCCCTGATTTAACCCTACAAATACTGGTCCACTGATCAGAGACATTTCAACAGTTAGAGACTTTGAGGCCATCAACTTCAAAACTGAATAAATAGGAATGAATCCTCAGACTTGGTTGCTAGATGAGCAGAATAGGAACCTGTGTCTTCTGACTCTTCTGAGTGTCTGTTGCGCTGTGTCTAGAACTCTGGATTCCAGGTTCAAGCCTGTCTTCTACTACTTGCTAGTGAAGTGTGTAATTACACATCCTCATCCATAAAATGGGGATAAGAGTGCCTATGCTATGGAACTGCAAAGAATGTTGAATAAAACTAGGTTTGTAAAGAACTTAGTGAAGTATCCAGTAAATAGTAAGTACCAGTGATGTTATATATGATGCTGTTGTCTTCTCATTTTATTATGTTTCATTGCTACTTTATTATATCAATTGCATATTTTACATTGTATTTAAAGCATTTTTGAAGATAGCATACTCAGTTTAAAAAATTTGTTTGAAATAAATAACTTTTCCTTTATGTCCTTATTCTAATGTATGAGGTCTATAAATCAGTATCATATTTTCTTATAATAGGTTCTTGGAATTTAAGTAGTATCCCATTTTGAGGGAAAAGGGAAAAATGTGAGAGGTAAATGCCAAAGAATTTTCTTTTGATTCTAGCTATACCTTTTTTTAAAAAAAAAGTTTTTATTTTTATTTTAGATAAAATAAATCATGATCATGCAGAATTGTTGCATAGATACATACATGGCAATGTGATTTGCTGCCTCCATCCCCCATCACCTATGTCTGACTTTTATACACATGATATTCCTCCCCGACATCCCCACCCTCTGCTGTCCCTCCCACAACAGACTCCAGTGTGTGATGCTCCCCTCTCTGTGTCCATGTGTTCTCATTGTTCAGCACTCACCTATGAGTGAGAACATGTGGTGTTTGGCTTTCTGTTCTTGTGTCAGTTTGCTGAGAATGATGGTTTTCAGATTCATCCATGTCCCTACAAAGGACATGAACTCATCGTTTTTTAAGGCTGCATAGTATTCTATGGTGTATATATGCCACATTTTCCTTGTCCAGTCTATCATTGATGGGCATTTGGGTTGGTTCCAGGTCTTTGCTATTGTAAACAGTGCTACAATGAACTTCATACTTGATAACATCAAGAGATTTTTCAAAATATTTTGAAGCAGATAATTTAGCACACTTATTTTCTATAGGAAATAGAACATCCCTCTTGTATGAATGTAATTCTTTTTAAAATTGGGAATATAGTGTTCTCACTAGGGAAACATGTTTTCTAAAGATCAATTTACTAGGAGGATTCCAACATTTGGACCAAAATGCATGTCATGGTGTTTTGTACAATTTTGGTTAAGGAAAAAAATAATAATCATCTTAAAGATTAGAGTCAACCTTCCATAGCAATATTAGAAGGATAGAAAAACCTTGCTCGGAAAGATTGAGACACCTCTATGAATTACTCAAAATCCAAAAGCAACAGTAATTCACCATGGCCTGAAAGTTCTATGTGGTTTCAGCAGAAGTGAATTCTCATTCATAATAGTTAGAAGCATGAACTGCTTCTTTTTGTTTCAGGCCCACCAGAATATGTATTCATTCCCTTTTTCTTTCTTTGGTCAGTTATCTTTCATTTTCAAGTGTATCTTTGACAGACAGTGATAACCATGCGTTATTCAAAGGAAATGAACACAGCCCTGAATAAACACATGAAAAAGTATTTAATTAAGAATAAAGGCTAAATTAATTCTGTGACCTCCATCCCACATACATACAGATAACTTCATAGTGTATAAGCTAATTTATAGTAATACTCTCAAGTTTTCCTAGAGCAGAAAATCTGCATTTCTATCCCTAAATGCCTGTCTAGGTTATATTTGAGATTGCAGTCCCAGACTCTGCCTTAGGCCTAAATGTAGCCTATGGCTTTCTGAAGTGCTCCGAGCCCTTGGTTTTGCTAAAACTGTCTCTAACAGTGATTTCATAAGCTGCAGATAAGTCCTGCTGTATCTACCTTCAGACTCTGTTTAATATGCCCTTGAAGTGCTGCTGACATTTATTTTATGATTAACTCATCTTTTGGGAAACGCTTTTGTTTCTTGGGCATCAAAGGCTATCTATCACAATTTATTGCATTGTATTAATTTGTTTTTATTCCTGACTGTGATATACTCATATTGTTACGATGTTGCCTCATATCTTGTGCTCTCTGCTTTTCATTGATGCTATCTGATTTATGGCTTTCTTCTGTGGAGAGTCTTATTTATGATTGCCAATTGCTCACCCCTGTGGGTTTACCATGACAACTTAAGTTTCCCATCCCTTCGTAATCCTTTTTTTTAATGTAGATTCATTGGAATGATTTCTTCTTTTATTCAGTTTTACCTTCTGCTGTATTGTTTCTTGTAAACTTTCATTCCATAAATACTAAAGTGAATCATTTTCTTAAAATATTTTGATACCATATTTGACAGATCTGTTCTTTATAATTAGTTTTTTTTTGTTCTTTGATAAAGTTCCCAATAGGTAGAAATGTATTAACTCTGTATTTCTGTTGTATTAATTTTTATAAAGAATTTCTTAAGTCACTCAGTTTTTTCTTTGTAACAGTAAACTAAGAAGAAAAGTTCCTGTTTTATTAAGTACCTGCATAACTCATAGCACAGTGCAGAGCAACTCACCAAGGTTATTTATTTTAATTGCCACAGATACCCTACAAAATAACTTTCAAAAATGTTATCTTTCTGTAAAATTTTCTGTGTCAGAGTAGTTAAGGAGCTTATCCAAGTTATCCAGCTATAAACTGACTACATGAAGATTCAAGGCTAGGTTTAACCGGGTGTGGTTGCTCACACCTCTAATCCCAGCATTCTGAGAGGCTGAGGCCAGAGGATTACTTGAGTCCAGTAGTTTAAGACCAGCCTGAGCAACGTAGGAGAACCTGTGTTTATGATAAAAAATAAAGTAAAATAAACAAGCATGGTGTGACCTTGTGCCTATAGTCCCAGCCACTTGGGAGGCTGAGGTGGGAGGATCACTGAGACAGAGAGGTTGAGGCTGCAGTGAGCAGTGATCAAGCCACTATGCTCCAATGTTCCTTTTTCAGGCTTTACTATGTAATGACTGTGTTCAGTTTGGAAACTCCGTATTGCATGAGGTTGGGAACCGTGTTTGTCTCCAAGGATTTCTAGCTCAACATCTTTCACACTGTAGACCCTCAATATGTATTTATTGAGAGGTGTAAAGCTGTACACGATGATTATTTTAACCAATTAAATTCATCTTATTTTCTGATTGATTTAGGACGGTGAAAATTCCAGATTCAGCTGACGGACTTGGCTTCCAGATCCGAGGATTTGGCCCTTCTGTTGTGCATGCTGTAGGAAGAGGTAGGAAATTCGTCTTGCAGGGAAATAGCTTTTCAGCAGGCTTGAGATGTGCCTGGCAGAACAGGAATGTGTTTAAAACATGCAGAATCACATTATGATCCTCAATCATATTTTCACTGTATTAATTCAATGGTTGCACATTGCAGAAACATTTGAACAAACTCAAAAATTCTAAGGCATACTTTTCATTGCTAAAAATTTGATGTAAGAATGATGCCTAAATGTCACTTTTCTGCATGCTTTAGTTTAGTTTATCCAAAGAATATAATAAATTTAAGGTTTTCTATTTTTATTTTTCTTGATTTCAAATAATTGTACTTCTTTGTCAATAATCCAAAGTTGTGAGTTTTCAGGTTTAAAATTGATCTGTGGACTTATAACCTATTGCTATATACCTCCCTCAGGTACTTCTGTAAACCATGGTTAAATCTCATCTAAGATGCATTTTAAATTCAATAATTTTAGTGACTAAAAAGTTATGTTTATATTTATTCTTTTTTGTTTGATAGGCAAATTAGCTATTGACAGCTCTTGTTATCATATGTATTTTTTAATTTTAAATTGACACTAATAATGATTGAAGGAAATAACTCTAAGATCCCACATTGCTAAACATAGTAAATAGCTTGCGGCCATAGCAAGAAGTGTTACTATTAGCATAAGAAGTCGTGTGTTTATCTAACAAGAGGCATACATACTTTTTATTAGTAAGGAATATAAAGGATCTTGATGTGATCACCCAAAAATTTGGCTTGAAAATTTTAAGAGAGCATTGCTATCAGAATCAAATTTATCAAGAACATATTAGCTACACCGTTTTTAGATTGTAACATTACTTTCATTATTGTATGTATGATAAAGAATCTGATTTCAGAAACCTATCTTTTCTCTCAGATTTCTAAAACATACAGATGGACAGACAGTTAAGACCTTTCCAATAATTCAAATATTATCAACTGAAATGGAATATTGAGACTTCAAATATCTTCTGCATTTTCACTAAGCCAAAAAGGAGTAATTCACATTAATGGTACTATAAAATAGCTGAAAGCCTAAGTGAATCAAGCTGTACCTCTTCCCCTATTACAATGTCATTTAAAGAGCAAGGTTCTATCTTTGGAGCTTAGTGATGGGGTTGGTCTATTCCTGGTTTCTGTGCTTTCTGCTTCTGAAGAGTAAAAGACAGGAATGCTCAAGTGCTTTCCCTTTCAGATGTGTATGAAATGAAAATATATTATTTGGTTATTTTTTGGCGCTGTAATTTTGCCACAAGAAAAAGAGATTTCTTGTGTGGGTCACTGCAGTCGCACTCCACAGCATCCTCAGGCTCCCCTGACCCCCACCCTCAGCTGCATCCAAGCTACTGCACTTCAACCTTGGATCAACCTAACCACCTCTTCTCTTTTTCTCCCTGTAGCTAGAAAAAACTCCCACGGTTATTGAATTAGTGTCTCTTAATTCCCTGTTTGTCTTCTGCTGGGCCCATATTACTTCTCAGCATTTTAAAAAATGTGTCCTTGATCAGTTTTTTTTCCTCCTCAAAATTGCTTCCTATATCACAAGATGAACTTGTTCCTACTTTATAGACAAAGTCAGCCTTTCAGACATGAAGCCCTCAGAGTCTTCCATATATAGCAAGGTTGAGATTCTTAGGCAAGGCAAGGACTTCACAGTCTGGCTCTATTCAACTCTGCAACCCTGTCTCTTCCAGCCACTCCCATTCTAAGCTCACACAAACAACAACTTGGATGCTTCCAAGTGGCCAGGTTTCTTGAAGCAATGCCATTTTTCAGATGTTCTTTCTGCTGAGAATTTTCTATCTTCCCCTAAAATTCAATTCAATGAAAAAAAACACAATATTTCTAGGAGGGAATTTTATTGGGGACTAAGAAGAAATGTAAATATATATTCTTAAATGTAAATTATTTTCTTAAGATGTTTAATAATTTATGAGAGAACTTGGTCACAAATGAAGTCTCTTCTAACATATTTGTAAGTTTGTAATCATTTGTATTATTTATTTGCGTTGTATTCATTACATGTATTAATGGTACTTTGTTAATATTGATTTGATCATACTAACAAATAACAATGATTGGGAGGTTCTGAGAAATCTTAGCTCACTGGTTAGGATATGTTAATTTCATATTTAAATCTATATCAATGTGAGCAACATGACTGGATGGGTGATGTTATCTCATTAATTCTGTTCTCTACAAATTCTCTGGTTTCTGACATATTGTATATATCTCAAACTCTTATTTTTCTTGGAAAAACCAGTCCAATAATAGTTGCTAATTCACTTGATTTTTCTGTTAAATATTTTCTTTTTTATATGCATGTTAAATTGTTGGAATTTTAAAAAACAAAAGTGAATACTATTTGAATATTTAGAAATGTTGTAGAGTAAAGGAAGCTAAATGAGGCGTATGTTTCTGGTCTTCTTCTAATTTTGCCATTATATATGTATACCTAGAAAGTTAGCTTGACTAGGCATTTGAAAGGAAAAATAACTGATTAGTATCATAGAGGTCACTTTGCAACATCCCTTCAAACAAATTCTTAGGGAGTTGAGAAATATTTTATTGATCGCAGTTTGAAAGGTAAGTTAAAAAGCAGAAAGGTGTTAAGAGGGTGTTGCTTTCAAAACCAAGTTTATCAAGTTTATACTAGCTAGACCTTGATCGTATTTTAAAATTGCTTCTATAATTGTATATATCATAAAAATGAATCTTATTCCTGAAATTAGTTTTTGGTTATTTTCCCATTTGTGTTTAAAGGAACTGTGGCCGCCGCAGCTGGCCTTCACCCTGGACAGTGTATTATCAAGGTGAATGGAATCAATGTCAGCAAAGAGACACATGCCAGTGTCATTGCACATGTGACAGCCTGCAGGAAGTACAGGCGGCCAATGAAGGTAAGTAGCCCTTCAACTAATCTGAATCTGAGTGAATACTTGCAGCCAAGACCTAAGGGGCGAGGTGGGATAGTGCCGGAGATGTTTCTGGTTTCCAATTTTAAGTTTAAAATTAAACACAGCATTACAGACCTCATAATTATTGCTTTATCTCATAATGAATTATAATTGATTGTGTCTAAATGGTTACATTTTATTATTACAATACTGCCATCTGTTTAAAAAGGGATCTAGGGTATTTTCATTTTCATTGAGATATGAGTTTTATGAAATTGAAATCCAAAGGTTTGATATGTTTTCTTGGCCCTTCTGATTGCTTTAGAATATATAATGATCATTGCGTCTGTGTCTATATGTATGAACTCAACATACCTATTCTCTTTATTAGAACACTTCTATGAAAAAGCAAAAATTGTGGGTTTTATAAGGTCTGTGATTGATTTTGAGGTATATTTATTTAGGTAACTCGATTTAGCTCTTAAAGGAAAATACCAAAATGTACTTGCCATTACTAAAATTGTAAACACTATACTTTGATCAACATGTGCCACAGAAAACTAAAATTAGAATCATAATTCATAAGCAAAGCTATTGCTGTTATCTCATGAAGAAAAAGTCAGTATTGGACTATAAGAGAAAATTCCCTGTTTAATCAGCTAGATGCAGGCAGAACCTTACAGGAGAAGCCTTGTATTTTCCTGTCATGCATAATGAAGTACTGATTTCTGGATGTGAGGATGTAACTGTGTCCAAACCTGGAAAATGATTGGCCATATTCTCATAAGCCAGTGCTGATGGCCTGCAGAATACTGAATCTACATGAAAATAGCTGATCAATTTTACTTGATGAGAAGGTCAGATCTAGCATAGCAAATTGGAAGTTATACATAGGCTCATAAGTTACTCTGGTTGATAGTAGCTTGATAAATATTTGTTGAACTATATTATTGAATGAATATTTAAAGTCTTTTCTAAAATGATCAAATCTCTTCTACAGGAATGTTAATAAGCAGACAAATCAATTTGAGTTTCATTTCTTTTTATTTTCCTTGCATACTCTCTTACAGAGGTGTTGATCAGTGAAGTAATTAAAGAAAAGAAATAAATGGGCAGAAAATCCACTGAGTAACATGTTCTCTCAGGTAGCTGTTGCCGCAAAATAGACCACTCCAAAACTTAGTGGCCTGAAACAATGATAATTGACTATTTGTCTTAATTCTATGAGGCAGCTGTGGGGTGATTCCTATGAGATTACTGACATGGCTGCATTCTACTGGGACCCAAGCGAGCACTTTGTTTCCCCTGTTCATGGCCTTTGTTTCCATGTGGCAGGTCACCCTCCAGAGCCCATTTGCATGGCCTCTCTTTCCAGTCTCTAGCAGGTTCTCCTTTCTGCGTGGTGTCTGAATTTTAAGAGGGAACATTACAAATGATAAACCTTCTACTTAGATTGTACTTGCTAGTATCCCTTTGGATAAATCAAATCATGTGGCCAAGCCCAGGGTCAACATGGGAAACTAAGGGGTGTGGCTCACTGGCGGCCACAACAGGGTACCAAGATGTAATGGAATGGTCAAATATTAACTAGCATTTTAATAATTTATAGCAAGATAGTAATTAGACACACTTGGGAAGCTAATACAAAAAATAGATAATACATATTGTATCACACTTCAATAATGCAGTTTAATTTGATTTAACATCTTATCTAGAAAATCTATAAACCTTAAAGTAATGCAACTCTCGAAGCATTTGTTTGGTATCACTTCATCTCTCTCATTTCTCTAAATAAGACTGGAACTGTGGTTAAAATATAGGATAACTTTTAAGGAAATTGCCCTTAAAAAGAGGATGACTTTTTATTTGGGAGGATTAAAAGATAGTTACATTATTTGGGATACCAGTGAGATGAATGATGTCCTTTCAGTTTTCATATTTGTTTGATTCTAAAAAAGCAGTAAATGTGTTAGAATATATATATTAGGAGAACATTTAAATGGTTTGTACAATTACAGATAACTGATTCATCAGGCAACTCTCCCTCTCACATTTATTTTATTTTGTTGTCTTGTTAATGAGAGATGTTGCCTAGGTTGGTCTTGAACTTCTGGGCACAAGCAATCCTCCACCTCAGTCTCTGAAAGTGCTGAGATTACAAGTGTGAGTCTCTATGCCCAGTCACAGTTGATTATTTTAAAATGTGATTTTTAACTTATTTAAGATATAATTGAAGCATTTGGAAATATATCCTATTTAAAAACATACATCTTTGGAATGTAGCTTAGAAGATAAAACTTGAAGCTGTAAAAAGTCAGTTTGTCAAATAATATAATTTTCCTTGACTTTCTATTTGTTTCTGATGTTGTTTGTATCTCTCTTTCAAATTTTATTATTTTTTAAAAAAATAGAAGAATAAATAAGGTCCAGTCTCCTTTCAAAGCAGGTTTATGAAATGGGCATGTGTTTTAGGAAGCACTAATACCTCCGAGGTTTCTTCCGCTCTCATTTCCAGCAAGATTCCATACAGTGGGTTTATAATAGCATTGAGAGTGCTCAAGAGGACCTTCAAAAATCTCACTCCAAGCCCCCTGGAGATGAAGCAGGGGATGCTTTTGACTGTAAAGTAGAAGGTAGGTGTCCTCTTTTCCCTTCATGTGCTTATAGTATTCTTTTCCATGTGCCTGTGGCCTACTCCCAAATACTCAAGGTCCTGTATATGTTGAAGCCACATTCTTAAGTCATTATCACCAAACAGATGTCTTTCAAATGCATACGTAATAATAGCTAGTAGCTAGCAAATTCTATTCATTAGACATTTTGTGAAGTGTTTTATACGGACTATTTCACTTAGTCATCAAAAAAGAAATCTCATAAAGTGGGAATGAGTATCATCATTCTTTTTTGAGGGGAGAAAACACTAACGCCTATATAGGTTAAGGGACTTGCTCAAACTGGTTAAGTAGCAGAGTGAGGATTCAAACCCAGATTATAATGTGTTTCCTTGTTTGGAGTTTCAGTGTTGTTTAGACCTGGTCTCCAGTGTGCCTCAACAGAGCAGCAGTATCAACATTGCTTGAGAGCTAGACTGAAATGTAGAATCTCAGCTGTACCCCACCTCTCCTGAGTCAGAATCCTCATTTTAACTAGATCTGATTTGTATGCATACTAAAATTTGAGAAGCCCCAATCTAGAAAGTTATTTTTACTTTTACTGTAGTCTAACATTGACAGTAAGGAAAGGGGCAAACTAGTAGTATGAAAATGAGAGAGAAATAGAGGAAGAGATATATTTTGATAAGGACGGTTATCATTTCTGTTTTCTCAATGGAGTAAACCAGCAAATGGCTGTGTTTAGTGGCTTCTTTGCCAAGGGCAACTCAGGCAATTACATTTATGTCTGCAATTGACAAATACCTTGAATTACTGTTTCAAAACTTTTTCACAGAAGCCCACGAATCACCTCTTATATTTTCTTGGTGTCTTTCCACTCATATTATTGGTAGGTGTCTCTGGATATTTTTATTACACTGTTAGTTTCTTCCCAACCAGCACAGCGGGAGAATTCCCTATTTTGAGGTGTTTTCATTCACAACCCTTCTGATACCCTATGTGTAGAGGTTTCCCCCCATACCAACCAATTCTCCAAACCTCCTAACACCAACTGTCTGTCCTACAATTCAATTTAGTTGTAAAGCCAGAAGTTAGCACACACCCACAGGTTAGGTGATCAGTCCAAGGTTGCCCCCATTTCAGATGCCCGTCATGTGCCCCAGGCTTTTACCTGTATTGCTGACCAACTGGCTATACCTTCGGGGTGTTCCCACATCCCTTCCTGGGGTTCAGTTATTTGCTAGAACAGCTCAGGGAACTCAGAAACTTACAATCATTGGTTTATTATAAAGGTTAAGAAATGAAAAGCTCATGAAGAGATAAACAGGGTTGTGTCCAGAGGAGTGCTGAGCACCGAGCTCTGTAGGGGAAGCTGTGGGAGGGGTTGGGGTGTGCCACCCTCCAGACACGTGGGAATGTTCCCTCACTCAGAAGCTCCCTGATCCCTGTCGTTTAGGAATTTTTATGGAGGTTCCATCCCCTAGACATGATTGATTAAATCATTAACCATTTGTGACAGAACTTCAACTCTATCCCCTCTCCCCTCCCCAGAGGTCCAGGGGTGGGGCTGAAATCTCCAACCCCCTAATCGCTTGGTTGGTTCCCCTGACTACCAGCCCCCATCCTGAAGCTAGCTGTGGGCTCACCAAGTACCACCTCAATCACATAAACTCAGTTATGTTCCAAGGGGGCTTGTTATAAATAACAAAAGACACTCCTGTCACCGCTATCGCTCAGTAAATCACAAGGATTTAAAAGCTTTATTTTAGGAACAGTGGCCAAATACCAAAATCTTTCTTTCTTTCTTTTCTTTTTTTTTGAGACAGAGTCTTTCTTTGTCAACCAGGCTAGAGTGCAGTAGTGCAGCAGTGTGATTATAGCTTACTGCAGCCTTAAATTTCTGGGCTGAAGGGGTCTGCCATCAGTCAGTTCCCTACCCCATCTAGCAGCTGGGACTAAATGCACATGCCACCATGCCCAGCTCATTTTTTTTTTTTTTTAAATAGAGACAAGGTCTTGCCATGTTGCCCAGGCTGGTCTCAAACTCCTGAGCTTAAGTGATCCTCTCACTTGGCCTCCCTGACTATTGGGATTACAGGCCTGAGCCATGGCGTCCAGACTATATTTCTTATTATATATTCCCTATACACACTGATCATATGGGGGGTACTTAGGAAAAGCTGTTTTCTCTCCACTCCTGGAGGGCCACTTGGTTGGATCCTACCCAAGTCATGGATAATATCAAAAGCATCTCAATCTCATTGGAGCAATGAGGTTGTTATCATAATACATAATATTTATCTCAAACAGCACAAATCTCAGGACCTTATTCTGAGGTTTATATTCCTAATTTGGAATAAATCAACCTTGGTGCCATGTTGAAAGGTAGATTGGTTACTATGATGCTCTGGAAATTGATTCGTAGCTATTGTAGGACTTAGTTACTTTAAGGTAAATCAACATTCTACTTTTGCCTATTTAATATTTACTGTTTATGCTATTTTAGGGCTCTTTTGTTCTAAGTAAACTAGTATTCTAGTTTTATTTATTTAATTGCCATTAGGCTTCCCAGGAGTTTCTTACTTAAGATTTTAGGTATTTTTTTCACCAGCTGTTGTACTGTATGTAGGCTAAAAAACTATAGGCAGACATTTTAGATGGAAATTTAATTATAGCGAAGGAGAAATTTTTTCAATGAGCCCTCTCTGTAAGATGCTGTTTGGGAAACTGCAGGCACCTTGTCTGCCAAAATAAGATAATTCTTGCATCTCCTTTCTGCTTCTTCAACATGGTCTTCTTTATGGATTTTTTTTCCTGCTTTGAGAAAATATTCATATAAAATTCGGGGCAGTTTTAGAAATCCTGACTTTAAGTCATACATGTTTTTAATTAAAAAATTTATGTATAGTATTTATATTGGTATAAATAGATATACATATGGTCCATAGATCGAAGTGGATATACAAAGATAAGACTAGTCATGTTAGAGTGGTGAGGTTTGGATCATTCAAGCATATGATTTTCTCAAAGTGTTATTTTTTTAAATGTTAACAAGGATAGATGCTTGACTTAACACATCAGATTTAACCATCCTTTAAAGAACTGTTTAAAAATTATGTAAAGAGACACAAAATTATTTGAGGAGATTAACAAACCCTTCTTGAATCTGCTGAATTACAATTGTCTTTATTCCAGAGGTCATTGACAAATTCAACACTATGGCCATCATTGATGGGAAGAAGGAGCATGTGAGTCTGACAGTGGACAATGTCCACCTGGAATATGGTGTCGTGTATGAATATGACAGCACAGCTGGCATCAAGTGCAATGTGGTGGAAAAGATGATTGAGCCCAAAGGTTTCTTCAGCCTAACTGCCAAGGTAGGGGGGATGCTGAAGAAACAAGATATTTTGTTCTAAAAAAAGCAACTAAATCCTCCCCGTCCTTCACTTAAAAAAATATAAATAACTGTACATGTTGCAGCTGTCAGCTCATTCAATTTCTTTATTTCTTCTTCTTCTTCTTTTGTTTTTTTTGAAGACAGAGTCTCACTCTGTCGCCCAGGCTGGAGTGAAGTGGTGTGATCTTGGCTCGCTGCAACGTCTGCCTGCCAGGTTCCAGCGATTCTCGTGCCTCAGCCTCCCAAATAGCTGGGATTACAGGCAGGTACCACCACACCCAGCTAATTTTTCTATTTTTAGTAGAGATGATATTTCACTAGTTGCCCAGGCTGGTCTCAAACTCCTGACCTCAAGTGATCCAGCCGCTTTGGCCTTCCAAAGTGCTGGGATTACAGGCGAGAGCTACTGCACCCAGCCTCATTCCACTTCTTATTTTTCCCTCCTTCCCCCACTATTTGGCAGGCACACAACTTCCCTTTTTGATCCTTTCAGAGCACAGTGTTAAGTTAGATAAAACCCTTGCTTAGGCAGGTGTTTGTGGATATGGCAGACTTCACAGCATTTATTAAGTTTGCTGCATCTGTTAATTCATTGTTGTTAATACAATTCAGATGGTCCTCATGACAGATGCTGCTTTTTTTTTTATTGCACATAATCCTCTGAAGAGTATTCAGAGTCGTGAAATACATTACAAGAAATTTCAAATTTGGCAAGTACTGTGTTTATTTCATAAAATTTTGAAAGCTGTAGGGGGCAGTTTTGAATAGATCCTCCGATATTTATGCAGTTCTCATTTGGAAAGGACATCACCTTTCCAAAGGTCCTTAGACTGAAACGAGATGGAGAGAGGGAGGAAGGGAGTCTTTATCCAAATGAATAAATACATGGTAAAGAGGCAACTGCTGGCCTTTCAGGGCCTGCCTACAAGGTAAATTCGTCAGACTCCTATTGTATCCTCCACAGGTCTTGGATTTAGTGTTTCATATGACTCTTGTATTACATGTAAGAAAAATGAGATGTAACTTTCCTACCTTTATTTCTCTATTTGAATTGTTTGAAATATGAATAGCTGAGATCAATTTAGCATTTCTAACATGTATTTTAAAAATTCAGTGGGAGGAAATAATATAGAGAGCTAAATGAACTATTTTAAGTATAATTATCTTCTTGTTTTATATTCTGAAATTTAACTTTTTAAAAATCTCATTACTCTGATGTTATTGTACCTCTCTATGTATCTACTGATATCTAAAAATATATATTTTTAAAATGCAGTCTCTTCCCAACTACATTATAGTATTAATGGAATCCATGTAAAAGTTTGGGACCGGATTACATAATTATTTTCTCAGTTACCAGCAATTTCAAGTTTGCAGAATTACTTGGATTATTCTACATATGACAACTGTATAAGCTAGTATTACAAATTTCACTTGGATTTTACACATGAAGAAAAGACAGTCAAAGAAGTAAGAAATTTAGCCAGGGTCACACTGCTAATGGTAATGTTAGCTCTAAGTTCTAGACTAGTGATTAAATAAAAACTCATACTCCATAGTTAGCATAAAAGGGAAGTGGAAGTCGTGTGGGAGCTCAAATTAATAGAACATATTTACATTTATGTTTCACAGAATATTATAAAAATATTGGTTATGGGTATAATCAATTCTTGTAACATCTGATTAATCAGAAATTTATATACCACATAATTAATTCTCAGGTCATTGGAAATTCCTAGTGATTGATGGCATACCTTCTCCCCCAACACATGTCATTACAATTGATTCAAATATTCAAAAGAATTTACTAATTGAAAATATCCCATAAATACTTTTATCTAATGCTTTTATCACCAAGATCTCAGATGCTGCAAGTAACATTAGTTTCTACCTTACTGAAATAACTTTTCATTTATTAATTTCTTCAGCAAGCATTTGTTAAATACATCCTTTCTGTACTTGCTAGGTTCTCAGTAACAAGTAAAGTATCGGATATTGGATTCCTTTATTTATTTATTTATTTATTTGGTTCTATCAAATTGAGAAAAAAAAATGTTCTGAGTGACTCTGACTAAAATGTAGAAGTGTCCTCACATTAGAATGTACTGATTTATCCAACAGGGAGTCTTTGAAGTCCAGTTATACCTCACCAAGCAGGCTCCTATAGTTAGCAGAAGGAAAACCTGAAATTTTGAATAGACAAGTCAGATCGCTTCACCGACAGTGCCTCAGTGAAGGGAGAAATTCCCCGGCAGCTACTCAGGGAACAAAATGGGAAAGTCACGCTGTATTGTTAACTTATGAAAATTTGATGTGGCTAGTTTTGAAGTTTTTCTTCTTGTTTTGTTTTGTTTTGTTCTTCTGTGTGTGTGCCTGTATGTGTGTCTGTGCGTGGGTGTGTGGGTGTGCATGTGTGTTTGTCATTGCAGATTCTTGAAGCCCTGGCTAAAACTGACGAGCATTTTGTACAAAACTGCACCAGTCTAAATTCTCTAAGTGAGGTGATTCCTACTGACCTTCAGAGTAAATTCAGTGCCCTTTGTAGTGAAAGAATTGAACACATTTGTCAGAGAATATCCAGTTATAAAAAGGTAAGGGTTCTATTGATTTTACACATAATTATCATTGAAATTATTTAAATGTCAACTTTAAATCAATTCTTGATATTTTCTTTACATATTTGTTAGGCATCATTCTATTGAAATGATAACATTATGTGACATTTTAGAGTTTTTAAAATGCCTTTATATTCTTTACCTCCTTTGATCTTTGCAAACTTGTAAGTTATGTTACTGTCCCGCATCTTCAAAATATAGTAACTGAGGCCTAAATAATTAAATTATTTTCTAGTGAAAGGTAGAGCTGGGCATTGAAGTTCTTCTTTTCTTTTCTCCCAACTAGGAGAACAAAAGCACTCGATCATAAAGTACATGGACTGTGGCCTTTAAAAAATTCATTAATTAAGTCATTCATTTGACATATATTTATTAGGCACTCTCTATGTGCCAAGTGCTGTTGTAGGTTCCAAGAATATAGCAGGGAAGGAGACAATTTCTCTCCTCTCATGGTGCTCACATTCCAGGGTGGGAGAGACAGTAAAGAAGTAAATAAATCCCTACAAAGGGAGAAAGGAAAATATTGAGAAGAGTTATGAGGAAATCAAAAGAGGAAAGTATGGTTTAAGTGCCAGGTTGATTCTTTTGACTGGGTGGCTAGAGAAAGCCTCTTTGAGAAAGTGTGTATCTGCATGACAAGTAAAACTCTCCCTTTCAACTGGAGAGAGAAGCCTCCAGAGAGAAGGAACAGCTGGGACTGAGGCCCTAAAGCAGAAAGAAGGCCAGGGTAGCCAGACAGTGGTGGCCAGGCGTAAGGTCAGAGGCGTAGGCAGGGCCAGCTGTGAAGAGCTGTGGCAGCTCCTGTACATTTTGAGACTTGAGAAGGAGTTTGGATTTTATTCTTATTTCAAAGAAAACCCGTTGGAAGATTTTAAGCAAGGGGATGACTTCATCTGATTTAGGCTTTTGAAAGATCATGCTTTTGTAGGAATGGATTGCAAGGGGGCAGAAATAGAGATTGGTAGCAAGCTGTTGCAATGGCCCAGTTGAGTGATGTTGATGGCATGGATACACTGAAGATGAAGGAGACAAAAAACATTAGATGAATTTGGGGACACACTTTAGAGGAGAATTAATGGGAATTGATCTCCAAAACATTATGCTAAAACAAGTTTGAAAATTGTTCTATTTATAACAATAAAAGACTGTTGATTAAATTATTTCCCTCCAAATAAAGCTGGTTGTTTAAAATTTGGTACAGCTCTACTAGATAATATTATTTAGATCAATGTATATAAATATGTATTGTGTCTATATTTTATGCTCTTGACATGGTAATTTAAATAAGCCCATATATGTCTATATTTGGCTGCATGAGAATAGGGGTGTGTGTGAATTAATACCCAAGGGACTCACAACGTTGGTTCCCTAAAGTAATTGAGACAAAGGAAAAGAGATCATGATTTTTTCCTTCAAACAATTCCTATAATGTTGGGCTTGTTGAGTTGAGTTTGCATTACTATTGTAATTTTTAAAAAGTTAATTCACGTGAAGAAACCTAATATTCAGGGCCATTGCTTACCTACCACATTTGTTAATCTGCTTTTCATAACTGCTGAGTTCAGTTCCGCTATTTAAGTTTGAGGAAGATTTCATGAATGTGCCTTGTTGGAGTTGAAAGACAGAAGATTCTTTTCTTCTCCTTTCTCTATAAAATGTGACAGTGCATTGATGTAAAGTTTAAAAGGTCTAAACAAATGCAAATCAGTATTCTCCTTTTGGAGGCATTTTGAAAAAGAGAGTCATTCTACTTTAGAGATGGATCTGTACAAGGCGTGATACGGGTTCAGGCAGATTCTGGGTGTCAAACTGGTCACTGTGGTGCCTGGAACATTTCTCTTTTGCTTTCTTCCTGCTTTCCTCTCTTCATTCTTTCATGCAGCAAAAAAGTGCAAGTAGCTGAAAGAGGCATACGTGGAACTACATAAACAAATGTAATCTTTAGATCGGGGTATATTAGGTAGCAAATTGATGCAGCTGCTTTAAGAATAAGAACCTAGAGAACACAGACTTAAACAAATATTGGAGATCCTCAAAAACATCATCCTGGAAGGGTAGAAGTATGTTCCATTTACTCACAAGTAACTGAGGTCCTAGAAGCTTTTAAGGTGCAGATGGACAGGCTAATGGCCAATGATTTTAGATGGTAAAAATAATGTCACTGAATTACAGAAAGCCCTTTTATGTACATTATTGTTACTTGAGTCTCAAAATAGCCATGTATATGTACTCATCTCTCATCCTGCCTCTTTCTTTGGGAGATTAAGAATTTGCTTAAGGTTACATAGGTGGCAACTAACAGACTGGGTTCCTATGGAATGCAGTCTCACTTGTATTTACTTTGAATTTAGAAATAAAAAAGAGACATGTAGTCACCTAGGGCCTATGTGTTTTAAAAACTATCCTTGTCATCGTCCCATTTGGCCATAAACATATTTAAAATAACTGGTTTTCTCATTAGAGAAGCAAGGTTAGCAAGAAAATTTTGCAAAGATCTTTTCAATTTGCATAAGATTTATATGCCTAAGATGATAGCCCTAATAGGTCACATAAGACTAGCTCCATTTATGTATCAAATGCACATCAACAGAACCCATAGCATTTGTGAATATAGGTTTTTAATTTTCACACATTACTTTAAAACTATTATTAGCAACGTATTTTTCTTCCTGATGAAGGCTTCAACACTCTTCTTTTTGTGAAATAAAATGTATCCATAGAAACGAAAATCTCAAAGATGCTGGCTTTCCCTTATTTTGACTCTGAAAGTTTTAGGTTTTAAAAATAGAAGCCAGTTGATTTCTGTAATTTCTATAGCAAGGCTGTTGTGATTATAATAGATTTCCTGGCTGGTTGTACAGGCCACAGATGTTTTTTGGCACATGTGTGAGACCTGCTCAGACCTTACTGAAGACCTGAATGAATCCTAAGGGAGTCTTTTGTCTCTGTGGAACAGGATTTGGGGACAATTCAGATGTAAAACTATGCCCTGTTGGGAGGAATGCTTTCTCCCTAAATTGTCCTGAAAATGCTTCTTAGTTTTACATTCGTTCTTCTCCTTTAGAATAATTCCATAATTGGGCTTATTTTGGGTATTGGGGATATTTCCTAGATAGAAATATTTAATACACCTTCAAGAGATAGTTCTTGTTTACACAAAAATCTTACATGCGGAAACTGGAAGTCTTCCTTTGAATATTTGAAGTCCCTCTTTACTTATTAATGCCTTGTAATCCTCACACTGATATATGGACTGGGAAAATTGTGGGAAAAAAATCTTCCCCATGTCCCCTTCCCTCAAAAGGGTACAATACAAAGCTTTCCCAACCCCATGCCAAAAGATTTTATGCTTAATTGAAATAGGAAGCTATCTGCAGAATAATAGCTTGCCATTGTGTTACTTCTTTTAGTTAAGTGACTATAGTTGGAATAAAATGTGCTGTCATAGTCAATAATTCATAAATTAGCTACCAATGCATTAACAACCTGAAGTTCCATCTCCAGAAATTGCTGATTCCTGTCAGTGTATAAATATGCTTTAGTATCACCTATATTAAAAAGTAATATCCCTCGCCATCCCACACAGTTGCATTTCTTTGATCTTTCTCCTGGAAAATGCTGTCCCGGCTGTCTCACCTTCATTCCCCTCAGCACACTCCAGTGAGGCTCTGCTACCCTCCAGGTAGCTGACATGGCTGTGTTTTGCCAAAGTCTATTGGCTGTCCTCATAGCATTCTTCCTGGTCTTAGTGGGATCTGATGCAGTTGACCGTAAACCTCTACTTGGCAGTTCTCTGTGACCCCACATATGCCTGGGTTTTGTCCTTTCTTATGGGGGCCCATTTGCGGTATCCTATGCTAGCTCTGCCTTTTCTTCCTTCCCCTTTCCTCCAGGGCTCAGGACTCAGTCTTCTCCTTTTCTCGCTACATTCTCAATCCCCTGGGGATCTCATTCAGGGTCCTGGCCCATTTGACCTCTGCAACTGGTTTCGTCAATATCACAGGCTTCACAAGTTCCAAATCAGCTCTTGATCCTTCCCCTACCCACCCAGTGGCCCCTGCAGTTTGCTTTTTCTGCTCTTTTCTCTATCTCCAGATTATGCCCATCCTCCCCATTGCTCAGCCTAAAACTTTGAATACATTCTTCACTTCCTTTTCTCTCACATCATTCTTGTGGCTTTACCTTCAAACATGCAGCCTTTTCTTCCTACCTTTACTGCCTTGGGTGAGCCAGTGGCATTTCTCTCCTATAAGTGGTCTTCTTGCTGCTCTCAACCAATCCACAGTTGTCCTGAGTGGCTGTACACTTCACTCATGGTCAAAGGAAAATCCTTTCAATGGCTTTCAGGATTTGTGCCCTCCCTCCCCACATTGCTTCTCCAATCCTACCTCCTCTTCCTCCCTCTCACTGCTGCTCTGATCACGCTGGTCTTCTTGATATTCCTTGGACACACCAGCCCTGGGGCCTTGCAGTGGCTGTTCCATCTGCCAGAAATTCCCTTTCAGATGTTCACATTTCTAACTTTCCCCTCCTTGCAGACTGCTGAAATGCCAGCTTCAATGAAGCCTGCCTTAATCATCCTGGTTACAATTGGTAATCCATTCTTCAGTTCATCTCTGAAACTTCCAGCCCTTTTACTCTGCTCAATTTTGTTTTCAGTTACATTTGCCATCCACCCACATTATATAATTCGCTTACTGTATTTACTGTTGACCTCTCCTCTCACTAGAATATGACCTCCTGGAAAGCAGGAATCTTTGTTTTGTTTAGTGATGTTCCCCAGCATGCTAAAGATGGTGGCTGATGCACAGAGAGCCCTCCACAAATCATTGTGGATAAATGAATAAAGGTGGCAGTAAGTTTGGGCTTCAGGTATCCCTAATGGATCTAAAATCCTGTCCCTCTCAATGCACCTCTTTACTGCAAAAATTGCAGTTTTTATTTGGGGATTGCTACTACTTGACACAATCAGAATGTGTTCTCATGCACGAACCACAGTCAATCCATGAACTGTACCTTCCTTATTTTAGGTTCAAAGTTTCAGAAAGTTCTTACAGTTTCACAGCAGGGCATGCTGTCTGGGAGCACAGTTTTGATCTTCACAGTATAAGTAGCACATTTCCAGTACCTGTGACTACAGGGTTCCTCCTGCAGCCTCCTCCTCTCTTAGGGATATCCCAGGATGGAAGACAACACTGCATTCCTGAGAAACTTCCTTCCCAAGAAGAGCTCTTAGCAGAGAGATACCCTGTCTGACTCTTACCCTTTGGAGCAGTTCAGGCACCTTTAGGCATGGTACCACAGCCCTTCCTAGAATATGGGCAGGGCACATCCTGGATTCATAGGCATTTGTATTGAGCTACAGGTTGGAAAGCCAGTCCCCCTAGCAAAGGAATCTTCTGCCAGCTCTCCCCAATCACTCTGTTAACACTTCATGATGCCACCCTGTTCATTTCCTTTTCAGCTTGTACCAAAATTTCTAATTATCTGGCTTTTACATGTATTATATAATTGTGTAACATTTCAGTCAATGACAGACCATATACATACATAAAATGGTGGTCCCATAAGATTATACTACTATATTTTGGCTCTATTTTTTCTATGTCCAGATATGTCTAGTTACGCAAATACTTATTGTGTTATAATTCTCTACAGTATTCAGTACAGTAACATGATGTACATGTTTGTAGCTTAGGAGCAACAGGCTACATTATCTAGCCTGGGTGTGAAGCAGGCTCTACCATCTAGGTTTGTATAAGTATACTCTATTTGATGTCCACATAACAAAATAACCTATTGATGCATTTTTCAGAATGCATTGCTGTTGTTAAGCAATGTGTTATTGTATTATATATATGGCACGTGTATGAGGTTGTAGCAAAAGTAATAACGTTTTTTGCCATTCAAAGTAATGGCACAGAGAGCCTTCCACAAGTCATTGTTGGATAAATGAATAAAGGTGGCAGTAAGTTACATTAAAAGTAATAGCAAAAACCACAATTACTTTTGCTCCAACCTAATAATCGCAACAAATAATTCTTGCATGTGGCAATAGTATTGCATTTTTTTCCCCTGTGTTGCCTGCTAGACCATGAACTCCAGGAGAGCCAGGGTTATGTCTCTGGCGTTGAGCACAGGGTCTGGAATAGATGCCTCTCTTCCTGCTTTTGAATGAATAGATAATTGTTTAAAATGGAAGAAGGCAAGAGAAGCATAACTTCCTATTATGGTGGATGCTGTTACCGAATAGAATTGATTTCTGTGCCTTTGTTTGTGCCATGGGCGCCTTGTGAGACTTTTATCCTGCTACAATAGTGGAAAAGAACTTCTGACTGAAAGTTTTTTGCATCTAGCCTTAAATCCTATGTCCCACATAAGTCTCCCAGTCACCATTATTTTTATTAGTAAAGTGACTGGATAGGTCAAGAGTTCTGCAGTCATTTTTAAAAAGTGTTTAGGATAAATTTTCACTATCCATTATTATTAAATTTGCTCAACATTTTATTAAAATACCTACTGTGTACTGGCACGTGGCTGAGCTACACAGCTTCTGACATGTGATTTGAAGACATAGTTTAATACACACATTATACGTGTGTGTGTATACATATGTATATCACATATATGCATAGTTTATGCATATGCATATAAGAGAGTTCCTGTTCTAATGGTGAGCATATATTTATAAAATGTGAATTTTGATATTCTTGAATTTAATGTAAGTTAGACAGTGACCAGTAGTAATCTTATTTTTTATTCTTATTCATGCCCAAATTATTACTCTACTTATTTATTCTGGTGAATAAATGGACAGGATCATGCTTACAGTTTTCAAAAGAGAAGAGAATATAGACATTATTTAATCCATGTGCCTTATTGTACAAAGAATGCAAAAAAGACACTGACTTGCCTAACATCATATCAGTTATTGTGACAGCTGTAACTAAAACAGGTAGCTAGTGACTCTCGATCCATTGCTTTTAAGACTACAATTCAGTCCAACTCTATGAGACTTTTACTGATCGTAAACAGAACACCTAGATGTTAACTTCATGGGGTTTACCATCTGCCAGAGGAGCTAGAAGTAAGGCAACTGTTTATACCTGTATAATAGAAGGGTTACAATGTGCTGGAACTTAGCAGTAGTCAGGGAAATTGAACCTAGACAAGGAGTCGAGGAAGACCTCCTGATGATTTGATAGAACTTGAAGTTGCAAAGGAAACAGCTTGGCAGTGCAGGAAGAAGAACATTCTACGCTGACTGAACAGCCTGTAGAAAGGGCCAGAGTGAGAAGAGAGTGTGTGAGACGAACTAAGTGAGGGCGAGAAGGAGCTTAGGGAGCAAAGGGGAGAGAGCTTGAGATAGAGAAGCTAGGTGAGGATCCGACTTGGGCTGCTTTAGAGACACTGGCAAGGAGTAGGTGGATTTGAATGGAAACCCATGGCAAGCTTTGAAACAATGGAGCGGCTACCTTGGAAGTCAAATAAATCTTGTATCACTTTATTCTCAAAGCATAAAGGCAGGGTGCACACTAGTTTTCAGTGATTAGCAGGAGGTATGGGAAATAGATTTGTCCTGCCGTTCTGGACCTCAGTCTCCATGCCTTACTGTCTGTCCTGTACACCGACTGGTTCTTTGGATTAGCTTTGTGCTTGTGTTTAGAACATCCCATCTTCCTCCACCCTTGACCTGGCAGCTACCCCATTTTGCCGTTTTGCCTTGTTTGAAAGATCTCCATTCTAACCTGGTGTTCTGGGATGCCACTTTCCCCGTCAGGCTCTTTCAGCTGCTGGGAGCCTGTAGATTTGAGTGCAAGTATATTGTGCTGGCCACAGAAATTCATTTAACACCTAAGTTGTAATCACAGTTTCAAGGTAATCATATGCATTTGCTGCTTACATTGCTTGGCTTTTTTAAGAATGCTCGAGTTTTGAAATAACAACGTAATTGCTAACAACATATAAGGTATTTCACTCATTCCAGGGGGCATGATTTAATTGCCTTGGATTTTGTTATGAATGATACAAGTGAAAAAAAGTTGCCTGAGTTATTACTATGTATTCACCTGCTGCTTATGTTTTCTTTAATTTGCAGTTTTCTCGTGTACTGAAGAATAGAGCCTGGCCTACTTTTAAACAGGCCAAATCTAAAATCTCCCCACTGCACAGCAGTGATTTCTGCCCTACCAACTGCCATGTCAATGTGATGGAAGTTTCTTATCCCAAAACATCAACCTCTTTGGGAAGTGCATTTGGTGTTCAGTTGGATAGTAGGAAGCATAATTCTCATGATAAAGAAAACAAATCTTCAGAGCAAGGTATGCTGGCTTTTAAAACTTTATCAAATTATGAAAAGTAATTTAGGCAATCACAGCTATTTTTGCATGCCTGAAATTCAGTAGACACCTGGTATGTATAAAAGCATGAACTTTTATAAAGCAAAGATTTCTTACTGTAATCATTTGGATAATTATGCCTAAGTATATACTGAATGAAAATGGAGTTAGGCATTTTTGTTATTTTTCTTCTAAGAAAGATGATTGCTCCTGCTTTCCTATGCATATGATAGTCACAGCTCATCTTGCTGTGAAAGCTGCTGGTCTGAAATAGCCCTGAAACTTTGAGGACAATACCTGAGAAACAGCTGCAGCAATGCACAATGCTGTTCTGTACCATTACAGCAGGGCAAGGGATCAAACTGTCTTCTAGTTTTTAATTACAACTCTCCACAAACTCTAATCTCTGAATTAAATTCGGCATTGGATCAGCATTTTGTTTTATGGAATCCTAAATTTATTAATTTGACTGGATAAAGAAAATGGGGTATTTAAACACAATGGAATACCATTCAGCCATAAAAATCCATCTATGTTGTCATTTGTAACAACATAGATGAACCTGGAACACATTATGTTTAAGTGAAATAAACCAGACACAGAAAGGCAAATACTCTCTGATCTCATTTATATGAGGAATCTAAAAAAGTTGATCTCATAGAAATAGAGAGTAGAATGGTGATTACCAGGGCCTGGGATGGTTGGTTGGGTGGGGGATTGAGAAGATGTAGGTCAAAGGATACAAAATTTCAATCAGATAAGAGGAATAAGTTCAAGAGATCTATTGTATAACATGGTGAGTATAGTTAATACGTTGTATTCTTGATAAATCCTGAGAGAACAGATATAAAGTATTCTCAGCACCAACATGATAACTACATCAAGTAATACATATGTTAAATATCTAGATTTAGTCATTGCATGATGCATATACATATCAAAACATCAGGTTGTACATGGTAATACATCTGATTTTATCTGTCAGTTAAAAATAAATAAAATTAATTGGACTGGATTGTTATAAGTTAAAGGTGATACATATTACTATGAAATGACTTTAATTCCCCAGGGAAACTGAGTCCTATGGTGTACATTCAGCACACCATCACAACCATGGCAGCCCCTTCAGGTCTGTCTCTGGGGCAGCAGGATGGCCATGGTCTCAGGTATCTGCTAAAAGAAGAAGACTTAGAAACCCAAGACATCTACCAGAAGCTGCTGGGCAAACTTCAGACTGCACTGAAAGAGGTGGAGATGTGTGTTTGTCAAATAGATGAGTAAGTGTTTTGTACTATACTTTTAAGTTTGCTAAATAAAATAGCTGTAAATATGTGACTTAGAAAAATTCAATCCTTCTCTCTTTAGTTTTTGGAAATTTAGGAATTTGTGCTGATCATATAGATCCTCTTCATTTCAAAACCTTAAAAATGTTTTTTTAATGGAAAATATATAAATAGGTATATGTTTTAAGTAAGCATTTAATACCAGGGAAGAGAATGACAAAATTCTATCTTACACAAGGACACTAAATGAGTCTCACTGTAAAAATATTACCGTGAAAGATATATTTGAAAGAATATCAGTTTTGTATGAGGATTTCCTTATGTTTTTTATAGTTCAGGGTAGAATTTTTGGTGAATATGCACTCAATAGATATTTATAAAAGATGTAAAGTATAATAAATTCTTAACAGACGTGTTAAATGAGTAAATGCAAAATTATGTTTCTCTAGGACAAATACTTTTTTCTGTTTTGATTGATTAATAGCCTACTAAGCAATAACCCAAATAGCTGTGCCAGTATTTTTAACCAAGACAAGGTGGAGGCAGTTAATGAGCACTTTTCCAAAGAAATCAGTTCTAATTCTTATTTAAGAAGTTGATGGTTGGAGAATTGCCTGACGTTGGTAGGCTGCTTTGTCATATTGGCATATAGGACAATGCTTCACATCTAGTCCAGACAGCTCTGAATAGTCAGAACAGCAAGAGGTTTGAGGTAGCTCAGTTTCTCATCCACAGAAGTGAACGAGTAATGATAATGAATTACAAGTTTGTGGTGAAAGTTATGCAAACGAATACAGAAAGTAATCAGCACCGTGCTTAATATAATGCTTGCTCATCCATTCCAGGGATGGAAATTGATGAATATTCCCAAATTGCCACATTCTGAAAATAATAGTAACACTGTTGTCTTCTTTTTATTGTACTTTCTTCATGAAGTTGTTGATTTTTTTTAATTATACTTTAAGTTCTGGGGTACATGTGCAGAACGTGCAGGTTTGTTACATACGTATACACGTGCCATGGTGGTTGGCTGCATCCATCACCCTATCTTCTACATTAGGTATTTATCCTAATGTTATCCCTCCCCTAGTCCCCCATCCCTGACAGGCCCCAGTGTGTGATGTTCCCCTCCATGTGTCCATATGTTCTCATTGTTCAACTCCCACTTATGAGTGAGAATATGTGGTGTTTGGTTATCTGTTCTTGTGTTAGTTTTCTAAGAATGATGGTTTCCAGCTTCATCCATGTCCTTGCAAAGGACATGAGCTCATCCTTTTTATGACTGTATAGTATTCCATGGTGTATATGTGCCACATTTTCTTTATCCGGTCTATCATTGATGGACATTTAATTTGGTTCCAAGCCTTTGCTATTGTGAACAGTGCTGCAATAAACATATGTGTTCATGTGTCTATAATAGAATGATTTATAATCCTTTGGGCATATACTCAGTAATGGGATTGCTGGTTCAAATGGTATTTCTAGTTCTAGGTCCTTGAGGAATCGCCACACTGTCTTCCACAATGGTTGAACTAATTTATGCTCCCACCAACAGCGTGAAAGCATTCCTGTTTCTCCACATCCTCTTTAGCCTCTGTTGTCTCCTGACTTTAATGATTGCCATTCTAGCTGGTGTGAGATGGTACCTCATTGTGGCTTTGATTTGCATTTCTCTAATGACCATTGATGATGAACTTTTTTTCATATGTTTGTTGGCAGCATAAAAGTCTCCTTTTGAGAAGTATTTATTTATATCCTTTGCCCACTTTTTGATGGGGTTGAGTTTTTCCTGTAAATTTGTTTAAGTTCTCTGTTGATTCTGGATATTAGCCCTTTGTCAGATGGGTATATTGGAAAAATTTTCTCCTATTCTATAGGTTGCCTGTTCACTCTGATGATAGTTTCTTTTGTTATGCAGAAGGTCTTTAGTTTAATCAGATCAGATCTCATTTGTCTATTTGGCTTTTGTTGCCATTGCTTTTGGTGTTTTAGTCATGAAGTCTTTGCCCATGCCTATGTCCTGAATGGGGTATTGCCTAGGTTTTCTTCTAGGATTTTTATGATTTTAGTTCTTACATTTAAGTCTTTAATCCATCTTAAGTTAATTTTTATATAGAATGTAAGGAAGGGATCTAGTTTCAGCTTTCTGCATATGGCTAGCCAGTTTTCCCAACACCATTTATTAAATAGGGAATCCTTTCCCATTGCTTGTTTTTGTCAAGTTTGTCAAAGAGCAGATGATTGTAAGAGTGTGACATTATTTCTGAGGCCTCTGTTCTGTTTCATTGGTCTATACATTTGTTTTGGTACCAGTACCATGCTGTTTTGATTACTGTAGACTTGTAGTATGGTTTGAAGTCAGGTAGTGTGATGTCTCCAGCTTTGTTTTATTTTTCGTTTTTGGTTAGAATTGTCTTGGCTATGTGGGCTCTGTTTTGGTTCCATGTGAAATATAAGGTGGTTTTCCCCCCTGTTTTGTGAAGAAAGTCAATGGTAGCTTGATGGGGGGATAACATTGAATCTATAGACTACTTTGGGCAGTATGGCCATTTTCACAATATTGATTCTTCCTAACCATGAGTATGGAATTGTTTTCCATCTGTTTGTGTACTGTTATTTCCTTGAACAGTGGTTTGTAGTTCTCCTTGAAGAGGTCCTTCACATCCCTTGTAAGTTATATTCCTAGGTTTTTAATTTTCTTTGTAGCAATTGTGGAATGGGAATTCATTCATGATTTGGCTCTCTGTCTTTTATTAGTGTGTAGGAATGCTTGTGATTTTTGCATATTGATTTTCTGTCCTGAGACTTTGCTGAGGTTGCTTATCAAGTTAAGCACATTTTGGGATGAGATGATGGGGTTTTCTAAATATGCAATCATGTCATCTGCAAATAGAGACAATTTGACTTCTTCTTTTCTTAATCAAATACCCTTTATTTCTTTCTCATGCTTGATTGTCCTGGCCAGAACTTCCAACAGTATGTTGAATAGGAGTGGTGAGAGAGGGCATCCTTGTCTTGTCCCAGTTTTCAAAGGGAATGCTTCCAGTTTTTGCCTATTCAGTATGATATTGGCTGTGGGTTTGTCATATATAGCTCTTATTATTTTTAGTTATGTTCCATCAATACTTAGTTTATTGAGAGCTTTTAGCATGAGGGCTGTTGAATTTTGTCAAAGGCCTTCTCAGCATCTATTGAGACAATCATGTGGTTTTTGTCTTTGGTTCTGTTTATATGATGGATTACGTTTATAGATTTGCATATGTTGAACCAGCCTTGCATCCAGGGACGAAGCCGACTTGATTGTGATGAATAAGCTTTTTGATGTGCTGTTGGATTTGATTTGCCAGTATTTTATTGAGGATTGTTGTGTTGATGTTCATCAGGGATATTAGCCTGAAATTTTCTTTTTTAGTTGTGTCTCTGCCAGGTTTTGGTATCAGGATGTTGTTGGCCTCATAGAATGAGTCAAGGAGGATTCCCTCTTTTTGTATTGTTTGGAATAGTTTCAGTAGAAATGGTACCAGCTCCTCTTTGTATCTCTGGTAGAACTCGGCTGTGAAACTGTCTGGTCCTGGACTTTTTTTGGTTGGTAGGTTATTGATTGCTGCCTCAATTTCAGACCTTGTTATTGGTCTATTAAGGGATTCAACTTCTTCCTGGTTTAGTCTTGGGAGGGTGTAAGTATCCAGGAATTTTTCCATTTCTTCTAGATTTACTGATTTATTTGCATAGAGGTGTTTATAGTATTCTCTGATGGTAGTTTGTATTTCTATGGAATCGGTGGTGGTATTGCCTTTATTATTTTTCATTGCATCTAATTGATTCTTCTCTCTTTTCTTTTTATTAGTCTGGCTAGTAGTCTGTTTTGTTGATCTTTTCAAAAAACCAACTCCTGGATTTGTTGATTTTTTTTTTTTAAGGTTTTTTTTGTGCCTCTGCCTTGTTCAGTTCTGCTCTGATCTTAGTTATTTCTTGTCTTCTGCTGGCTTTTCAATTTGTTTGTTCTTTCTTCTCTAGTTCTTTTAATCATGATGTTAGGGTGTCAATTTTAGATATTTCCTGCTTTCTTCTGTGGGCTTTTGGTGCTATAAACGTCCCCCTAGACACTGCTTTATATGTGTCCCAGAGATTCTGGTACATTGTGTCTTCATTCTCGTTGGTTTCAAAGAACATCTTTATTTCTGTGTTCATTTCACTCTTCATCCAGTAGTCATTCAGGAGCAGGTTGTTCAGTTTCCATGTAGTTGTGCGGTGTTGAGTGAGTTTCTTAATCCTGAGTTCTAATTTGATTGCACTGTGGGCTGAGAGTCTGTTTATTATGACTTCTTTTCTTTTGCATTTGCTGAGGAGTGTTTTACTTCCAATTATGTGGTCAGTTTTAGAATAAGTGTGATGTGTTGCTGAGAAAAATGTATATTTTGTTGATTTGGGGTAGAGAGTTCTGTATATGTCTATTAAGACCACTCTGTCCAGATCTGAGTTCAAGTCTTGGATATCCTTGTTGATTTTCTGTCTCATTGACCTGTCTAATATTGACAGTGGGGTGTTAAAGTCTCCCACTACTATTGTGTGGGAGCCTAAGTCTCTTTGTAGGTCATTAAGAACTTGCTTTATGAATCTGGGTGCTCCTGCATTGGGTGCATATATCTTTAGGATAGTTAGCTCTTCTTGTTGCACTGATCTCTTGAAGTTGTTAATTTAAATGATTACATATGTGAACTCTTAACTTCACACACATACCTATCATCCTGTACTTCATGGATAATTCAGTTTTGACACAAAATATTTAGAACTTTTTCTAAGGCTTTGTTGTAATTAGACATTATACTGATGAAGTCATAATTGACATGGTCTCTCATTTTACACATATTTTTTTGATTTAGAGATCAAAATTGTATTAAATGCATCATATTTTAAAAATTATCCTTAATATTTACCATTTACCTTGCTAATTTTCTGAAGTTTTATGAGTGATTTAGAATTAAGATTTTATTTTTCTATTTCTAATATACTAGTTTTGCATATTGTTCTGTGACTTTTCCCATTTACAGATGAATTAAACAGTTCATGATTGCTAAGTGAACAGGAGAGTATTTTGTAAGCATCTGCATGACATTTTTGAATTGTCTTGGAATTCTTGTGACAGAAGCTTATATTTTAGGATATGATATTTTACTTCATTTAATAAATGATATTGCATGATATATTTTAGAAACAAGTTATTTTCTCCCAGAGGTATTTATGAAATATATAGAATTTTTATTAATAAGGCAATAAATAGTGGCATTGAATTATAACGGCTAAATCTCAAAGGGATTTTAAGAAAGCATCTGGAACACTCCCATAGTTCAAGTTCCAAGAGTTGTTATTGCCATTTTGGGATGAGTCTTGTCAATGGCAGGATTATTGTTGTGCCTCAGCTGATACTGCTCAGAGACTAATTTTTAATTCATTGATGACCTAGCACTGCCTGGCAATCCTCCAGACTTTGTTAATTTATTGACTATTTTTAAGGTTCAGGTAATGTAGAAATATTTTTCAGGAAAAATATGTAAACCAAGGAGCTCCTTTTACTTGGTTTAAAATATTTATATTTAAGGCACTAGTTGCAGACTATTTTTATTAACTGAAACTACTTAAACTGATTATTTTTCACTGAAGTTTTCCCCACCCTGCTAGTCTAAAAACCTTTACCCAGCTATGTGTGTTTATAGAAAAGTGGCATGAAGTGAGCAGATGACTGGAGAAACCGCCTTGGTCTTCTTTCGGTACACAACGTAATTTAATTCTAAGTATAAATAGGTTCCATACAACTTAGTGTGCAATATGATCACTGTAAAACAGTACAGTTGTTTAATTGCCTGGATTCCCTATTACCCTAAATATTCAGAGATGCTGCCATGCAGTCGAGGTTAACAAATTGTTTAAAAAACTAGTATCTGAACAATTTTCTTACCCTATCGGAATTATTCTTTGTCAGACAGAAATGGTTTTGCAAGTGAAGAAGCAGATCTGATATGTTGCCAAGTTTTAAGAGAAACTGCCTGATAACATCTCAGTGTTAGCTTTTCTAGAAGCTATTCATTCCTGTGAAAGGTCCTGAGGTTGAGCTTGCCTTATCATAAAGTCCGGTTATTCTGTCACCTGGGAATACTTCTCTTAGAAGTGAAATTTCCTTTAACATATAGGCATTTCACTAAATCCTCCTACTTAGCTTCAGATTCAAAGCTGAAGTTAGAGATGAATTTGCTGTCTATTACCTCTTACATGAGGTAAGATGATGTAATGAATTTAATCAAGGATTTGTGATTCTGGTTTCATTTTGGAAAGTGAAAGACTTTTGTCCTTTAATGGGCTATTTACTGGGTAATGACATTTCGGTACAAGAAATAAGTAAAAGGAAAAATAATTAATGTCCAAAACCTTTGACAGGGTTTTTAAATAGAGGATATGTGTATTCTCACAGGGAGGAAATGAATGAAGAGTATTGGAGCCTGTTGAAGATAGGGGATTTGAGAACAGACTTCATTTTGCAGGTGCCAGTTGCCCCAGGGTTGAGTGATGAACAAACCATACTTTAAGACAGTTAGTAACGTGGGGGTTACAGATAAGAATGGTGGTGGTGGTGGTAGAGTTAACTTTGAGGTTTCCCAAACATTTTGCTGGTAAATGTACAAAAAGAGGGGTACATCATATAAACCAACTTTCTGATAAGTGCTTATGTGCCAGGCAAGATTACACTATTATATACATTGGCTGATTTCATTCTCACAGTACTTCTGTGAGTTGAGTTATAAAACACCGGGATGCAACCTGCTTCCTCCAGAGTATGCAAGTTCGATGCAGGGAGAGGGAATTCTGCTTCATTTGCACAGGATACGTATGCAACAATATGTCTTGCCTATCTCACCTCTAAAACAGAGAAAATAATAATAATACCTACTTCATAAGTTGGTTTGAGAGATTAAATGAATACCTGTTAAGTACTTAGCATGGTGACTGTTATAAAAGCTCACCAGATGTTAGCGATTATGATAATGTTTAAAAACACACAGGTTGCCAGGTGCAGTGACTCATGCCTATAATCTCAGCACTTTGGGAGGCCAAGGTGGGTGGTTCACCTAAGGTTCGGAGTTTGAGACCAGCCTGACCAATACGGCGAAACCCTGTCTTTACTAAAAATACAAAATTAGCTGAGTGTGGTGGTGCATGCCTGTAATCCCAGCTACTCTGGATGCTGAGCCAGGAGAATAGTTTGAACCCAGGAGGTGGAGGTTGCGGTGAGCCAAGATCACATCATTGCGCTCCAGCCTGAACAACAAGAGCAAAACTCAATCTCAAGAAAAAAAAACAAAAGCAAAAACCAAAAAAACTTCAAAAAACCACAGGTCATTGCAGCATACTGTATACAAAAATTTTCTTATCAATGGCAAATGGAGGAGATTCACCTGGAATTGCCTGCTGCTGAAGATATTAATTAATGGACATTTAGTAGGTAACTTAAAATTGTATATGAAGAAAAGTGAATGTATTTCTGCAAGCACAAATATTATGGTTTGATGCCTTTTTGTTGCTTTTCAGAATCTAGAAGTTTTATGCAAAACATGGTGTTAAAAAAACAGGTTTTCTTTCAATTCTTTGTAAACCTAACACTTGTTCCCACAAGGTCAACACAAGCATGATTGAAGCTGTTTTAAATGAAAGTAAATATCTGAACGCAATTCATGTAACTCTGAAAAAAATTATGCTTAGCCCCATGACTTCTAATTTAAAAGATATATAAGCACAGAGGCCTCTTTGCAAAATGAGAACTCCTGCATTTTTTTTTTTTGTCTTTGGTATTCAAAGTTCATCTGTCTGTGCAGCATGGAGCTTGGATAATTGGAGTGAGTCTAATGTTTTAATCTTTTGGGTGGAGAGGGTGAATAAATAGACAATCTGTCTTACAAGACATAAAATTATCTTTCCAAAGAGGAAAATTTGTGTTTAAATATCCATAGCTTTTGGTTATTAAAAATGTTTACAGGGCCTTGAGCAATGTAACATAGATCCTTCAATTTTCACTTGTGTCTAAAAACTATAAAATGTCAAAATATTTATTCAGATTTCACCTCACTGTGAGACCTGACCTGACTGCACTGTTTGAAATAATAGCTTCATGCTTCCTTCCCTGCAGTTCTCCTTACCATTTGCTGTGATTTGATATACTAGAAATTTTGTTTATTGCTTGTCTTCTCTTAGTAGAATTTCAGCTCCAAGAAGCAAGGGCTTTTGTGCTCTGCCTCCTGGGTTCAAGTGATTCTCCTGCCTCAGCCTCCTGAGTAGCTGGGATTACAGGTGCACGCCATCAAGCCCGGCTAATTTTTGTATTTTTAGTAGAGACAGGGTTTCACTGTGTTGGCCAGGCTGGTCTCAAACTCCTGACCTCAGGTGATCCACCTGCCTCAGCCTCCAAAAGTGCTGGGATTACAGGCATGAGCCACTGCACCCAGCCCTTTTGTGTGTTTTATAATTTACTATATCCATAGCACCAAGAATAATGCATTGTATAATAAATGTGTTTAATGAGTCGGCAAAATCACTTAACAGGTATTTATTAAGTGCACAGCATTGAGTTTGACATTATGGAATATGCATAGGAAGTGTAAGACATCTTCATAGTCTTGGAATAACAAGCATTACATCGCTATGGAAAAATGAGGATCAAGATATGTGCTACTAATTGGAACTGAAAAATCATAGGTATTTAGTAAACGTGAAGATGGCTATTGGCTTGAGAAGCCATACATGGCTCCTTTGTTTACACATGGTTTAATTCATTTTGCAAGTTTTTTTAGCATGCTGTTCTATAATAAAGTTTCATTCCATTTTTGCCTAATTTTGAGTTAGTTGTAACAGAAACGTGCCACAGCCAAATGTTCAAGCCTAGAGTGTTGGAGTCAGCAGTCACCCAAAATCCTCAGCGATTTCACACAATTCAGTCTGACTGCAGCTTTTTAGGCTGGAGCCAAGTGGAGGAGATCTTCCTGTGGGCAGATGTGTGACATTTCATCCTGGCTGGCTTGCACATGAGATTGTAGTTACCCCATCCTCACATTGTGTGTAACTCTGCTTAGTATCTTGCAATCCCCAAGGTCAGGACTCCTGTTTGTATGAGCAGGGAGAAGGATCGACAATCCAATATTCTCCCTGCCAAATAGAGAATGCCTGGGCAAAACCCAAGGTACAGGTAGATGGGTAGGTGCGTTTTTAATACTGAAGGTGAGCCGGTGAGGACATTAATGCACATGTACAGTTTGGGCTTAATATTTGGCTAGCACTTTAAAGATAACTGAGTATTTTCATAAGGTGGTGATAGTTGTGCTAATGGCCAGGGGCTAGAGGTGACATTTACTATGCACCAGGAATATTCATTCTCACAGTAGTCATGGAAGCCAGTTATTCTCATTATCCCTGTTTTATATCCCTGTTTTATGAATGTCAAATAAAACTATCACAGCTTTGTTTTAGCTGGAGTCATACATGGCACAAACTAGATTTCGGTGAGACTTTCTGGCCTAAATAGTATGCTGTTTGTATGACTTATTTTGTGAAGAAAAAGTGAACTTTGAATGACATGTTTTTTATGCAATGGAATATTTACTTGTTATGAAACATTGAAACACTCTAGAAATATTTGTAAGCCTATCGTATTCAGCAAATAAGATATCTATAGCAGACAGTTTGAAAATGTACATTTATTTTTTTAATATTACATTGCAGCCTTCTGTCTTCAATAACATATTCTCCTAAATTAGAACGTAAGACACAAGAGTGCGTAATACCAACAGACAGTGACAATGAGAAGGGAGAAAGAAACAGCAAACGAGTCTGTTTTAATGTAGCAGGGGATGAGCAGGAAGATTCTGGTCATGATACCATCAGCAACAGAGACTCTTACAGGTAATTCAATTTCCCAAACTCATTTTCTCAACGAAGTCAAATGTGATGCTGGATTTTTCACAAAGATCTTGAAAAAAGTTTTTGATTTTTGTTTAATTGGTTTTCCCAATAATCAGCTGTTGTTACCGACCTCAGACAAAGCATAGTGGGACAGTGTAATATTCAAATCCTTCCCTTTTCCAATCTGAGTAGCTTGGAAAAAACATTTTGTTCTCTATTTGTGTGGGCCTAATTTGGGATAGTTATTCTGTATATGGATTGTGTGACATGTATAGTAAGAAAATTGTGCCTATACAGCATTAACATTTTTTCAACTATCTCTTTCTGTCATTGGTTTATTGGGTAGTGAATAGGAGTTCTTTTGGCCATTTTTTCTCTCTTTCATTTTCTATGTTCTAAACTAATTGGGCTAATGTCACTTGCATCCCTCCGTGACAGGGTTTGTGTGTTTTCCTTTCTTGGATACCTTGTGTCTTAGTTTTCTAGGGCCGCTGTAACAGATTACTACAGATGGGGTGGCTTAGACCACAGAAATTTATTATCACAGAATTCTGAAGCCAGAAACCTGAAACCATGGTGTGGGCTGTGTGAGCGCCTTCCGAAGGCTGTGGAGGAAGGATCCAGGCCAGGCCTGGCTCCTTGACGTGTAAATGGCCATCTTCTCCCTGTGCCTCTGCACATCATCTCCCCTCCATATGTGTCTTGTGTCTAAATTTCCCCCTCTTATAAGGACATGTTATAGGGTGGCTTAAGGTCACACCCTAATGACCTCACTTTAATTCGATTACCTTTGTAAAGAGCCTATCTCTAAATAAGGTCACATTCTGAGGTAGTAGGGATCTCTTTTCAACCTTATGAATTCTTTTGGGAAATCCAGTTCAACCCCAAATACTTTCCCTCCGAACTCTGCTATCGTATTCCTACTAGACTTTCAAATGATGTCTCATCGAATGAACTTCCTTAATCGAAAGTGTTTTTTGGTCCTTGACTCCTTGTATCACCTGACACTTCACTGAGGACTATCATAACCAGCCACATAAGCTGTGTGTACAACTTTAACATCTTTTTTCATTTATATTAATTGAAAGCAAAACCTGTCTTCTTCACTTGTTTATTATGCAGTGTTTTGCTATGAAAAGATATTGATTCAATAGTAATCAAAGTTATTCTCCTCAGAGAATAACTAGCTACAAACTAGGAGCTAACATTAAACATATGCTTTTACCAAACACATGGGGGAAGAGGAGGATTTCACATAATCCTCACTGTGCCCCTCAGTGGCAGGTTCTGATAGGAACTTCATTTTTATACATCAGGAAGCTGAAGCCCAGAGGGCTCATATCATTTCCCTTTTAGACCAGGTGGTCTGACTTCCCAGTTTGTCTCTTAACTACTCTACCATTCCAATTTCTAAGTTTCCAAAAAGGATCTTAATGAACGCATAAGAGTTAATTATTCCAGAGATTTAATAATAGATCAGACAGATTAACCACTTTTATCACTTCATTTCCTTTTCACTTCTAAGCATCCCAACCTGCTCTTGAATAGAAATCTGTGGGGTTTTTTCCCAGTGGGAAATTACATGTCTAAAAATACTTACCTACCTCAAGTTCTAGTTATCAGATAATTAAAATTACCCTGACAGTTTCCTTCTAGGCTAAGATAGAAATTTTAAATGTAAATTTAAAGTTAAGGACGTCCTTTTTACTTATTCTGAGAGGAAAGAAAATATTTTATCTCCTGCACTATTTCTGAAATCTGTCCCTGTCCACACACAAACATTTTAAACATTTCTTTCCTCGGGCATTCATCATTATCAAGCACTTCCCTGTGCTAGAAGCTCTGAGGTGGAGACAGACAAGGTTCCTATCCTCCCTAAGAAAGCTCAGAGTGTAATCAGTAAGTTATGATTTAAGCTACCAGAAAGGGACAGAAATCACAAAACAGTATTTTGTCTCTATTTGCCAGTTATCTAATTACCGGCGTATATCATCAAATACGTTATAAAGAATTTTAAGTTCAATGTGTCTCCTAGTTTTATAACTAACTGCTCTTAAAAAATTCATTAAAAAATTCATTTAGGATTAGATTATACGATACAAGAAAATATGACATATAACTGAATCAAAACATGCCATCTTTAAAAAGATAGACTAACTTGAATAGGTTTATCTTTCTCATAGTTTTCTCCAAAACATATTAATAAATATAACTGATATGTTTATGTCATAAGAAATACAGGGACACCTGGGCAAATGCACTCTTACAGTAACATGAAACTTATTATTTTCAGTGACTGCAACAGCAATAGAAATTCCATCGCCTCCTTCACGAGCATCTGCAGCAGCCAGTGCAGCTCGTATTTCCACAGTGATGAAATGGACTCAGGTGTGTTCCTTGGTGAAGGCCTGTGACCTTTTCGATGTTAGTCCCATCAGAGATAATTTAAGATTTTTATTTATTAGATCCATATGAATTTTTATTTTTACCTTTTATCAGTCATTCTCTGTGCCCATACACATTGCATTTCTACACATATTGCACTACAAACGGGGTGGCTTAAACCAACAGAAATTTATTATCGCACAATTCTGAAGGCCGGAAATCTGAAACCATGGTGTGAGCTGTGTGGGCTTCTTCTGAAGGCTGTGGAGTTTTATGTGTCTCATAGTCTATTTTCCAATCCTAATTTGAAGATAGCGAGTTAAAAAGCAATGAAAGAAGGAAACTGATTTTAATATTCAGATATGTTTTATGATCTCTTACGGTTCTGTGAAGAATTATAGGTACACAGCAAACATGTTATACTGAAAGTATTAGGCATTGTTGATAGGGATGGGCAGGTGTGGAGTTTGAAGCTAGGACATTTAAGACAGTAGGTGCACCTAGCTAGCTTTATATGTGGATGATGAGGATTGAGGATAACGAGCGAAACACTAATTGGTATAACTACCTTATAAATACATTATTTTGTATGTGTTAAGAACAAAGACTTTTCATCCAATTAGGGAAAATCTTAATTTTTGATTATGCAGTTTATTTCAACTATTCAACCATTGAAGAAACATTATTTGAAAGAATCATTAACAAGTGTCCTTTCTGGAAGGCACTCTGCTTTCAGAAGAAATAGTAACATCCAGGAGCTATGAAATCTTTTGAAGCTTTTTCTGAACATGAGAACTGTGCATGGAATAAGAGCTTGTGTTTAATTTTTACATTTTATTTAATATTAAAATATTTTGGAATGTTAAGATGAATGATTTGTGTTTTTGGTTTTGTTTTTGTTTTGACATCTAGGTGATGAACTTCCCCTAAGTGTTCGCATTTCTCATGATAAACAGGACAAGATACATAGTTGCCTTGAGCATCTTTTCAGCCAGGTATAATCGGGCATTTGTGGGGCTTTTGTTCCACAACTAAACTGTCAGGAGCCCCTTTTTTAGATGCAGTAAAAGGAACTCAGAGTTCAAACAGAAAGGCTTCAATCAGTCCTTCCACCTCCTTTACCTCAATTTCTGACGTTTAAACTAGGACTAAACATTCCTTCAGCCAACTTACCTAAAGGATTGTCATGAATATCAAGTATTTTACAGTCCTGGGAGAATTACTATTATACACATAGGAGTTGTCCTGTTTAGTATTTGTTGTTTTTTTTGTTTGTTTGTTTTCAGAAAGCTTTATGACATTTCTTGCTCAGCATTTCTAAGTTTTAAAAGTACAGGATATTGCCTTGGGTGCTAATTTTGGTGCTTTACATTACAAAATGTATAACCATATCCAAAATTTGTAGCAGAAGCTTTTACCCCTTTGAAAAGGATTCCAATAACTTTTAGTTAAAAAAGAAACAAACAAACAAACAAACTCCAGAGCTTTTATGTTTTTTGTGAGGTAAATTTATATTTTGTATTAAGTATATGGTAAGATAGTAAGAAATATCATTGCAAATGTTATCAGGTGCATTTATTTTAATACATTACTTAAAAATCGATTTCACAAGCATCACGGGGTTTCAACAGTAATTGTTGCTTTAAGAAAAAAAACAATTTTATAAGATTTGCTCTTAGAAATATATATTATGTGCTGTGAGAAGTATGTAACTCAGAAATCTCTGCTATTGACAGGTGGATTCAATTACCAATCTTCTAAAAGGGCAGGCTGTTGTGAGGGCCTTTGACCAAACCAAGTATCTCACACCAGGCAGAGGATTGCAAGGTAAGACTTGAAAAATTACTATTAGAAGCAATTGGGGAAAAAAAGCAAGAGCATTTCATAAGAGGAACATTTCCAGTTACTCATGTTTCATAATTCACTGAATACTACTATTTTGATAATTTTTGAATATGTAGAAAAATCAGCATAGACGTTTTTACATTTCTTTGAAAGTTTAAAAGTTTAATACCTATAGGGGCCAGGCTGAGCAAAAATGAGTTAATCCAAGATACATAATCATGAAGGTGATTTTGCTGAAACCAAGCGTAATGCCTCCTTGGCTGTTTGTTTCCCAGTGGTGAGGAAAGAGTATGGGGAAGAGAGTTGATGAACAGAAAAAATAGAGCTGCCACTTTCTGACAAATAACTGGTTTGGGATGATGAAAATAGAGTTTTCATCTAAATTTGCTTTGTTTAAACATTTGTAAGAAAATAACATTAAGGTTTGACTTTTTAGATTTAACGGATTTTCTGATGGTATGGCAAAAGAAATATCCACCATGTCAATAGTCTAGGATAGCAGTGACAGAAGAAGGTTTTGAAGCCTGAAGGCTTCATTGTTTGGGAATTAGTTGAGACTTAAGAGAGATTTTCTGCGTTTATTTAGAATTTCAACAGGAAATGGAACCAAAGCTGAGTTGTCCAAAAAGGTTACGACTTCATATCAAGCAAGATCCTTGGAATCTTCCCAGCAGCGTCCGGACTCTTGCTCAGAACATCAGGAAATTCGTTGAAGGTCAGCATGAAAAGCAAAGAATGTTGCCTGATATTAGCAATAATCATTTTAAAACCCACTAAAACCAAAAGGTTGGTAGTGCTTGATTACTTTTTGCAGTGTTTCCTGTTGTGAAGAAAATATAAGTACTGAAAATGGTTAGAGAAGAAGAGGGCAAGAAGAAATAAACTTATAGGACCTTGTGTACCGAGGTTATAAACATCATGGAGAATATTCTCAGTGAATAAAATAAGGGCTCAACGTTATGAAGACAAATCATGAAGAGAATTTAAGATTTTATAATAGGAGACAATATCAGAAAAAAATTTCTAAAGGATTTACCAAAGGCATGAAGATAATGTTTATATATATATAAAAAAATCAGTTGTGAATCTGTATGAGAATCAAAATAATTCCATATGTTGCATCATTAGTTTTTTTTATTTCAGAAGTGTTGGTCTAAGTTGATTGCTATTAACTACCATAACATTATTTACATGACATTCTATAATTGGTATAACCTATAAATTGGAAATATATAACTTTGAGGTGACTTCACTGAGATAGATTGCATGTGGTTTAGAACCAGAGTGATTAAGTAGAAAATCCTGAGAGGTTTCAAAATGATTATAGTGAAAAAGTTGAAATGAGAAATTCTAGTTTTAAAAATATCTAACTCAGCTATTTTCTCCCTAGTGATTAGACCAGTGGTTGACAACATCTGGACGTATTTTTGGTTGTCACAATTGTGGGTGTGATGCTGAACATTCTAGAATATACAAGACAGTTCCTCACAAGGAAGATTTATCTGATCCAAAATGTTAGTAGTGCTAAGGTTGAGAAACCTGTACAATAAATACTATTCCTGTGTTTATATTTTTATTCCTTTTTATGTCAGTTGGATGCAGTAAATAGTATCCAATGGTATTTAGCAGAATTACAGTATAACGGCAGTTATTACTTTAAGGGGGGTAAATTAAAGAGAGCTGTAAATTTTGCTGAGAAAAGACAGCCCCTTATACCAAATGGAGTCTGAGCTAGTCACTTAACTCCATTAAGCTTCAACTTCCACATGTATTAAATGACAAAGATGGTTTAAATTTTATGTGATTACTGAATCTTCTACATAGACTTATACTCAAATATAACAACTTAAGTATTGTTTAGAGATTAGTAGAAAGGAATTTGTACAGATATGGAATACTTCCCCAAATAAATCATAGTGATTCTATCTTGTGATAAAATATTTTGAATTTGATAGCTGGATTTCTTTGGCTGTATTTTTATTTTATGGCCTAATATAATGTTTACCTGTGATACTTTGTAAAATAATGTTAATTGAAAAGTCTGAATTAAAAATTCCCCAAAATATGAATAGCATAAACGTAAAATCCATTTTTGAACAATTATAGTATTTTTAATTTATGCATATACTTTACTAAAAGGCACATTTCTGCTGAATAGATGTCAGTATTATGACACTAGTAGAAGTTATAATTCTGTAGTTGTTCTTATCATCTTTGAGATTTTGTATTTGTATTTGTTATAGGCTAAATGCGTATTGGCTAGGAATGGAAAAATCCTTAAACCCTCTCCCCTGTGGTTTCTTTTTTTTTTTTTTTTTTTGGTTTGAACAATTTCATCTTTCAGATAGAAATTTGTAATGTTCTCATTAGTTTCAAATAACTTCTTGACTTCTGCATTAATTTTATTTACCCAAAAGTCATTCAAAGGCAAGATATTTAATATCTATGTAATTGTATGGTTTTGAGTGAATTTCTTAGTTTTGATATCTAATTTGATTGTGCTATGATCTGAGAGAGTGGTTGTTATGATTTTCTTTTGAATTTGCTGATAAGTGTTTTATGTCTGATTATGTAATCAATTTTAGTGCATGTGCCATGTGGTGATGAGAAGAATGTATATTCTGTTGTTTTGGGGTAGAGATATCTGTAGATGTCTATCAGGACCATTTGATCAGTACTGAGTTCAGATCCTGGATATATTTGTTAATTTTCTGCCTCAATGATCTGTCTAATACTGACAGTTGGATGTTGAAGCCTCCAACTATTATTGTGTGGATGTCTAAGTCTCTCTGAAGTTCTGTAAGAACTTGCTTTACAAATCTGTCAAACTAATGAGAACAAAAATAAAACATGGCAGACTCTCTGAGATACAGCTAAGGCAATATTAAGAGGGAAATTTGTAGTACTAAATGCCCATATCCAAAAGTTAAAAGATCTTGATTTATAAAGCAAATACCACAACCAAAAGAACTAGAGAACCAAGATAAAATGAAACCCAAAGGTAGCAGAGAACAAGAAATGACTAAAATCAGAGCTGACCTGAAAGAGATTGAGATACAAAAAACCATTTAAGAGATCAATGAATCCAGGACTTGATTTTTGAAAAAATGAATAAAGTAGATAGACTTCTAGCTGGACTAGTAAAGAAGAAAAGAGAGAAGCTGCAACCAAGCACATTAGAAATGACAAAGGAGATATTACTGCTGACCCTACAGAAATACACATAACTATCATGTTATGTGTATTTACACATAAATATCATAACTATGGACACTTGTATGCACATAAATTACAAAATCTAAAAGAAATGGATAAATGACTGGACACATACATCCTCCCAAAACTGAACCAGAAAGAAATTGAATCCCTAAACAGACCAATAACAAGCTTCAAAGTTGAATCAGTAATAAAAATAGCCTGCCAACCGAAAAAAAGCCTGGGACCAGATGGAAATACCATTTGGCCTAGCAATCCCATTACTGGATATATAGCCAAAAGCATAAGAATTATTCTTTCATAAAGATATGTGCACATGTATGTTCATTGCAGGACTACTCACAATACCAAAGACATGAAATCAACTCAAATGCCCATCAGCTGTAGACTGGATAAGGAAAATGTGGTACATATACTCTGGAGAGTACTATGCAGCCATAAAAAGGAATGAGATCATGTCCTTTCCAGGAACATGAATGGAACTGGAGGCCATTATTCTTAGCAAACTAACACAGCAACAGAAAAAAAACACATGTTCTCACTTATAAGTAGAAGCTAAATGATGAGAACACATGGACACAAAGGACACAAAGAGAGGAACAAACAACACACACTGGAACTAGCAGAGGGTGAAGGATAGGAGGAGGGAGATCGGGAAAAATACTTGATGGATATTAGGCTTAATATCTGGATGATGAAATAATCTGTGCAGCAAACCCCCTGACACAAGTTTACCTATATAAGAAACCTACACATGTATCTTTGAACATAAAAGTTAAAAAAATACATTTATGATGCAGGATAAAAAGTTCAATTTTTCAAAAAGTACTCATTTTAAGAATCTTAGATTTTCATCTCAAGGTCCACTTTTGTACTTTTTGTAACTCAAGGCACAATAAGCAGCTATAAGAATGATAACTATATACACATGCTGATTGATGGATAGGTTAATGTGTGTTGGGAATATGGGCGCCACTCTTGGTCACGGGAGCCCAACAGCTAGTTGAGTGTGGTTGGATGAGCTGAGAGTCTTATAGTCAATGGTATGGGGAGGGCTCTCTGTAGAATTTTAGTTGCATCTCTGGTTGCAAATTTCAGTGAGTTTCAGTGAGCTCTTTGGGTAAGAGTTGTGATTGTTACCATGCTAAATGAGTCTCTAAAAATGATTACATTTTACTTCATCCCAACGGACTATGCAAGGGAGAGGACATGCTGCCATTTCCTGGTAATCTGTGTGGTGTCTGGTCCTGTTGGGAGTGGAGACAGCATTAGGATCATTGAAATCAGTTGCTTGTTATGTGGAGGCACTCTGAAGTAACTTCGCTAGTTCAGCATGAATTTACCCTACTCAACTTAAAGTCATTTTCATTCTACTTCCCAGACTGTCTTTACATAGAGAATGACTTGATGGAAGCTTAGATCTTGGGACTTAATTCAATCTGGTGCTACCAGGCCAGAATTTCTTGGTTTACATAAATAGCTGGGATGATCCCATTTCTGATGTTTCCTAGTCTCTGATTTCAAGATATCCCATCCACTGTATACCACGTATGATATCAAGGTGTCATGATTCTATGATCTTTATTTAGAAAGGACTGTTACAGTGTCATTCAAAAATTGTGTCTTTATATACTCATCCATTCATAGCAAATTAAACTGTAGATAGAAGACTGCAGAGAAGATAGTGAATTAAGTTAGGACAGATTAATTGTATGGTGTCACTAAGATGATGCCTATCTCCTGCTTAATTTCTGAGGTAAGTTATGGCCTCATATTATCAGCTGAATGAAGATATTTTTATTTGAGTGGCCCACCATCACCTTAAATTCAAATGTTTATTAGTGAACACATTTTCAACTTTTTGTTCCCTAAAAAGAAAAATGCTTTTATCTAAATCTCATATATCTTTTTAGCAACCTATATTAAGTTTTTTTCCCTGCATTTGTTTTAATATTCTAAAGAGTGTCTCCAGTTTTTTCCTTTTTCATCACACTTCAATAATTGCAATGATTTTTCTGACTAAACTCCCTGTCTCTATCTTTTCTGATTCTTATAACCATTGTGAGATTCATCTTTCTAAAATGTCATGTTCATAATTTCACTACTGTGTCACAGAACCTTGTAGTGATTTTTTGTTAGGTAAGACTAAACTCGTCAATCTGTTAGAAGTCATTTTTCAGTAGGGCTTTACAATCATATCCCAATCTCAGTCTCTTAATGATATAATAAAATCTCTCTATGCTACATTGTTAGATAATTGTTATTCATTCTCTACTATATTCCTTTGCTAGCACAATTTCTCACCCATAGAATATGTATCTCCTTTCTTGACAGTCATAATTTAAAATATTTATGAAATATTTCTAGTCTCATTTAGAATTCTATGTCAACTTTGGCCAGACTCAGATTATAATGATAACAGTCTTTGCTTGTATATAGGACTTTAAATATTTTTCAAAGACTTTTCATACATATTCTCACTTATATTTTACACAGACCTGCAAAGTAGATAAGGTAGATGTTATCTTCATTTATGAATGAGTTGAGACTCAAAGTAACTTAGCAATTTTCTTTTTTGAGATGGTGTCTCACTCTGTCACCCAGGCTGGAGTACAGTGGTACAAACTTGGCTCACTGTAACCTCTGCCTCCCAGGTTCAAGCGACTCTTCTGCTTCAGCCTCCCAAGTAGCTAGGACTATAGGCATGTGCCACCACACAAGGCTAATTTTTGTATTATTAGTAGGATGAGGTTTCACCATTTTGGCCAGGCTGGTCTTGAACTCCTGACCTTGTGATCTGCCCACCTTGGCCTCCCAAAGTGCTGGGATTACAAGCATGAGGCACATGCCTGGCCGTAATTTAGCAATTTTCTGAAGCCACAAAGCTAGTATATAACATCAGTCTTCTGACTCTCAGTTTATTGTACTTTCCTGTCTCTGAAATCCTTTTGTTCTTTCAGTCTCACTTGTAAAATTTAGTGCTCTTTTAAGTATCGCATTTTTTTTTCAGTTAATTCTGTCTCTCTGACTCTATTGTGAATCTGTCTAGAATAAAATGCAACTTAATCTTTTTTGTTTCCTATAATCTTGGGCATTTAGCAGGAACTTTGTAAGTTTTTTAATTTACCTATTGCACATAAACTATAATTATTTACAGTTGGAAACAAATGTGTGCATAACTCATTGGACAAACAGCAATTAATATGAAATTCATACACATTTATCAAACATCTGTGATTGGCCTTGTGTGGGCTGGGGTTAGAAGAAGAGCATGTATGTGTACACACACACACACACACACACACACACACACACAGACAAGTTTAAATAGCAGTAGCAAAATAGCAGTTTCAATAGCAGTAGCAAACAGAAACAGAAAGTTTAAATAGCAGTAGCAAAAATATGATTTGACAGTTTATTGATAGCAACTATAACAGTTGTAGCTTGCAGAACACCAAGCAGGCTAAACAGCTAAGGATGACCTAAAAATCAGGATTTGAATGGTGTTTCATTGACTGATATAATTCAGAGACATTTCAGGATCTTGAACAATGGATAGAATTTATGTAGGCAAACAGGCAGGAGTAGCATGTCAAGTGAATTGATTTTTATGCTCTAATATTAGGTTGGTGCAAAAGTAATTGCTGTTTTTGCCATTGAAACTAGTGGCAAAACCACAACTACTTTTGCACCAACCTAGTATAATAAGATCTTATTAATTTTGACTGCACAGTTAAAATGTGGTATTGTGGCAGAAATAGTGAACAATTAACTGATGTGTTTTCTTTCTCTGCAGAAGTAAAGTGTAGAATACTCCTGGCTCTTCTTGAATATTCAGGTAACATTTTGTGTTTTTTAAAAAAAACATTTAAGTGATTGTAGCCTAGGATCATAAAGGTCTTAAAATATGAAAATAATGCCTTCAACCATTTACCAAATAGAAATATGATCCCCACCTTCTCTAAACCTTTGGAAAGACTTAAAAAAGTACTCACATAATTTTAACAAAAATGCAAATATATATATACACACACACATACATATATATATATGTATATATACACATATACACACACATATTCTCTTATAAGTGAAACCATGAAAACATATACAAATATATATTTTTAAAATGTTATTAAAAAGGAGAAAGGGAGCAGGTTTTGTTAAAGTTAATTGTGTCTAAATTTTGTTTATGAACAAGAATGTATGTAAACATTTTACAGATCTTACATGAAAACACTTTTATCATACACTTAGTGGAAGCTCAAAACATATTGGTAATGGAAAATGACACTAAAGGACAATTAAATATGTGATGAGATTCTAAATTGCAGATGATAGACTATAAATGTCACAAAGGCAGGAACCATGTCTATTTTGATCATCAGCTAATGCCTAAAATAGTGGCTGGCATATAGATATTCAACCAGTGTTTGTGGCAAAAATGAATGAAAAATGATATAAATGAAGAAAGAAAATGTATGAAATATTTCAACAAGGTTTTCATTCAAAATGCATTTAGAAGGAAATGGATCATAAAGATTGGGAAAACTCAAGTACATGCCATTTAATTACAGTGAACAGTTTGATGTTAGCCTGCTGGGCATCTCTTCATGTAGGTTTGGAGTTAGATAGATATGTTGAATGGTTTAGTTTTATTATTTTAATCTATTTCCCATAAAGTATGTGTGTGTGCACCTGTATACACAAAAATACTATTACACTAACTAGATTTTGATAGGGATTTGTTCCTAAAAATATAACCTGAGTAATTACTTGTGACATCAGTTAGCTTTTGTTGTGTTAAAAAAAAAATTCCCCAAACTTTGTGGCATGAAACAACGACCATTTATTATTGTTTACATGTGTAGTGTCATCTGGGCAGTTCTGCTGGTCTGTGCCAGCTTTTATCGACCTTGGCTGGGTTTGCCTCTGTGTCTGCAGTCAGGTGGTGAATTGGCTAGGCACAGGTGATCTAGGGTGGCCTTTCTCACATGTGTAACACTTGAGTGGCTGTTACCTGAGGTAATGGGGCTGCCTGGGTTGCATGTCTCTTGTCATATATAAGGCCAGCCTGCTCTTGTTCACATGGTGGATTTGCAGAGTTCCAGGAAGACAGTGGGAACGTGCAAGAGCTCCCCACTTCCTGCTGCCCCAGGCATGTAACTGGCAAGGTCAGATTTAAGAGGTAGAGACATAGACTCTACTTTTGATGGAAGGGGTCTCATAGTTATACAGCAAGAGTATAGATACAGGGAGGGAAATAATTTGTGACCCCTTTTACAAAGTACCACACTTGGAAATTTTAAATTATAACTGAATCCATGAACCAAGTTAAACAACAGGGCTTTTTTATTTATCCATTTGTTTTTTGCCCTAATGAAAAAAAGGTTTTGCCTTGCTTTTTGACTGAGTAATAATAATGACAAAAATATCTTACCATTTCTGAACTTTACTAATAACACAATTCATGGTCCCATTTTCTTGGATTTCATTGGGTCCCCACAACCCACCATGTGAGAATATTATTGTTTCCATACTTTTAAATGAGAAGAAATTGATATTCAGGATTAATAATAGATTAATAATAACCGGCACATAGTATACAGTCAGTGCTTACTTTGGAGCATCTGGAAGGATAGGCACATTGATGCCTTATGAATAAATAGGATAGGCACATTGATGCCTTATGAATAAATAGTAGGTGGCAGTTTTGAAATTCAGGCTCTGGTTTGACAATTCCAGAAGTGATTCCGGGATGCTTTGTTTTATTCATTAATGTTCAAATGGATGCTCTGGTAGATTTTTATTTTGATTCCAATTTTGTTTTTCTATTTCTCTTATGATTCTGTAGTTTCCTGCTTTATTTGCCCAGTCTCTCTCACTTCTTCTATATAGGATGACACCAAAACAGTAGCCACAATACTTCATATTTTTGGCTGTGAAATTATGATCATTTGAAAAGGGTAGACTGTGTCTTTTAAACATTATTCTTACTCACCCTTTATTCCCACCTTTCTCTTTCTCTAATCTCCTTTTTTCGTTGTTTATTTGGCTTTATTTTCCCCACAGTCTCTGTGTTAGCATGATTTCTGAGATTGTGTGTGTGTGTCTAGAAACCATCTCATTCTTTTTATACCAAGTAGCTAATTATGGATCTGAAACTTTTAAACAGCCAAGCTGAAATAGTATAATTTAAAACATGTGTTAGAAGATGAGTTTAAATAGGTGTTTAAATTCTGAAATGAAACTGAAGCCTTTGATAGCTACAAAAATCATTTCTTTTGAGTGTATTCTCACTGTGAGAAAAATATTATTCTATGATAAAAATAAATAATAAAAATCTTACTCTACAATAATAATAAGCCAAAAGATAATAAACCCTCAGAATCCCTGTTTTTCTTCTTTTGCTAGTAGCTGAACGCAGTTGTGATTTTTGCTGTAGTTCTTTCTTATTCATAGAAATAGGGAGTGAAGACAGTATCCTAGCATTTTGGGAAGCTGAAGATGGAGAATTACTTGAGGTTAGGAGTTTGAGGCCAGTCTGGACATTATAGTAAGACCCAGTCTCTACAAAAATTTTTTTAAAAAATTAGCAAGGAATGATGGTGATATACACCTGTAGTGGCAACTATGTTGGAGGCCAAGACAGGAGGATTTCTTGCGACTGGAAGTTTGAACCTGCAGTGAGCTATGATTGTGCCACTGCACTCCAGCCTGGGTGACAGAGCAAGACCCTCTCTCTTAATAAAACAAAACAAAACAAAAACACACACACAAACAAAAATACCTTTGGTAAAGGATGAATACTTGTGAATTTTGAATGGTTGCATGATTGAAAGAAAAAGAATTGGATATTTTTGCTGAGAGTTAACAAATTTTGCTGTATTTATGTAACATATTATTCCTTCTTCATTAGCAATAAAGCTGAGCACCTACTCAGTGCCAGGCACGGTTCTAGATGCCAGACAAAAAGAAGAATCACAGTGATAATGCTATTTGTTAAATGCTTTAAATACTTTTTATCTCATTTATCTTTATTGTAGTTCTAAGAAGGAGGAATGAACCCCAATTTTTATATGAGGATCTGACACCTAAAATATGGCTTAGAATGGGTAGTTGAAAGCAGATGATATGTCTCTAAAGAGTGTGAGCATAAGCCACATGCCACTTCCCTGGTCTTGATGTGCCAATGGTTTCTTGGGAACAAAGACTCATAAATGAATCCCCACTGTGCTATATAATTAGCACTCCAGTAGAAGGATGCCCCAGGTCCATGGTGACCAGAAGAAGAGCCCAGTACTTCCTGGGGGGGAGGGAAATTTCACATGAGGAGATAATCTTTCAATAGTTCAATGAGTTTTAATAGTTTGATGAGTTGACTCTTAAAGATTGATTTAAAGTTTGCTAGGGAGGGGAGAAGGACAAGGGCATGCAATGCATCTGGAAGGAAGGTATAGGCCAAGTGTAGGCCATAGGGCATTTGGCATTTGAGGACTGCTGAGCAGTACTGTGTGGCTCAAAGAGGACAGGTCTGTCTACCCCACTCTTCTGACTGCCTCCAGATATGTTGTTTTAATGTGCTCTCACAATAACTCTGTGAATATTGTTGCTGTAGTGTGGAATGAACGGAGGGAAGTGGCATATGGAGAAGCTGTAAACATAAGTTGGGGACAGGTCGCAAGGCCCCCCTTATGCCACTGTTTTCTAATTTTGTTATTCACTGTGAGATGATGACTTGTAAAAGGTTAACTTGAAAAGCCCTTGATATAATATGTACATGTTGAATCCGTGCAAACAATTCATCTACTCTCTGTTGAAAATAGGAAGGTGGCAACAGAATACTGTCTCAGGAAGTATGAATTTTTATTCAGTGTGGCTGAGGCCCCAACTTGGATCCTCTAGTAGTTGTTACAGTTGTCAGTTCTTGTAAGGTATTCATTCAATGTTAAATATTTGAATTAATGAATGAATACAACTTCACGTTACCAACAGGTTTTGCATATTGAAAATTTGACTGTTAATTGCAATCAGTTCTGATTTGATAAAGAGGTTGAAAGAAAAATTTTAACTTGGCTTAAATGCAAATAGAATATAGTAGCAGAACATAGAATAAACGTTTAGGTAATTTTAAGATAAAAAAAGAAGTAATTTGAGAATTTTTTCACAAAAGAAACTTAGGAAATAACAATTTCTATTAGTGGCAAAGTTATTAACCCTTGTGATTTCAAAAGCTTACAGTACAGATCCTTCCTTCTCTAGACTTTTGCTTTTCACTCAATATCCATAATTTCTTTCCAATTAGATTTTCATTAAATCATTTTCAAGGTATAGGCAGGAGTATTTCTGCCAAAGCTACTGAAGTATTTTTAAAAATTCATCCAGATCTCCTGCTTCACTATAGAACATCTGAAAAACAAGGTAAGAATGTACAACAAAGACACAGGGCAATACTTTACTTATTTAGTTTCTGCCTGGAACCTCAGTATCCTGGGCGCACACTAGAGCTAACAAGCTGTCTGAATTAGCCTCTTAGGTAAAATTAAACCCAGATATTTCAAGAAACCAGAGAGTGAACTCGTGTATTTTCATTTCACTTATTTATTTATTTTTAGTGCCGCTGACTCTTTATTTTAATCATTGATTTAGTAAACATTTGTCCAATGTCTACTCTGATGGAAATTGTGCACAACAAAGTAAGTGTTTCATTTGCTTCTTAATTGAGGATTGGACAAAGTTCATTTCCAGTTTAAAGATTTTATAGTTACCTATAAATGCCCTTTTGGGGCACATGATATAGATGCTTAACACATGTTGTTGGTTAAATTAGTAAGTTGAGCCACATGGAATTGCCATATTCAACCATTTTAACCTACCAAAGCAGCACATTTCTATAGTTCAGCCTAATAAATGAATATTCAAATATAAAATTAAATATTTTAAATATTTAATTATCTTTCTAATAAAATTTTCAAGATTAGGTTTTCTGAGTAAATTATGTGTACACATGCCTTTGATGGACATTAAAAACACTTGTTCAATGTTCTTGGTAAATCTTAAAAATTATGCCTTTTTTATCAATAAAACAAGAGCTCCCCACTGAATAAAGTCAGCATTTATCTCTATGCTATACACTAATATTGACAATGCTTCTTTATTCCAGAGGGGTCTGTGAGCCCTTGAAATATTTAGTATACATTTGAGAGGAAATTATTTTTCCCTTTGTTGTTTCCATTTCTAGTGGAAGTGATTTTTCAATATATGGAATGTGTAGTTTTGTTTTTCTGTAATTTGTATATATCTAACCACTCAAAGAGATGAACTCTGTATGTTAGCTTCTTTCCATTTGAAAAATCTCTAGTTCAGAAGTGGCGGTTCACAGTAGAAAGGTATCTTCAAAATATCAGGGTTCATTAGTCTGTTTTCTCACTGCTGTGAAGAAATACCTGATACTGTGGGTGCTTTGTAAAGGAAAGAAGTTTAATTGACTCACAGTTCTGCATAGCCAGGAAGGTCTCAGGAAAGTTGGGAGGGGTGAAGGCAAAAGGGGAAAGAGGCATGTCTTACATGGTGGGAGGTAAGAGAGAGCAGAGAGAGAGTGTGTCAGAGTACAGGAAAAACTGCCATTTATAAAACCATCAGATCTTTTGAAAATTCACTCACTATCACAAGAACAGCATGAGGGAAACCACCCCCATAATCCAGCCACTTCCCATCAGGTCTCATCCTCAACACCTGGGGATTACAAGTCAAGATGAGATTTGGGTGGGGATACCAAGCCTAACCATATCAATGGGCTAACTAAAACGCCAGTCAATTGCAGGATATGAATCCTGGTAAACATATAAAAATCAATTCATACTAAAACTATAAATACATTACTTATGTGAAAGAATTATAGAAATTTGTATTCTTATATTTGAACATATTTATAGTTCATGGGTTTAATAACTTTATTCAGGAGAGACAGATTTGCTTATTATTACAAAAAATTGAACATCATATATTCTTTTCCCCATGTGTATTTCACATTAATATTTGAGTAGCATTAGTTGTTAATTTTTAAATTGCATTAATAATATTGTATTTCATTTGCCAACAAAAACTGTCAAATTGGACTTTGAGTTTTGTTAGGAAAATGTTGTTGCAGCAAATGGAAATTGTGTCCCATTGGGTATAGAAAATATAAATAAATGAAGCCTTATTTTTCCTCTTCAGGTTTTAGCAAACAATTTAATGATTGTAGAATAGAGTCACAATATTGATTAAGAAAAATTATTTTAATATTTCTAACTTTTTTGGTGTTTAGTATTTTCTGTAAAGCCTATTTGCTAAAATGTGTGTGCTCATTTATAGAACTCAAATTCACATTTTTCACATGCGCAAGTTTAATGAAAAGATGAAATACTGTTGAATGTAGATGCTTAATATTTTGGTTTTCGCCATCTGCAACAGTTTTCAAAGCATTCTCTTTGTTCTCTCTGATCACAGATAGTGACACACAGCTCCGCAGAGACATGGTTTTCTGCCAGACTCTTGTGGCCACTGTCTGTGCCTTCTCTGAGCAGCTCATGGCAGCCTTGAACCAGATGTTTGACAACAGCAAGGAAAATGAGATGGAAACTTGGGAAGCCAGCAGAAGGTGGCTGGACCAGATAGCGAATGCAGGTGTTCTTTTTCACTTTCAGTCACTTCTGTCACCAAACTTGGTAAGGAAATCACATGATCCCACTGTCAGTGTCCACTGTAGCTTACACTGCAACATGGTTTGAAATAAGAAGTATTTATTCCTTTCCCCCTCATTATCTCTATGAATGTGCATACATTCAGCTACTTTAAAAATATACATTTTTCTGTGGTCCTTCAAATTTTAATAAGTATGTAGAATGTATTTCTTCTTTCCTGATTTGTATCTGTTCTCTGTGGCTGCTAAAAGCTGAGAAAGCCTCCATCTGTTACCAATTCTTGTATCCCTATACACTGACTGGAAAAAGTCATCAGAAGAAAAAGGGTCTTTCTGCTGCTGTTCCTTATCCCCAGTCCAAGGAAGCAGGCTGCTGTGAAACCAAAGCTCCTATTGAGGATGATGTCCGGGAGCAGCCTTGAGAGCCAAGCTCAGAGAACTCAAATACCATACTGCCTGACAATCTGTTTACAATTTGCATATGTTAAGTAATTTTAGTTCTTTTTTTGTGTGCATGTTTGTCCTGTTAAATTGAAGAGCACTGCCTTAATTACTGTAGAATATTCTATGCTTATGCATCGAGTTTCCGCAGTGAATATGAAGAAAGCATCTTAAAATATTGGAAAAATAAAACTGTGGTGAACTTAAGAGTTTTTTCACGTATATCTCCTGTGGTTTGGATAGTTGTCATGATGTTTAAAAGCAAATGTGTTCACTTTAATATATCAACTTTAGGTGCTCACTGAATAGAATTATGTTTTTAAACATGAGAGCCTATTTAATCTGTTAAAGTACATATAGAAAATGTAGCTACCAAGTAACAGGTTCGAGTTTAAAAGCAAATGAGAGTGTGTGTGTGTGTGTGTGTGTGTGTCTGTGTGTGTGTGTGTGTGTGTCTGTGTGTGAATTATATATGGTAGCCTACTTTTAACACCTGGTAGGTATCAATTATCTGTTGAATGAATGAGTAAATGAATAAGGCTTTATTTCTATTGTATGTTCCTTATTTTAAAACTACCATTGTCTAATCAAGTGCTGTTACTTTCACTTTAAACTTAATTTTATTTGAAATATCAAAGAATATGAGAAAATATTTACAAATCATATTCTTGATAAGTGACATACGTAGAACATATAAAGAACCCTTAAACCCAACAGTAAAATGACAAATAACCAATTAAAAAGGAGACAAAGGATTTGAATAGATATTTCTCCAAAGATATAAAGATGTCCAAAAAGCACCTGAAAAGATGATCAACATTATTAACCATTAGAGAAATGCAACTCAAAATCACAATGAAATACCACAGTACATGTGATATGGATGGCTATAATACAAAAGACAGATAATAACAAGTGTTGGGGAGGATGTGGAGAAATTTTGTAACCCTCCTAAGCTGCTCATGGGAAGCAGCACAGCCATTCTGGAAAATGGCTCCTCAAAATATGCAACATAGAGTTTCCAAATTGCCTAGAAATCTAGATAATATCTAAAATCCTATTTTACCTATTTCTAGGTAATATCTAAATAAATGAAAGCTTACATTCACATTTCTAGCAAGATTATTCATAGTAGCTAAAAAGTAGAAACAACTCATGTGCCCATCAACTGATGACCGGATCAATAAAAGGTCATTTGTCCATATAGTGGAATATTGTTCAGCAGTAAAAAGGAAAGAAGTACTGATACATGCTACAACATGGATGAACCTTGAAAGCATTATGTTAAGTGAAATAAGCCAGTCACAAAAGACCTCATATAGTTTGCGTCCATTATGGTGAAATGTACTAAGTACATCTTAGAGGCAGAAAGTAGACTAGCAGTTGCCTACAGCTGAAGGTTGGGGGCAGGAAAATGAGGAGTGACTACTAATGGGTATTGGGTTTCTTTGGGGAATGATAAAAATATTCTTAAGTTAGATGATGGTGCTAGCTGGACAGCTTTGTGAATATACTAAAACCCCCGAGCTGTACATTTTAAATGGGTGAATTTTACAGTATGTGAGATATATCTCAATGAAGCTGTGTGGTTTTTTAACTGGTCTTGTGAAACCCTTAAATTTATTTAAGGAATTGATTTTAAAAAGAAAATAGGTTTTAAGGAAATAAAATTTCAATAAATAAAGGAAGGAAATAAAATTTCAAGAAATCCATAGTCTTTCTGCTTCTGTCACAAAGGCAGAAAGAAAACATCCACCCAGGAGTGTGAATGGCTCTCTAGGAGCAGCACTCCTCTAGTGATTTGTGTGTCCCTGAGAGCAAGGCACAGCCAGTGGCCACTTGGGCATGGCTTTGGCAATGTTTGCTGGAACATCATGGCTTGTGCTGTAGCACTCAGAGGCCACATTGTCTGGAACATTTCTTGCTTTGTGTATTTCTGTCTACTAGAAAAATGCTGATTTTTCAGTCCTATTTCCTTCTAGGGTCATGACATTTTTCTGCTGCTTCAAAAGGATTTATTTAAGAAAATAGTTTAATAAGCATTTATTCAGTACTTACTGTATACTTTGCACTATATTAAGCATCACACTATATTAAGGTACTAAAGTGACAGTTCTTCCAACCTCTTTGTGTCTCCATGCTGCCCTCCTTTGGGGTTTTAGGGCTACATCAACTGATTTTTTTTCACAGAATGGAGATTCTTTACCATCTCCTTCATATTCTACTAACGCTGCCCCCAAATTTGGCTATGAGCTTACAGCAACTTTTAAAAATGCTGTATACAACATATGAAACTAACTGTTTAAAAGAATCATTGACTTTAAAAAAAAAAAAAAAAAAAAAGATGGAGTCTTGCTCTGTTGCCCAGGCTGGAGTGCAGCAGCACAACCTTGGCTCACTGCAGTCTCAACTTCCTGGGCTCAAGCAATCATTGGACCTCAGCCTCCCAAGTAACTGGGATCATAGGTACCCACCACCATACCCAGATAATTTTTTTTATTTTTTGAGAGACAGTGCCTCACTATGTTGCCCAAGCTGGTCTTGAATTCCTGGGCTCAAGTGATCCTCCTTCCTCGGCCTGCCAAAGTGCTGAGATGACAGGTGTGAGCCACTGTGCCTGGCCATTGACATTCTTAAAGAAACAAATATTACCTTTAGAAGATAAGCTATGAATGGCAAAGTTAATTATATTTTCATGACAAAACTATTAAAATAAATTGTAAAGAATGCATTAAACCGCTAATGGGAAGGCCAGAATCTAGTACCAGAAAGATGACATCACTGAGACACACACTGACTTTGTTAATGTCTGGACCTTAATTGCCTTACTATAAAACTATATGCTATAAGAATGAGATGAATGATTAACACAAACCAAATCTGATGCTCAAAAGATTCTAGACTAAGATGCCATGAAGCCACTTGAGGTGAAAATGATTCTTGCTCCAAAGTTTACTGGAAGTCAAATAATCACACATTAAAATTGATTTTAATCAGTTACTAAAAATTTGAAAATGAGTAAGTTATTTCATTGTAAAATAGGATGGCTATTATGTAGTTTGGCTTTTTAATAAAACAACATTTTTGCTCTTCAGGTGTTTTATTTACAAGATTTTAGAAGTTTAGAGGCAAATAGCATGCTTTTTGTGTTTTGTAAATAATAAATGAAATTAATATGATTAGAATCTAGCTGAAAAATGTGTGTATGACCATTTAAACAACAGAGAAAATGAAAAGTATAAAACTATAAAAGAAACATAACTTTGGAAGACTTGTTCATTTCATTTTGGGCAGTAAATTATTAGAGAACTCTTTATAATTTTTTGTACCTGTATGTAAATAAAACACAAGTGAAGTTATTTTTGGTGTTGATTTACATTATGTCATGTTATGTTAGATTGCTTTATATCATCTTGTATTATATATTGTTTTTCTTTCTTTGTAGACAGATGAACAAGCCATGTTAGAAGATACACTGGTTGCACTATTTGATTTGGAAAAGGTTTCCTTTTACTTTAAACCATCAGAAGAGGAACCCCTGGTTGCAAGTAAGTAATTAGGTGTTTACAAAATTTATTTGGCATCAAATAATTATATATAACTTTGATATTAATATATTTGATAAGTATTTTATGAATTGAATGATTGAAATGTATCCTTTTAACTTAGCAATTTTCTATCATTAAATCTGACAAAGGCAGTATTTTAAAAGTTATACATTCAGAGAAGTAGCAATACGTACGGTTTAATGTCCACACCTTTTAGTTTCTGCAAGTTATTTTCTGTTATTTCCACATTCTTATAAATATACTTAAAATATATCTATCAGTCTAAGAAATCTTCTGTAGTTTGTTGTTATTTTTATATGTGTCTTGGTTTTTCAAAAGTATGAATATTAGGCTAGAAGATATAAGCTTCCTCAGGTTTTATTTTTCACATTACTAATGTCTAATACAATAAATAAGGATTCCATAATTTTCATTTGATTCATGACCTGACTTAAGATGATAGTCATTCATGTATTCATTTATAAAATAGTCCTTGAATGCAAAATAATTTTATAATAATTTAGAAGGCAATTATGTGAAAGATATAAAGGGAAACAAAAGAGAGCAAAGGATACCAATGAAGGGGTAGGCCAAAGGTTGCAGATAATGAATGGGGTAGAGAGGAATCTTTACCTAAAAGAAGAGTAGAGCCCTGAAGAGGTGGAGGTATTGGAGAATCAGTGTCCCAGGCTCATTGAACTCTGAGGCTGGGAGCAAACATGGCTTGCTGTCAGGATAGCAAGTTGGCCTCCATATGTGGAGTGGAGTAAGTGAGGGGAACGGAATAAGAGATGGGAACAGCAAGGAGGCCAGACTATACAGGGCTTGCCAGCTGTTGAAAGAGCTTTGCTTCCTAACATGCCATTGAGCAGATGAATTATGGGATGTGGCTTCCATATTAAAAGGCTCTCTGACTGCTGTGTTAAATATACTATTCTGGGACCAAGGGCAGAAGCCCAGTGATCAGTTAGAAAGCTACTGAATGCCGGGCGCGGTGGCTCAAGCCTGTAATCCCAGCACTTTGGGAGGCCGAGGCGGGTGGATCACGAGGTCAAGAGATCGAGACCATCCTGGTCAACATGGTGAAACCCCGTCTCTACTAAAAATACAAAAAATTAGCTGGGCATGGTGGTGCGTGCCTGTAATCCCAGCTACTCGGGAGGCTGAGGCAGGAGAATTGCCTGAACCCAGGAGGCGGAGGTTGCGGTGAGCCGAGATCACGCCATTGCACTCCAGCCTGGGTAACATGAGTGAAACTCCGTCTCAAAAAAAAAAAAAATACTGAATGACCCAGGTGGGAGAGGATGGTGACTTGGCTTGGAGGATAGCTATGGAGATATTTAAAAAGAAAGAAACAATGCTTTTTAATTTATGAAAGTAGATAGAACAATATATGATTAATGTTTCATTTCCTCTGATGAATGAAGAAGAGAACAAGGAGTACAAAGTTAGAAATTTAGGTTGTATTTATTTGAGGATTTTTCTGGTAGAGGGTATTATTTGATAAGGATAATATCATTTGAACAAATTGTGTGGTTTTCTGTGGATATGTATAGAATAGGATATATTTTCATTTACTTGAATAATGTTTGCATAGTTTTGCTGAAGGCAGAGAGAATTCTGTTTTCATGATATAACCCAATATGTTGTTTAAAATTTTGCCTGAAGAACTGTAAGTTCACAGGACTACTGTTTTCTGTGGTTCTCCTATGACATTATTGGCAAATGGTGTGTTGAACAAGTAGGAGAAGAACCAATATCATCAACTTGATAAAATACTTCCTTATTGCATATCCACTGTGAAAGATTTAACTTTGGAACACATACTAAATATAAAAAATAATTGAGACCATGTAAGTAATCAGTCTGTAAATGTAGATGTCACTATACCAGACACACACATTTGGAATATATTTAGCAGTACATTTTAATATATCTCTTCACAGTGTAACCTCAAGTTCTGAAAATAGTTATCTAGTGAGAGTCTAGTCCCAATGCTGCACTACTGGACACTAGAACGGTGATGATAGTAATATAATTCTTATTTTAAATTGATGCAGGAAATAAGAAAAGTATTCTGTATTCAAGGGTCATCACATCTTATTTAAGTGATGTAAGAAAAATGAAGCTTTATTGTGTATTGCATGTAATCTGATCTTTCTGTCAACTAGATGCAGAGAAGTCAGATTCACTAATTAATTTCATATCACTGGGATGGAGACTAGCTGGCTGCATGCCTTTGAGGGAGGACTAAGTACAGAGAGGGGGGAAGCATGCAGGTGTAAAGACATCACTGGCTTTGAAGTCAAGAAATCCAAGTTGAAATCTTGGCTTCATTCTTATTGTTAAACATGAGAACTACAGCTTTCCCTAAATCACAGGGTTGAGGGGCTTAAATAAGATAATGAATTTGAAAGATTATAGCATTACATATGGCTATGCTAGTATTCAGTAAGTATTTGAATCCATCCTTCTTATTTTATTACTTTGCATTCTTTTCAAAAGCTATATTTATAGCATCACCTATAATCTTTTGTATGAAAAGAATAATGAGATTCTGAAGAATTATGGCATGCCAAGCAAGTAGAACTGAAATGTCTTGATTAAAGACAGCTAACTTTCATTGAAGAAATAATTATTAAATATATATAACATGTTAGGTACTGAACTGAGTTCTAGGGATATTGTAGTGTGCAAATGAAACAAGACTTTTTTTTTTTTTGGTGTGGAGCTTAGACACTGATGAGAGATACAAAGAAATAAATGGGCAATTTGACCACTTCAGTAATAAAGGAAATACATGGTGCTTCCCATGTCTTATTACACAATTAGTGAAGGTGTAATAAACTAGCTAAATAGTAAGTTTCTCTATAATTAAATTTATTTTTTGGAAAATATGCATCAGTTTAGGAGAACAATGTAATGACAGCAGGTCTTCTCCTTTTCAATGGTGATATGGGTCATTTTATAGTAGTTAATTATTAGAAGAATGAATATATTTGAGTCCCATTAGATATCCTTATATAGGCCAGGCATTGTGCCTGGAGCTGTGGATGCCATCACGGATGAGATAGGCAGGTTCCTGTCTTCATGGAGCTGACAGCCTAGTTGGAAATAAGAAATCAGGAATCAATAATAAATGAAGAATGAATAATCAATAATCAATAAGAAATCAACATAAAGATAAGACTGTGGTAAGTTCTATGAAGGAAATAAGCAGATACATAAAGAAAAAAAAGTGAGGTGGTCTTTCAAGGGGTGACTGGAGGAGGAATCTCTGCAGAAGTAGCTTTTAAGCTAAGATCTGAAGGACAAGAAAGACCCAACTCTGCAGAGAGCCAAGGAAGAGCAACCCAGGCAGAGGGAACTAACAGCTTCCTAGTTAAAGGCTTATTTTCAAACTCCCCGGCCCATTCAATTAGAGGCTACGTTTACAAGGATGGGATGGCACTATTGAACTCCTCTCTGGGATGAATCACTCTAGAGATTGCTACCAGAGACCTTTTCCTCTTGCAATATTGGCTTTGAAATTTTTAAATATTATATAGTCCTAATTATCAAGTTTGTTTTTATAGCTAATAAATATCCACGAATAAAAGGCCGCAATTTCAACTCCACATTAGTGTTCTGCATTTTTTAAAAAGACTTTTTATATTTTTAGAGCAGTTTTAGGTTCACAGCAAAATTGAGAGGAAGGTACAGAGAGTTTTCATATCCCTGTCTCTACACAAGCACAGCATCCCTAACTATCAATAGCCCTTACCATAGAGGTACTTTCTTAAAATTGATTATGATATTAGCACATCATAATCACTCAAAGTTCACAGTTTAGGATTACTCTTGGAGCTGTACATTCTGTGGATCTGGACAAATGTATAATGACATATATCCACCATTATAGTATCATACAGAGTATGTTTACTGCCCTAAAATCCCACGTGGTTTGCCTATTCATTCCTCCTCCCTCCCACTCTGTACCCAACCCCTGGCATCCGCTGATTCACTTTATCCATAATTTTGCCTTTTTCAGAACATCACATACTTGGAATCACACAGTAGGCAGCCTTTTCAGATTGTCTTCTCTCACTTACTAACATGCATCTAAGCTTCCTCCATGTCTTTTGATGGCTCAATAGCTCATTTCTGTTTAGCACAGAAGAATATTCCATTGTCTGGATGTATCACAGTTTATTCATTTACTTACTGAAAGACATCTTGGTTGCTTTTAAGTTTTGGCAATTATGAGGAGCGGTTATAAATATACATATGCAGGTTTTCATGTGGATATGAGTTTTCAGCTACTTTGGGTAGATACCAGGGACCATTATTCCTGGATTGTATGTTAAGAGTTTTTTAGTTTGTCAAGAAAGTGCCATACTGTTCTCCAGAGTGGCTATGTACATGGAGACTAGTGAGAAATACAAAATCATAAATGAGCAATTTGACCACTTTAGTGTTAAGAAAAGTACAAGCTACTCCCCATATCATATTATTTAATTAGTGAGAGAGGAACAAGCTAACTAAAGGATTAAATTTTATATAATGAAATTTATTTTGTAGAAAATCTGCATTTTTCCTTCAGTGATGAATGAGTATTCCTATCTCTCCATGTCCTTACCAGCATTTGGTGTTGTCAGTACTCTGGATTTTGGTCCTTCTATGGGTGTATGGTGGTAGCTCAGTACTGTTTTAATTTGCATTTTCCTGATAACAAATGATATAGAGCATCATTTCATATGATTATTTGCCATCTCTATATCTTTTGAGTGAGTTGTCTGTTGAGGTATTTAGCCCGTTTTTAAAATTGGTGATATAGTTTGGATGTGTGCCCTTAACCACATCTTATACTTAATTATAATCCCCAATGTTGGAGGTGGGGCCTGCGATTGGACCACAGGGATGGATTTCTCATGAATGATGTAGTGCCTTCTCCTGGGTACTGTCTTCAGGATACTGAGTTCTCATGAGATCTGGTGGTTTAAAAATGTGTAGCATCTCCCTGCTTGCTCTCTTGCTCTTGCCATGTGATGGCCTGATACCCCCTGTCTTCTGCCATGATTACAAGTTTCCTGAGGTCTCCCAGAGGCTGAGCAGATGACGGCATCCTGCTTTCTGTACAGCCTGCAGAACTGTGAACCAATTAAATCTCTTTTCTTTATAAATTACTCACTCTTAGACATTTGTATAGCAATGAGAGAGAGAATGGCCAAATACAATTGGGTTGTTTGTTTTCTTATTGTTGAGTTTGAAGAGTTATCTGTGTACTTTGGATAACAGTCTTTTGTCAGATGGTGTCTTTTGCAAAGATTTTTCTCCCAGTTGTTGCTTGTTTTCTCATTCTCTTGACACTGTCTTTTGCAGAACAGAAGTTTTAAATTTGATGGGATCTATTATTTCTTTCATGGATTGTGCTTTGGTGTTCTTTCTAAAAGTCATCAGTATATCCAAGGTCATCTAAGTTTTATCTTATGTAACCTGGCAGGAATTATATAGTTTTTCATTTTGTATTTAAGTTTATAATTCATTTTGAATTACTTTTTGTGGAGGATGTAAGGTGAGTGTCTTGATTTATGTTTCTGCATGTAGATGTCAGGTTCTTCCAGAAACATTTGTTGAAAAGGCTATCTTTGCTCCATTGTATTCTTTGCTCCTTTGTCAAAGATCAGTTGACTATATAGTTAGACTATTTCTGATCTCTGTTCTATTTCATTGATCTATTTGTCTGTTCTTTGGTCAATACCATGCTGTCTTGATTACTGTAGTTTTATAGTAAGTCTTAAGGGAGTGTAAGTCTTCCAACTTTGTCCTTCTTTTTCAATATTATGTTGGCTATTCTGGGTTTTTTGCCTCTCCATATAAACTTTAGAATTAGTTTGTCAATATCGAAGAAATAACCTGTTGGGATTTTACTTGGTGTTTCACTGACATTGTGGATCAAGCTGGGAAGAAATGACACCTTGACAATAGTGAGTCTTCCTATTCATGAACATAAAATATCTTTCCATTTACTTAGCTCTTAAAATTTTTTTTCATCAGTTTTGCAGTTTTTCTTATATAGATCTTATGCATATTTTATTAGAGTTATACCTAAGTATTTTATTTTGGGGAGGTGCTAATGTAAATGGTATTAATGGTTGTTAATTTCAAATTCCACTTGTTCACTGCTGGTATATAAAAAAAGCAATTGACTTTTGTATATTAACCTGTATCCTGCAACATGCCTATAATTGCTTATTAGTTCCAGGAGCATTGTTTTTTGTTGATGTTTTTCTTTCCTAATCTTTACAGTTCCTTTTTTCTTCTCTTGTTTTATTGCAATAGCCAGGACTTCCAGAATGATGTTAAAAGGAGTGGTAATGGGCTGGGTGTGGTGGCTCATGCCTGTAATCTCAGCACTTTGGGAGGCCAGGGCTGGAGGATCACTCGAGCCCAGGAGTTTTAATACTCTTAGCTTGAACTTCACTTTAATGTACTTTGTAATTTTCATTCAGTTTTAGTTCCTTAATTCCGAATATAACATCTTCATTTGTTTTATGTTAGTTCTATAATATGAAAATCGAACTGTTGTATCATTATCATTATTTTCTTTCAATAACATTATCCATTTGTTAACATACAGGTTGCCTATATTGATGCCAGAGGTGAAGGGTATGGAATTTAACACAAATTAAAATGTATGTGAGAGACAGTGTGTGGAAAGGGGTACTAGAGAGTACAAATATTTAGTAGGTATAAATCTGTATTTTCTTTAGTGTCCATGGTTCTTTTTTTTTTTTATTTTAGAAACCAGAAAAAAGGATTTTCCCAATTATTAAAATGCTATTAATTTTCAACCCTTTGGCTGAGAAACCTGTTCATTCCCTTTCCTAAATTAAATGTTTCATGTCTTCATTAAAAAAAAGTAACAAAACAAAATAAGTATTTTATCTAGCATAAAGGAGATAAATAAATATTAATGAAATGTCTCCCATTTGATATGCAGAATTAAATAGATAAATTTAACAAGGAGCCTGGAATCTGTGATCATAAATGCCATTTAATCTTGAACTCTACTTTTATATACAGTTTTATTTCAAGAAGCAGGTTAGAAGTTATAAATACTGAGTGAGGAACATGTATTAAATGCCTTCTACATTTGTTTGTCCTTAGTTTTTAACTGATTAGTGTGACTATTCAGCCTTTTAGGATGATTTTACATTCTTTTCTAATGAGACTGAAATATTTGTCATGGATAAATATCATAAAATGGAGAGGATTTATGATAGTGTTGTGAAATACTCCTACTGCATTTTAGTTTTCAGGTTGATTGGGGTTTTTAAAGTAATTAAATTTCGGATCTTTCGAAATAGCTCCAAGATTTGGGGCAATTTTTAATGACTGTGGGGCATCAGCAATGGATAATACATTTCCCATCTGGTGCTCAGGGAATAGAGCTTACAGAACCCATGCTAATTTTGATAGTGGTTGCTCTGTTACTCAATTTCTTGCACACTACTTAAGAAGTATACCCCAAGGACTCATTCTAACTAAAATGTGAATGAAGCAGCTGCCCTGGGAGATTTTGAATCCAAACCATGTGTAGCCAAACACCTCATTCAGTTAAGTGAGACATCTGGTGTGTCAAAGTGTAACAAAGTTTCACATTGTGGAATTTTTATAATACAGTAACAAATGCATTGCTTTAGCTAATGAGAAACTGATTTAATACTCTTCACTGAATAGCACTGTATGTTGAATCCCAACTTGATAAACATGATCACGTTTAATATGTTGGTGTCTGGTAATTCTCAGGATTCTTTTTGAAGGTTAACAAAAGTACCATCTATCATATCCTTATGTTAGGAAGTAACATACTATTAAATGTCATTTTAGATGTTCCTCTTACATATCAAGCAGAAGGAAGTCGGCAAGCTCTGAAAGTTTACTTCTACATTGATAGTTATCATTTTGAACAACTTCCTGAACGGTTGAAAAATGGAGGAGGATTTAAAATTCATCCTGTTCTTTTTGCACAAGGTAAACTGTTTTTCTTTTCATGCCTGCTATACTTAAATTATTTTATCTTTATTAATGTTTTTTAAATGTGATTTTAACCATCAGGACTTTTAAATTAATTCAAAAATGTTCTTATAGTATTTAGCTAATATATTTGCTTCTGGGAATGTTTATTAAGGAAATAATCATGTGTGATTTAAATATTTATCACATACGGTTGCAACATTATTTATAATGGAGAAATAAGACATGAATGTAGTAAATAAAGATAAAAAATTGAGTTAAATAAACTGCTTCAGTAAGTTAAATTATAGTAAGGCTGTTACAGCTGTATGGTTAAAATATTTTGTGAGATAGAAAAAGTTTATATATGTATGCAAATTGTTAAACAGAATTTATTCTTTAGTCTCAATTATGTCATACATGTATGTATATATGTACATATATATATGTTAAAAGTTTTCAGTGTCATTTGGGTAGTTAAATTGATGCTTTTAAAATTCTTTATGTCAATTTTTCTTTTTGGTCAGGAAGTATATATTCCTTTGTAATTTTGTTTTTCCAAAGAGTGACTATTAACATCTGCAGTAGAATAAATTAAGATTAGCATGAATAAAAAAATTCTTGTAGTGAACTCTGTTTCTGAGGGAAGGTCTTGAATCTTTTTTATTTTGAGGTCATAAAAATGTTACCCAAAAAGATCAGAAATCTTGATTATTGTGGAGTGTCCTCTAGTCTATTATTTCTCTCCACATCCTAAAAATTGCGTGTTGAGGTCACAAGATTATGTCAGTTTCTTTGGATGATACCATAGGGAATTTAATTTTTTACTTCCTTTGAGTCTTCAAGAACTGCATTGGTTTTGCTGTAGAATTTTAATGCTCTAATGAAAAATGAGAAGAGTGGAGGAATAAAATCCATCTATCTATATAAGTAAAGAATGGACAGGCATATAAAATCTAAATTCACTACTGAATGAAAATTTTGCATTATACCATGATATCGTTCAGCTATGTCTCCAACCAAATCTCCTCTTGAATTCCCATGTGTTGTGGGAGGGACTTGGTGGGAGGTAATTGATTTGATTACCAGCATGGTGGGTCTTCCCTGTGCTGTTCTCATGATAGTGAATAAGTCTCACGAGATCTGATGGTTTTAAAAATAGAAGTTTCCCTGTACAAGCTCTCTTCTCTTGTCTGCCACCATGTGAGATGTGTCTTTCACCTTCCACCCTGATTGTGAGGTCTCCTGAGCCATGTGGAATTGTAAGTCCATTAGACCTCTTTCTTGTAAATTGCCCAGTCTTGGGTATGTGTTTATCAACAGCATGAAAACAGACTAATACATACCACATGCATATTATTTTAAAACCCTGAATTCGATTACTATAGTTTAAAAACAGTGACCACCTAAAACATACTTGGCAGGAATACATTTTGATAGATGAAAGTTGCAGTGAAGTGATGATGTTAGAAGTTATTAGAAGGTATTTTCATTTCTCTTTGGAGGACTGTGATTTATAGACAGGGTTAGTATAGGTAATCCAAGATTCTATCAAGGAAGAAAGAAAAAAAGAAACAATGGGCAAAAATGGACTTTGGAGAATAATTTAATCTAAAATATGTTGGGCCAGGTGTGGTGGCTCACACGTGTAATTGCAGTACTTTGGGAGGCTGAGGTAGACAGATCACCTGAGGTCAGGAGTTTGAGACCAGCCCAGGCAATATGGTGAAACCACATCTCTACTAAAAATACAAATATTAGCCAGGTATATTGGTGTGTACCTGAATTCCAGCTACTCGGGAGGCTGAGGCACAAGAATTGCTTGAACCTAGGAGACAGAGGTTGTGGTGAGCTGAGATAGTGCCACTGCACTCCAGCTTGGGCAACAGACTGAAACTCTGTCTCGAAATAAATAATAAATAAACAAATATAAATACCATTACAGGGCTAGATAGTTGAGAAGATAGGGACAGATGTTGGTCTAAAATGTTAATTTTACAGGGTTTAGCCAGGACTTAAATTGTTAAAGACCCTCCATTTCTTTTCCTTTATTTCTCTCTTCTTAAAAATGTTGTCTTTGAAATTATTACTGAGATGACAGATGACACTAAGTATCTTTTAAAAGCATTATTACATCTGTGACACATCAGCCATAAATAACTGAATAATCATATCCAACAGCACATATACACACAGGCAAATATTATTTTGCAAACAACCTCTATTTTACAACTTTGGCAAAGGCCAATTTAAAAATAATCCTTAAATATATATTATTTCAGTGAATATACTATAGCTTTTAAAATGTAATTTAAGGAAAAGCTATAGCAAACATTAGGTTTTGGTATGCTCATTGCATTAAAATACGAAAAAATATCTGAATAAGCAACAGAAGAAATACTGCTGCACTTGAGGTCAGAGATAGGTAAAGAAGATGGGAAACATTCTGTCCCATTAAAAATCTGTCAGTGATAAGGTTGTTTATTTAAAGGGGGTGCAGAAGTTCTTCTGCCTTTATAAAACTCCCATGAGGAATCATTAGCAACTTAGTATTCATCAGATTGAGAGAAGCACAGGAAATTCAGACCTAGTTTCAGCTGAGATTACCATCTGGTAATTGAAGGCAGTGGTAAATGGAAGAGATTCCAAATGGCATCTCTTCCTGGAATGAAAGTTTATTCAAAGTGTTTTACTTCTGTATATACATGACTCTTTGCTAGCAAATAAAAACATAGAAAAAATGGATGAATTTGAAAATTTCCTGGGAAATTTACTGAAGTCAAACCTCCTAAAGTTATCTGTGGGACCACATACTTAGAGTAGCACAGGAAGCAAATGTGTCACCCTTTTCTCATTTTCCTTGCCTCTATGGAACACTGGGGAAAGGAGGGCACAGTAGTTGATGGGACATCCTGCGGAGACGGGACCAGCTATTAGATCAGGAATATAAGGGTTAGAAGTGAGGAGGGTTGGAGGCCAATGTGTATTGCTGAAGTCCAGAACTGCAGGAGAACAGGAACCTAGGCAGACAAGAGTGATACAAATTTTCAAGGTAAGGAACACAGAAACAGCTGAACAGGAAAGTAAGCACAAAGCATAACCAACCAAAATGCTAGAATGTGCCAATCACACTAAAGCAATCTTCTGGCTGGTATTCCTAAGTGCTTCCTATAGGACACGGCAAGCTGTTGGGATCCCTCAGCCCTTGGTGAGATAAAGCAAACAGCTATAAGTTGGCAGAAAATGAGAGTAGAAAGAGGATAAATATTCAGGGTCACTTCTCTACCCACTCCCCACTGACTACTTTTCCTGTCTCTGTCAGTGGTTCTCAGTACTTGGCTGCACATTAACCATCTTAGAAAGGTTTTAGGAAATACCCAGGCTCTGCCCCATGCCAAATCAATTGAGGCAGAATCTCTGGAAAGTGGAGCCCAAATACCAGGATATTTTAGAAACTTTCCAGGTGATTCTGGAGTCCACCAAAAATGAGAAACCACCCTAGGTCTGTGCGGATTATGAAACACTATGCAATTATCCAGCTAATCTTTATTTAATTAGACTAATTGATCTTACATATGTTCAGCATGTCTAGATTCTGAGGAGCTGAAGCAAGGGGGTCAGGAACAATGTAAAATGTTTCTACCTTGTTAGGTTATTAGGATGCAGGCTGTCCTTTGAAGGAGGTGTGATTCTGGTGGGATAGTTTTCTCCAGCAAAGACTGGAGAGTGAACAGCTGAGAGCTGTCTTCTGCAGCAATCACAGCAGCTGGGCAATGAACCCAATGTTTCTGAGAGAGGATCCAAGCCACTGGCTCTTTGAGCATCCTGTGTAGTCTATGCTTTGCACCTGCCAGACCCATGTCTTTGTGTAAGGACTGGGAGAGATTTTTCCAGGACTTCCCTGAGCCTCCTTTCTGGGGCAAGGGGATAATTTAGGAGAGAAAAATTAAAAGGATTAGCTTTAGCCCATGCAGCCCCAGTTTGTCTTATGGCTGCCACAGATTCTCATTTTTTCCTCTTCTGCTATCCATTGTAGGTTAGCCCCACCCTCTGTCTGAACCTCTGCTGTTTTTTGTTGCTAATCTGTGGCATGACCAAGACCTTCATTCCTAAGGAGCTTGATCCCCTGATTACTTTACGCTTCTTAGACCAGGATTGCTGCAGTTGTCCGTTTACCATCAACTTTGTGCAAGGAAGTACTAAGAGGGACGCCAGCAGATACCGGGGTGCTAAACATATTCCTTCTGCCTCCCATTCTGTAACAGTCACCTTACCTCCTTCTTATGATTAGGGTGGAGCAGTGTTGCTGAGGCGGCGATTGCTTTTCTTGGCTGCAGGTGCCTTGGAAACCCACAGACCCAGTGTTTCAGGGAATGGAAGTTCGCATTCCCCAAGGGAGTCACTGGAACTGAAGCATTTGCTTCCCAGGGCTGCCCTAGCAAGTTACCACAAGCTGGGTGGCTTAAAACAACAGAAATATATTCTGCCACAGTTCTGAAGGTCAGAAGTTGGAAATCAAGATGTTGTCAGGCCATGCTTCCCCCTTCCTCTTTGGGCCTTTGGTGTCTGCCAGCAGTCCTTGGCATTCCTTGGTTTGTGGCAGCGTAACTACAATCTTGGCCCCTATTTTCACATAGTCTTCTTCCCTCTGTGTGTCTGTCCTGTGTTTCTAACTCCAAATTGCCCTCTTCTTATAGGGGTGCCAATCATTGGATTTGGGCCTATCATAATTCTGTAGGACCTCATTTTAATTTGGTTCATCTGTAAAAACCCTATTTCAAAATTAGGTCAAGGCTGAATATGATGGCTCACACCTGTAATCCCAGCAATTTGTGAGGCCAAGATGGAAGGATCACTTGAGCCCAGAAACTTGAGGCCAGCCTGGGCAACAGAGTGAGACCTCACCTCTTTAAAAATAAAATAAAATAAAATAAAACAGTTGGTCCTGGTGGCACACGCCTGTAGTCCTAACTATTTGGGAGACTGAGGTGGAAGGATCACTTGGGTCTAAGAGGCCG